CCTGATTTACATCGAGCCCACCCTGAGAGATTTTGAAAGCTATGTAAAAAGAACACTTTGTGTAGGTTAGGGTGGGCTAAACCCATGATGAGCCCACCCTGAACTGAAATCCTGGCGCCGCTACTACGGACATGTCCATCTTTGCTTGAGAAATTACCAATTGAAGAATACAGAAGAGGAAATAATGACATATGTTCAATATATCAAAACTGTATGCTTCAGCAAATAAAACACAGATTAAAATATTAACAATTATAATAATAAACTATCAACAATAACTTCAGTAATACCCAAAAATGATAATAATCACAACAGCAGAAGTTATAATAATAAATATACCAACAATATATATATATATATATATACCAAAAAAATTCTGCCGATGAGATAATAATACCAATATTTATGTCTTTAAATATTCTGATTAGTATACTGATCAGTGTAACAATAAAACTTCTTTTCAACAACACGAAAGATAGTAACAATAATCGAACGTTTGACCTTAAACAAAATGATTTAATGCATATCGAGAAAACTAACATGCATCATTTCTCTTTTTTTATCTCTTCATAATCACGTGGCACTGCTTATGCAACCATTTTCAATTCGTCGACTGTCTCCTATTTCAAAATGAAACCTCGATCGATACATAATATCAACATCAAACATAATATAAGGAATATCGAGAGTGTGAGGCTATGACCGTAGAATCAGAAGGTTCACAGTCGCGATTATTCCTCCTGATTTATCTAATTAAAATAGCTAAAAAAATTCTCAAATTACTCAAATCAATCAAAAAAATCAAAATTTATTCATTCAACAATAAAGTCATCATTTAAGTAAGTTAATTAAAGGAAAATTCTTTTGATTTAATTTCTACAATAAATAATAACTTATTAAATTCAAATTCTGATTTTGTGAAATATTAATAAAATGGAAGAACAGGAATAAAATTATGTCTAACAATCAAATCTCAAAAAAATTCAACACTTTTTAATCGTTCACGTTCTTATCGTTGTTGTTCTCATAATCATAATTTCTAATAATGATCAAAATCGAATTTCGCAAAAAAAAAAAGACTTTAAAAAGAATTCGTTCAAGATCAATTCAAGGAGAATTTACATTACCAACAAATCCTCCAATAACAGTTACAATTGAACCTCAATCAAATAAAAATGCTAAACAATTATCAAAAGATAATTGTTTTCATGATGATCAAATATATATTCACCCGAACATATTAATAATCAATATATAATATGAACAACGATCAACAAATGATTCTCCATTAAAAAGTTCATCAACAATTGTTTCATATTTTATGGATCTTTTAAAACCAAGTGATAATAAATTAGCTTTAAAATTATTTGGAAGTCGAAAAGGTCTTATTAAAGAACGTTTAAGACAACAAAGAGCTGGACATTGTATTATTCATCCTTGTTCAAATTTTCGGTTATTTTTATTATTTACCTTTTTTTTTTCATTTATATTTATATTTATTTACTTTTTATTGGGATTTAATTATGTTAACATTATTAATAACCAATGTTATTGTTCTTCCTGTTGCTATTGCATGTTTTAGTGATGAAATTAACTCAACACGATGGATTATTTTTAATGTTATTTCTGATGCTTTTTTTCTTTTTGATATAATTGTCAATTTTCGAACAGGTTTTATTTTATTTTATTTATTTATTTATATGATTTAATTATTTTTCTATTTATGAAAAGGTGTATTAAGAAATGATTATATTGATGAAATAATACTTGAACCACGTTTAATAGCAATTAATTATATAAAAACTTGGTTTATGCTTGATTTACATAGTTCACTTCCATTTGATTATTTTTTTTATTATTTGATACGGGAGAAAATTCTGGAGGTTATTCAATGGCGCGTACAGGTCGTGCTATTAAAGTTCTTCGACTTGTTAAATTACTTTCATTACTTCGATTATCACGTCTTGTCAGATATATTCATCAATGGGAAGAGGTGAGATTTATTAAAAACATTTTTTATTTTAGTTATATTGAGGGCAGGAAAGATCATCTTATTAAAATAGCGACATCGAGTCAGATATATCGATCGATAGAACTTCGTGCTGTCAATTTTCTTCGAGTTCATCTTCCCATCTGGGTGATAAACTATTTTTATCTATTTATATATTTATTTATTTATTTATTTAACGCATGATTTTATTATTTAATTAACAATTAATCTATATTAATTATAATTTTTTGTTTTGTCAATATTAATGTTAATGTTAACGTTTGTGTTTTTTCAAACTAGTTAAATTCATGTTAAAACATATTCGCTATTAGATAAATCTTGTTTATATAAAATAGTCACTAATAAAAAAAAAAGAAAAAAAAACCAAACATGAAATTCACATATAATAAATGCATGATCATAATTCGAGTGTAGGAGAATAAGATCTTCCTACCCAATCGATTTATTAGTTTTTTATTTTTATTTTTTTTAAATGTATTTTATTTATTTAATATAAAAATGAATAAAAAAAAATAGAAAATATATTTTTAGTTTTTATCAATAGCAAGTATGGTAATGCGTATTCTTAATTTACTAGCATTAATTATATTATTGGCACATTGGAATGGATGTTTACAATTTATGATTCCAATGTTTCAAAATTTTCTATCTGATTGTTGGGTTGCACTTAATGCTCTTCAAAATGCTCCATGGACAGAACAATATACAGTTGCACTATTTAAAGCTCTTTCACAATATGCTTTGTATTGGTTATGGTCGTTATGCTCCTCAATCTTATGTTGATATGTGGTTTACAATGCTTTCAATGGTTAAATATTATTATAATATTATATTTATTCTAAATTTATTTATTTAGTTATTGGAGCAATGTATTATGCTATTACAATTGGACATATGTATCAGCACTTGTTCAAAGTTTTGATACATCAAGACGTTTATATAATGAAAAAATAAATTGTGTTTTTTTTTGTTTTTAATTTATTTATATATAAATATTTGTCTAAATTTATTTTTAGTTTAAACAAGTTGAAAAATATAATGGCATGGAGAAAATTACCTCGAGAAATGCGTAATAGAATATCTGATTATTATGAACATTGTTATCAAGGAAAAATCTTTCATAAAGATACGATTTTAAATGAACGTTCAGAAAATTTAAGATTGGTTCGTATTTTTATTTTTTATTCTATTTAATTTTAATTAAATTTTAATTTCAACAAAAGGATGTTATTAATTAATAATTGTCGATCTCTTGTATCATCAGTTCCATTTTTTTCAAATGCTGATCCGAATTTTGTTTCTAATGTTGTTACAAAATAACGTTTTGAAGTATTTCAACCGGGTGATCAAATAATTCATGAAGGAACAATTGGAGATAAAATGTATTTTATTCAAGAAGGTGTTGTAGATATAATTAAATCAGATGGACAAGTTTTAACAACATTATCTGATAGATCTTATTTTGGAGGTTTGATTTTTCTTTTTATTTAGTTATTTTAAATTTAATTAAATAAAATATTTATTTTAGAAATATGTTTATTAACACGAGCTAAACGTGTAGCAGGTGTTCGTTGTGTAAAACATATTGTAATATATATATTCATTAGATTCAAGTCAATTTGAACAAGTTCTTGAATCATATCCATTAATAAGAAGAACAATAGAATCAGTTGCGACTGAAAGACTTAATAAATTAGGAAAAAAATCCTTCAATTATATCAACACGACATGATTTAAAACGTGATGCAGCTGTTTTAAAAGATATGATAAATCGTGTAACACCTCAACCATCAAGTGATGAATCATCTAAAGAAGAAGAAGAACAAGAAAATGAAGAAGAAGATAATAAATCTTTCTCATCATCATATAAAATAAAACAAAGTAATTTTAAATCTTCATTAACATATATTCATGATCAATTAAATAAAATCAAATGATTATTTACAATATTTAAATAAAAGACGAAGAAAAAAGAAAAAGATCAATAGAAAATAAAACTATTCAACATAGTTATTTAACTGATCCATCATAAACATTTTATTTAACAACAGATAAAAATAAAAATCGAATTAGAAAATCTCCAACAACTCCTTTATCTCTTTTTAGAAAAATTCCTTCATCAACAACTTTTTTTCTAATCAACCTTGTTCATAGTCTTCATTTTTTTATCTCACATTCATTTATCAAATTTCGTTTTTTTTTTGTTTTCTTTTGTTTTTTTTTTATATTAAAATAAATAAACAGATGTCATTAATTGACAATCGAAAATAGATTGAAAATGTTTTATTGGTTTATTATCTTATATTTATTCTTATTCCTTCTTATAATCAGGGTTTCTAATGGCAAGTGTACACAGCAGAAGCAAAATGTACAAACATTTGCAGGTTTGAAAATACACGCTGCTGTACATTTGTCTTAAAAAAACAGAGTGTACATTGTACACTTTGCAAGTGAGATTTTAAATGTATTTTTAGATCAAAAATTATACCAAAACAGTGATCGGATTCTGGTCTATTTTTTATCTTTTCTATTCGTTGACTAACATCCTTTCTCTTCGCGATTTCTTTTTCTTTCAGATTCATATTAACTCGTTTCCGATACTGATGTGATAGCTGCAGAAGGAAAATCAAAAATTGCAATATTCAGCTTAGTTTTCTTCAAATCATACTGTTTTTCATGATGATGCAGAGGGCTATGACAGTTTTGATAGGTTCTTTTGGTTACTTAGAGTTTTGAAAAATAATAAATCAGGGTTTTTATGCTGATGTGCTTTCCTAATGCTATACTTTCGCGTAATGAATCGTCCTAGATGAATCACACACAGATCGCTTTTTCCTTGCTTTCTATTTACGTATCTATCATTTTTTTCTATTTTTTACTGGGTAAAATAGATATGAAGATGTTTTTCCATTTTTTAATAATATGCGGTCTCCCTCGGACAAAAAAAGGTTCCTTTTTCCAATTCATTTTTCCATCATCTAATGCGCTGTATTAAAAAACAAAATACACCACAAGATGCAGTGTCAAAAGCTCTACAATCTACAAAAGACAGCTTATTTTATAATTGCACTTTTTGTTTTCAAATTGAACAAAACTCTGAGCAACTAATTTTTGACAGTTGAAAAAAAAAGCTTTTTGGTACATGTCGAATTCGGTTTTTTCATATTTCATCTTTTTATCACTTGATATGCTTTACTAAAAAGAAAGCAAAATATACCACAAGATGCAGCATGAAAAGCTCTACAATTTAGAAAGAACAACTTATTCCATATTTGCACTTTTTTTTCTTAAAATGGACAAAACTCTGTGCGACTAATTTTTGATGCTGCGAACAAGATCCTTTTTTGGCACAAAATCAATTTTGTTCTTATTATTTTGGTTAATGAGTTGTACCGAAACTCATAATCGATGGCTGAACAAACGGATAAAGTTTAAAAAAATGATTGATTAATTAATAACAAAAGAAAAGGAATTCATCAAGTAACAAAAAACTATTTTTTCGAAGAGTCAAAAACTAGTGGCTCAGAATTTTGTCCATTTTAAAAACAAAAAGTGTAATTATAAAATAAGAGCTGTCCTTCTTAGATTGTAGAACTTTTCACACTGCATCCTGTTGTGTATTTTGTTTTTTTAATACAGCGTATAAGGAAATGAAAAAATGAATCGGTAAAAGGAACTTTTTTTGTCCGAGGGAGAGTGTAAACACTGTACATTTTGTACACTTTGCTTATGAAAAAAAGTGTAAATGTACACTTTACTCATTAAAAACACCGTGTACTGTACATTTTATTTTAGATTTCCATTAGAAACACTGATTACTACATACAGCTGATCTAGAAGAAAAAAAAGAAAGGGATGTTCAAATAATCATATATATTCATGGATCAAAACGGCGGAAAACAACTTTCACCATGGAAAGTTCCATCACGTATATCATTAAAACGTATTCGTCATAAAATAAATTCTGATTTATCAACTCAAACACTTTCATCATCAACAATAATTGAAAAAAATTCTCAAAAACAAAATATAAAACGAAATCGTCTTGTTATTAATAAATTTGCATTAGCACGTTCAATATCAACATCAACTCCAAATGAAAATCTTACACCATTAATAGTAGAAAAAACTAATAATGATGAACATTTACTTGCAAGACTTCATCAAATAATGCCACCACCACCACCATCAATAAATGACAAAAATTTTAATGTTAATTTTAAAAGTTTTTTTTTTTGATGATACATTTCAAAACTCGGAATCAAGTAAGAAACAAACTCAAAATAAATTCTATTAAATAAAAATTTTTAATTTTAGATAAAATATCTGATGAAATTCTTTCTTTATTTCCAATTGATTGGTCATTAAAATCATCATGTCGTTTTTATTCTCTTAATTCAACACCTTTCTTAAATAATTTTATGAAACTTCGTTCAACAGATGAATCACTTGCATTAGAATATATTTGTTCAAATACATCTCAAGATAATGAAAAAGCTCTTTTTCGTTCTCTTACATCATATTGGACATATCCACATATAACTTGGCTTAGATTATTTCCTCGTTTACAACAACAACAACAAATGAATATTAATTTTTCATCATTAGATGAACAAGCACAAATAGCTTTACAAGATGAATGGAAAATAACATTTCAATCTCTTTTTCAATCATTTAGAACAAAATATTCACCTTTTTTTTATATGTGTACACATACATTTAATATTTTATTTCGAGAAGATCCTTCATCACAAATTATTGCTATTATTAGTCCAACAACTAGTGGTTTAAGATCAACATTTGAACGAGAAGGAATTGAATTTACAATGGCTGAGTATGTCATCTAGTTTTTTTTTTATGAATAATTCTAGAAAAAAAAAAGAAAACCGCATATTATAGTTGAAGAATAAATAGACTACGATTCAAATCGCACTTATGAAATAGTAATCCTTTCATGTCTGGAAATCTATTCAATAGTGTTTTCTGAAATGTAGAAATTTCAATGCTAACGAGCCTTCTTCTAGATATCGGCTATTAAGCTGATGAAAAATTAGTTGCAATTTTACAAGTTATGACAAAACAATATTTATTATTGAATAAATGTGAGGACGGATCTTACAGAATTTATTTTCTACCTTAAAATATATAAAAGTAACTCTAAAAGTTTTCCTTGTTTGTTTTTTTTTGGATAAAATATGAAAAATATTTTTAATATTTAAATAGATTATTTCATCAATCTTATATAAAATAGTTACCAAATTTCTTAGTTTGTAAAATTCAACAAATCATAAAAATGCATAATAAGATTTATAGAAATTTTCAAGGATATTAATTAATAATATTAGATGCTAAAATGAGAAAATATTCTATTTCATTGTTTCATTTCAGAATATTTCTATGAAAAAAAAGATATCGATTGTTTTTAAATTTATGAAAGACTACAATTACCTCACTATAGACTATTATTACTTGAAATTACATTACCCAAACTCTTACAATTATTTATTCTCACAGGGATACAATTATTAATTAATATTGTATTCTAGAATAATCAAATTTGAGATTGTTTCAGTATCAATGAAGTATTCCTAATGATATATCGTTGTGTTCATTTTTATCAGTAGTCTCAAGTTACAGTGTAACTATGTAGATTCATATAACAAAGTAACGAACTGATGAGCAAGATTGAGAATATTATTTTTAGTGTATGTGCGCTTCGACTTAAGAGTAACACTCTGTGTTTCATATTATGATAAAAACTTTAAGTTTTTATCGAATAGTTATATTTACTAATTTGAAAAAGATGTAAAAAAATAAACAACTCAAACTGTTCCAAAAGATTTTTACCAAAGAAAATAATATTTTACTTTAGTGGTGGTGGTTCATTAAATAATTCAGCAAGTAAGAATAATGATGAAGAAGAAGATGATGATGAAAATGGTGATGAAAATGATGTAACATGTGCTCAATGGTTAGAAGATATGGGTTTATCAGCAACTTCTTCAACAAATTCGACTAATGAAAGACGATGTTTATCATCAAATAAAAAAGTTTCAAATGAAAAAACACGTTCAACAACAATTCTTATTCGAGATTTATCTTCTGTAAATAGTTTATTTAATTTTCTTTTAAATAAATCTCAACGTACATGTATGTCATTAACGGGATCATTAGCAGGAATTCCTCCAACATTAATATCACCACGTCCATTTCTTAATTCAACATTAAAATATTTAAATGTTCATTTTCAATCAAATTCAATGGTTACTATCGATGGTGGACCTTTATTACCTGATCGTATTAAAGGTTTATGGAATTTAATTACAGAAAAAAATCACCAAATACAAATGACATGTACAAATGTTGAACGAACATCAGCTTTAAATTTAGATGGTGAACAAGGTCGAACAATAAAACAAATTTCAATAAATGATAAACGAGATTTACGTGTACAATTTTCAACAGTCTGATTCTTTTCTTTTTCTTCTTATATTTGATATCTAGTCAATCTATTAGGTTGTTTTATTTATCATGTCAGATAGTTTCATTCAACAATATATTATTCATTATTCTTATTCGACTTTATTCTTTTTTTTTCTTAAAAATAAATGTAAAGGTGTCTTGACCTTTTTAAGAAAAAACACATTGAAATAATAAAAAGAACATTTGTTAGAAAATAACTTAATAGTCGAATTCGAATTTGTCGTATGAATATTTCTCAATGAAGACATATTTAGGGTATATTAAAACTAGTGGTAGTGACATTTTAATAACATCTAGTAGACTGAAAGAAACTTTCTATCTACTGTTTTCACTGTTGGAAAGATGAGGTGAAAATATGCATCGAATCGTATTTTCCAACATTGATCTCAGAAGTATTTTTATTAAATTTTCTAAGTTGGCATTTTTTTTTTGTAGGAAAAAGCACAAACGTGAGCTTTTTACACAGATTTTGCTACAAAAGACTCGATTAGAATACATATTATTCATCTTAGGCTGTTGCAGTTTGTAGATCTTCGATTAGTGATTTGAATTTATATTTGATACTTGAAAATTTGCACAAAACAATTTACCAGATAAGCTCGTTTTAAAAAGATCAATTGTGAAAATCTTACACAAAACAGATCAGGAAAATCTGCAATATAGGATTCGATGCATCTTCATTTTCTCTTTCCAGTAGTGAAAACTGCACTTCTTTATCTTATTTCTATCAATAGTTATTTAAAAAATACGAATGAGTATTTTTTTAAATCAGCATTAATACAATCGACACATACCTTATCGAAACTTTATGATTGTGATATTAGCTACAGTATCATCAAATAGCATAGAATGATAAAGTTTTTCTTTGTCTATCACATTATATAGAATGCTACGTTTCTTTAACTCTACTATACGTTATTAAAGTGTCACTGTCACTACTTTTGGTATGCTCTAAGTAAATCAGAAAAATCTATAGCAATCACTATAATAAGAATGTTTATAGACATAAGATTATTGTAATCACAGATGGTTCTAATCATTTGCTTTTGAAATGTAACAATATATGAGAATAGACTGGAGTGAAAATAACTTGTACTGAATGAAATGATCTTTCGAGATGAAGAAATATGAATCCATGAATCTAAATTAATCCAATTTAGTTTTACGACAAATTATTTCATTTCATCAAAATCAATATAACCAAACTGTATTATCTTCTCAAATATGTAGGTTTTACCTTGCATCATTATATATCGTTCAAAGAGAATATCTCATCATAAATATGTATTACAATTAAAATCATCTTTTAACACAAATGATATTGATTGTATAACTTACAAATCTCTTAATCAATTATGAAAAATATATTTAAATAAATGAAAATGTATTTATAAGGATATTTCAGATTATTTTTTGCTGTTGAGATTTAGTCATCTGAATTGAAAGTTTTATTTTTTTTTAAACGTTCTTGAGAGACCCTGACGGCAATGAATAATTGACACATGACCATATAATTTTTAAATCTCTTAGTTCTAGTTATATTTGCTAGTAATTCATTTTGTTAATCGAATATTCTTAATAACAAATGATGTTCACCTAATTCTATTTTGAATAAACGCATATTTTTTTTTTCGATAGATATACAGTAGCTGTATGAACTTATCTGTTGAGTTAGTTGTTGTTCTCTAAGATGTGTGATTGCAATAGTTGTGTACCATCAGGATATATAGCTAGTATACTAAGTAAAAGATAATATGTGTAGAGTATAAGAATTAGTTAGAAAATTTCTAGCATCAATCTCAATTCTAAACTCCTTTATACACCTTTTAGACAACTGATTCTTGTTTATTACATATATATCTATCTTTTCGCTCTCTCCAAAGAGAAGCTCCTGTTGAAATCAAAACTATGTTAGAGTGCCATTGTAGCATCTATTGTCTAAGATAAGATTCTTCTTTCTACGATAACAACATACTAGAAAATTGCGCATTTTCAAAATAAGTTTTCATCAATTACTCAAAACCATAAATATTGAAAATATATTCTGATAATAAACTTTATTATCTCCTTTATTATTAAGAAAACACCTGCATATAGATAATATTGTCAATCCATCGTGTGTATGTCATACAATGAATTGAGGCTGCAAAGTAAATGCTATTCATATTATTAGAAAATAAAAAGTCTACATAAATAGACAAATAAGTCAATCGATATATTCGTAACACTATGCAACAAAAGTTTGATCGATTAACTTATTTATCTAGTCTATGAAGACTAAATTGTGTGTCGCTAACTATTTACCATCTGTTCGAAATTATTTAGTTGAAAAAAGATCAAATGACACATGCTAAAATTTGTTTAAACTACATGAAACTTAAAAATGCTGTTATAACAATAAAGTTTATTATTGCTACAATAAAACAAAAAGAACTACACACCATGCAGTAAAAAAATTAGCTTATCAAAGTATGGTTGGGTGTTGATATGGGAGGTGGGGAGGGGGGTGTCAGTAAAGATCAACTCATCCATACCCACACCCTTTTGAGAATGGAATTGTTTTGAAACCGGAAAGTGGTTCCTCATTTAATTTATTGTACTGGTCTCAAAATGGTTGCATAAAAACTTTTGCATGTAAAATATTTGTTGGATCTAATTTGTGCATTTTTCTCCAGTGATTTTTCCAACTGAATTTAATTCATTGTCAACATAAAGAATAGATTGTGATGGTGTTAATTGGAATTTCTTCTTAGAGAGAAATCTTCTGAAATTTATTCACTGAGCACCAGAGTAGAGAAATTTCACCTGGCATAAAAGTTATGTAGTAGGTTGATGATAATTTCAGACATTCAAGCCCAATTTTCCGAACTGTTCCTTTTTAAGTTCTTTTATAAATGTGATCTTCCAGTTTTGCTCTTCTCATAATGCAAACTGATTGTTTGGTAAAACAAAACCAACTTCACTTCATCAATCAAATCAGAAAAACTAATTTACATACTAATAGAAGGTGCTTGAAGAAGCAAAACCTCGAATTACATTTCGAAAGGCAGTATATCAATTAAAACAAGAGAGATATAAGAGAAAAAAAGATATGCATGAAATAATCCATGACGATTGTATAAGTTATATGGATTCGCCAATCTATATAAGGATCTGTTTGTAAATAATATGTTTTATAGTCGACTGATACGTAAGTAATAGAAAATAAGTACTAGGAACTCCTAATGGAAGAGTGTACAAGTTTTACTATATGATTCTGGATAATAATTCATTTTTCAAGATTCCAAATTCATCATATGAGATAATGTTGCATCAAAATATGCTTCATTTCTTGTCTGTGTAACTTTTTACTAAACAGATAAAGGTAGTTCATGCATATAACCTGTTTCAGCATCTGAGCAAAAAAATGATTCTTTTGGTATCGTAACAATAATTTGTGATGTTAACCAACGTATTCTATTATTAGTTAATATTAATAATTTTCATCCACATGATGCTTAATATCCATTAGTATATTGGGTGTGGGTGTGGATTAAAAGAGAGCACACTCCGACACCCACATCCTCAAGTATTTCGAACAATATTTCAACTTTCCTGAACCCTTGATGGTGGATGAGATAATGGCCATAATTACTTCAAGAGAGTCATTTTCTTAGATTGTCATTGTTGCTTTATTTTTTGTTATACTTCACGGATGTCCATTCCTAATTCTGGTTAATTCTAGTTCTTGGAATTGACGGTGGATATCAGCATGTTTTCTTTTACACAACGCATATACCCAATGTACACATCTCATCGTCTTATTTCGACGTTTCCATATGTCAATAAATATCGATTCCTAATAAATCATATACAAGCCAATTTTCCTGTTTTTCTTTCATTCAGTACTTCAACTGTTTATATTTTAATACAATATTGACTTATTTTACACAAAAAAAGGAAGTAATATAATCACTTTGTTTTATTGAAGGAAAATATTCTTGAAAAGATTTCAAAGATCTCAATTCACTCCACGGTAAAAAAATCTTCTACTTTGATACAATTCATTCGAGTATCTTTCCTTGTAAATTATTTTGTTACTCTTAATAAAGCTTTACTATCAATACGAAGACGAATATTATTTTGAAAAAATGTTCTTGCATCACTGAGAAATTCTTCCACATAATCATCATAAACCCGTTCAATGTCAAGTTCAATAAGATGAGAATACTTAACAACTGATAAGTGACAATTATCATTCTCTGATTTAGAAGATTGTTTGTATTATTGGGGTTTCCGATTAATCAAAACTAATTTTTCTATAAATGGAAACGATTGAGTTATTTGAAGAAAAAATTCATGTTCAAAAGGGTATTCATCATATAATGATACAACACGAACATATGGATAATATCCACTCGGAAATTGATTTGACAAATATTCATAATATGACATTTGAGAAGGATATGTAAATACATGACATTGACATTCTCTTCTGCCTAGAAAACGATCCATATAACATATCATTTGTGCATGTGGAAAGTTTTTGAATATATTCTTTCGATGGTAAAATCATTTCATTTTTAATTCTCATAATCGAAAGAATATAAAATGTGAATTTATTTAATTGTGACATATGATTAAGAATTTTGTTCTTCAAATTATGTCCATCAATGAATGTTTCTTCAACTGAAATCGAAAGAGATAAATTGAGTGTTTCTAAATTTGACATTCGATAAAGAGATGGAAGAACCAATGCATCGTAAGAGGTTATTCCCTGGTAACAAGACAAGGAAAAACACTTTCGACTTGGTACATCACCCTAGAAAATATAAAACCAGATTCAATTTCATTTCCTGTAACAAAAACTAACTTGATTTTCAATTTTTTCCGATGCTGAAATATTGGCTGACTCAACAATGAGTGTGTGAAGTTGACTAAAACGACCAGCCAGTAGACACAAACATGTAACAAAAAAATCAATCTTAATATTCAATACGAAAAAGAGATGAAGAACAAAAATTAATCGGTGGATACAATGGTAACGTAACGATATTTCCATATGATGATTCGGAAAATATTAAATCAGTTAACTTCTTAAATACACTAAAAATGTGATTGTTTATGTATTTCATTGTTGAGTGATGTTTCTGATTCTGATCAGTATCAATTGTAATCAGAAGTTTGGTAACTTGATTTTCAAAAAGACCAGATGAAAGATTTACATCTAAGCATAGAAATAGTATTATTAACAAGAAATAGTCATGTTAATTTTAATCAATCATTCATTTATTTTCGACTATTACTATTGGATTTACAGATTTTCTTGCCAGTAAAAAGACTTATAATTGTTTCTTCTTCGGTATTGAATAGACCGAGTCCATGTAAATTAGAATAATCAACAGCACATAGAATTCGTTTCATAGAGAATGATTCAACATCAAGCCATTGGATTTTCTCACGAACTGCAGATAAAATTTGTAAACAAAATCGATCAAATATAATATCAAGGGAATATACATTGAGAAATTTCTTCGAAGATCTTTTCAAGAAATTCAAACGATTTGTAAAAATTGGATCTAGTAGAATTGAATTCAACCGTTCATTGACACCAAATAAAGAACTTCAACATTGTGCATTTGTTTGAAAATAAATATAAGAAGTTCATCAGATAAATCTTTTAATTGAGCGTATGACTCATTCATTTTTATGTGTAATAATTCTATCGATTCTCTCTCTCAAGAGCCAATATTTATATATGAATGCTCATTTGTTCAATTTGACGGATACCGTCAATAGCGAAAAGAACAATAAGATATTTTTCAATAGTCAAAATTCTCAATGACTTAAAAATGTTGTTATTCCTCCTTTTTCTTCTTTGCTAATGAAGTTTCATTTGATTTTTTTCTCCATATGTTTTCTAATAGTTGGAAGTAGAAGAGAATAGAGTGTGCGCGTGGGCGTGGGTGTGGGTGTAGGAAAGCAAGAGTCCCACACCCACTCACACACGCCCAAACTGATAAACATCCACACCCATACCATGGTAGACTGTGAAAGAAGTTGTTGTATATTGTCGAAGTAAATTGCTGTTTTCAACAAGACTCGCACAAAGGTCCATAATATAAAAACGAAATGTGTATAATACTTCGACATCCTCCGTACGAAGAGCTTTATTGATCATTTTACAAATAAAACTATCTCTTGTATGCCACGTAATGGCTTGATCTACACTATGTATTCATTCGAATTTATAGATATTTTTTAGTTCTTTTTCGTTATTTCGATAGTATTTTGGACATTGATGTATCATTGTTTGTTTTCCATTTGAATCTATTCTTTGCGCCGACATTTTTTGCATGGCTTCTTTAATTAATTGAAGCCAAATGAATGAACCAGTTTCACTATCTAAACTGCGTGCTAATCGTTGTTTAATAGGATCGTACATTTGTAAGGGTGTGGATGGATGTGGATGTTGTTGTGTGGGGTGTGCCTGTGGGTGTGGTTGTGTTGATGTGGGTGTACAATCAGAGAATACCCGCACCCCACACCCACCCACACTCTTAAGATAGGCGGACCTCCATTCATGCCCTTCCGCATTATAGACATCACTAATGAAATGTCCCCTTGCTAATTAGAGATCATTGTAATAAGGGTACTATCTCTCCTTTCAACAGGACAGAAACTTGAAAAAACAAGCAAGTCGTACCCATTACAGACACTAGCAACTAGGTTATGCTACCATTACAAACTTTAGTAACAAGCCTCAATCAGCATTATAGACCTTAGCAACTAGCATAAGCCCCATTACAGATATAAGTAAACAGGTAATGTCAGAATTACAGATCTTAGCAATAAGGTCCATTTAAAAAAAAGATCTCCACCTAACCTATTTTGCATAATCTTAGTCAGCCTAAAGCATATATGTGAATTCTACATTTTAGCTCCAAACGGGCTGTGCTTATCAACTTTTCTTGTTGAGTGTTGACATAGAACTTTCTACTTTTCAGTGGGTTTTTATCTTCTCCCATTTTTCGTGGGTTCTCCTCCTGATCACGGAAGCCTTTCTTTCTCCACATTGATGGTAAATAAATTAGTCTTGAAATAGCGTATCCTTATATTTCAAAAATAGCCCAATCACTAGCTACTTGTACGAGGAATCGAACTTTAGATGATCGGGGAACAAGGAATTTATTTTCGACATAATTAACGGATGCCGCTGATCCTTCCTGAGTGAATGGCTAAGATTCAGAATAGAGAAACACTTGTAGTCGAAAACGGGTAACAGAGAACAGGCAGAGATGATTAGCATTAAAAAACGGATGATCTGAACCTTGCATTAATAAATTATTGCTCGACTTTTCAACGAGAAAATCCTTGTATATTTGGCCTTCTTTCGTATCACGCGAATAGCATTGAATTCTTGTAGCTTGTGGCAATAGACACGGCTATAAAATGAAAGCGCTTTGAAAGCAGAACCAATGGATAGAAACCTACCAAACCAGATGGAACTCCCTAGGCGAACTGGATCTTTCCAAGCTCCTCTATTGCCACTAAAATGGTTCTAAATGCTTCACCATAAATGCCAACTGTTGAGATAATCGCTTATTTTGCTCTATATTTTGTTCACTCGAATCCTATTTTCTAAGCAATCAGTCAGTATGGTAAAGCATATCGAAATTACTAGTTTTTTACAATTTTGAATCAAATACTTCCGTCAAGCCTACAGAAAATCACTCTTATTAATGCATAGGAATCTTCCAATTGTCCTCTGATTTACGCTGAAACTCTCTTATTTCTACTTTATTCTTCAACTCCACGACGAAACTATCCATGAAGACTCTGTTTGCATTCCTCTGAAGGGTGTGTGGATGTGGGTGTGGGTGTAGGTGTGGGTGTGGGGTGTGGGTGTGGGTGTGGGTGTGGGTGTGGGTGTGGGTGTTTGTGAAGGGATGTTCAGAACAACCCAGTGAAAAAAGAGAGTTTCAGCGTAAATCAGAGGACAATTGGAAGATNGCCGATAACAAGACAAGGAAAAATACTTTAGACTTGGTATTTCACACTAGAAAAGAAAAAAGCAGATTCAATATCCCTTTCCTGTAACAAAAACTAACTTGATTTTCAATTTTTTCCGATGCTGTAATATTGGCTGACTCAACAATGAGTGTGTGAAGTTGACTAAAACGACCATCCAGTAGACACAAACATGTAACAAAAAAATCAATCTTAATATTCAATAATAAAAGAGATGGAGAACAAAAATTGATCGGTGGATAAAATGGTAACGTAACGATATTTCGATATGATGATTCCGAAAATATTAAATGAGTTAACTTCTTAAATACACTAAAAATGTGATTGCATATGTATTCCATTGTTGAATGATGTTTCTGATTCCGATCAGTATCAATTGTAATCAGAAGTTTGGTAATTTGATTTTGAAAAAGACCAGATGAAAGATTTATATCTAAGAATAGAAATAGTATTATTAACAAGCAATGGCCATGTTAATTTTAATCAATCATTCATTTATTTTCGATTATTACTATTGGATTTAGAGATTTTCTCACCAGTGAAAAGACTTTTAATTGTTTCTTCTTCGGTATTGAATAGACCGAGTCCATGTAAATTAGGATAATCAGCAGCACATAGAATTCGTTTCATAGAAGATGATTCAACATCAAGCCATTGGATTTTCTCATGAACGGCAGGTAAAATTTGTAAACAAAATCGATCAAATATAATATCAAGGGAATATACATTGAGAAATTTCTTCGAAGACCTTTTCAAGAAATTCAAATGATTTGTAAAAATTGGATCTAGTAGAATTGAATTCAACCGTTCATTGACACCAAATAAAGAATAAAGAACTTCAACATTGTGCATTTGTTTGAAAATAAATATAAGAAGTTCATCAGGTAAATCTTGTAATTGAGCGTATGACTGACTCATTGTTATGTGTAATAATTCTATCGATTCTCTCTCTCTCTCAAGAGTCAATATATATATATATATATATATGAATGCTCATTTGTTCGATTTGACCGATACCGTCAATAGCGAAAAGAACGATAAGATATTTTTCAATAGTCAAAATTGTCAATTGTCAATGACTGAAAAATGTTGTTATTCCTCTTTTTTCTTCTTTTCTAATGAACTTTCATTTGATTTTTTTTCTCCAACTGTTTTCTAATATTTGGAAGTAGAAAAGAATATTTTATGTAAGAGAAAATGGATATTTGATAAAATAAATCACTTTCTTGTTATGAATGTTCACATTTTTCTCGTCGATGTATTATTTTAAGACAGTGGCGGATCCACCGTTCGGCGATCCGGCGACCGCCACCCCCTCGCGAGATTTTTTTTCTTTTTTTCTAAGCAGAAATGTAAAAAAAGAGGCTGTATTGCCTCAAATAAACCTTGAAAGTAATTTTTTGATTATAACCGCCACTCCCTCACTGATTTTCTGGATCCGCCACTGTTTTAAGAATAAATATTTTGATGTATTATAAATGTTTTATAAAGAGAAGCGTCTAATATATCATTACAAAAATTCTATTTGAATGACTTAGATTTCTTTTGAATTCTAGAGATAGTAAATAGATCAAATTTGACATGAGATTTTATCAATAAACGTTTGATTGTATTTAATTGATTAACTTTTATGAATGAACTTTATAAAATCACAACTAAAAATATGAAGTAGAAGATTTGAATAAGATTTTTATACGCATGCAAATAAACTACGATTTGGTATTGGAGATGCTGAAAATATTGATTTCAATGGATAGAACCATCTGATTTTCGTATTAATGAACTTTCGATAACTGAAACCGAAATCATATAAAATAACTTGAGAATAGATAGAGACAAATATAACAACATCAAATTTCTTTGAACTATCTGAATTACGGTTTGCTCATGTTCAAGTAACGGATGTTGCATATCGATAAACATGATACGAAACAAGTTTTAGCTATCGATTCATTTTGATTATTCTTTCACTTGTCCTGAGAAGAAACAGATTTTTTAAATTAAATACTGTCTTTTCTTCACCTTTCTATTTGAAATTACAGGAAATATAATAGTTGATATATATTCTGATGGAGAAATGAACTTAGTTTCTGTTGTCATTTATGTTTTATAAGAAAAGAAGAGCGCTCTGTTAGACAGAATTGAAATGTGGTTAATCGACAATGAGATTATATTTCATAAAAGACAAACGATTTAGTTCTTTCAAATATATTGTATAATAGATCAGTCTCAAGCTTATGAAGAACATTAGACACTCTTTGTGTTACATTATATCATTCAAAATGGCAAAAGTAGAAGAATACATCATTATTGGCTTTTGTTCTTTTTTTATATTTATTTAAGTCTAATAGCTGAGCATTTTAATAACATATGTCTGATAATGGATTCTATTCTATTTCATGTTAGATGACCTGTACAATAGAATTACTCATCAAAGCACCTTGAACTTTCTGAGATCATCGATAAGCGTTGTTCACATCGTGTATAATGAAATTTTTATCATGCTAGAGAGAACGAGGTTAATAACTATAATCAGGAGAAATCGAATCAATCATTTACTCATATTCTGAATCAAGAACTAACTCGTAATCCTTGAATATAGATTATAGAATGTGTGAAAAGATTGACTCTGTATGTTATTATACAAAAGTCATCATTTTGATCGTTTTTGTCAAAACTTTTGATTGATATTCTATGCTGAAAACGAGTAAACTCAGCATTCTTTGAGCTATGTGAACCGAGATTATCAAAAGGCTGTGTAATACGGTTCAATACTCTTTTCTGTACCAAAACACGGAGATGAAGATTAGCAAATCGATTCAATAAAATCAGATGTATATATTTTTCGTCTGAACATGTCCTTAATCTAGTTATATGATGAAGTTTTTCTTTTCTCATCAAAACCTAGTAGGTCCATTGCAAAGATTTCTTAATCGACAAACGTGACTGTAGAGCCTTTTCGTAACTAGTGAACAAGTCATTTCAGAAAATGCTCAAATAGTATAAGAATCATTTCACACCTTATATATTGATTATGATGGTCTTGAAAAAAAGAACACAAGTCAATCTAAACATCATATAAAGATATGTTATTTATTTGTTATTATCATTATATTCTTTTGATGAGTTTTATTATCTGGTTTAAATATCACATGTAGTCAAGAGAGCATAAAAAAATTTGCCTTTTTCCTATGTTGAACAACAATAAGAAGATAAGAGGTAATCTTTTCTTTTTTTTTGTACAAATTAATAACACGCGAAAGAAAAATAACACGAAGACGATGTAAATGTATCAGAGCATTATTTAGAAGAAGAAGAAAAAATAAACATAGACATCAGTAATAATAAGAAAAAAAACGAAGAAATTATCAGAATAAGTAAAATTAAAAAAATCAGAGACAATTAATCATTTGGTGGATATTTTTTTAGTTGTTGAGCTAGATTATGAATTAATTGTTCTTCTGTTAGCTGTTGTTCTTGTTGAGGTGGCGTTTCGACATCATATGAGTGTGTTGAGTGATTAGATGGATACATATGAGAAGTAGGATGATGTATTGGTTTCATAATAAAATTGTTGCTCATCATGGTGGAAAAACTTGTATATTTTTGTTGCTGATCCGATGGTAGTGGTGATTGAAGTAAAGAATTAAACTGTTGCTGCAGATCAGGTAATGAAGATGAAAGTGATAAATCTTGTGATGAGCATGATGGATTATTTGAGTGGTGCATAATTATGCCATTAGGATCAATTGTATGATGGTGAGGCGGCATTTTGAACCTCTTTCGACGTGATGATGGTAAATTATTTTGATGATGTGGGTCGATATTCTGAGCAAAAAAAAAAGAAAAATGACTAAATAATTTTGATTTTTTGCTCTTATAAAAGAAAAAGAAATATACTTGAAACTGTGTGTGTTGTGCCGCCCTATTGATATGATCCATGGATTTCGACGTATGTTCAAAATTTGAATTTTTCATGAATTTTTTTGTTCGATAATTATTTGGTGAATCAGGTGGAGAAGTAGACGATTTTAAATTATTTACCATCTGCATCATACTAATCAATGGTGATTCCATACTTGATATAGGAGTATTTGGTTCACCATTACTATCTAATGGTTTATTTTTGATCGAATTATTATTTGATACTTTAGATATTGATGATAAATTATTGTTTGTTAAACGTGGTGGTGATGTTGAAATACTTCGTCGCTTTACTTCTTGTGAATGACGTGCAGGTGTTGTTGAAACGAATGGTTGTTGTTGTTGTTGATCAGATGATACTTGATCTAGATTATTATTGGATGTTGAAGTTGAATGTCGTAATGGTGCCATAGATACATCTTTATACGATGATAGATTATCTGATTGACAAGTTGTATTTATATTTTTTGTAATAATTAATTCTTCACCTTCCATATCTAAAGTAAAAAAGAAATAAAAATAATGATCAAATAAAAAGAATGTATACTATACTGTATTTATTATAATCTATTAATGTTGTTGCTGTTGTTAATCGTCCTCCACCTACATTACCAAATACCTTTTCATTTGTTGATGATGGTGATGAATCTGAGATGAATTTTTCTGGTTGATCAGCTTTATATAAATGTGGTACTATATACGATTCCGTTCCAGATGAAAGTAATATACCATTTGGCCATAATTCAGCTCTTTGTATTGGAGTTGTTGGACGTGTTAACGATGGTAGTACAGCTAAAAATATATAGGAATTGATAAAATAATGTAAAACGAAATTGTACTTGATAAATTGTTTCGTTGTTCAAAATTATCTTCAATATCTTTTTTATTATCAAGTATTGAATTATCGATAGGTAATTCAGACATGTAAGTTGTTGATGCATGTGTGATTAGTTTAATACCAACTAAGAAGTGATTAGTAAAAGAAGAACAAAAATCACGAAGAATACGTATTGAATGAAGAATATTTTTAATGATTAATGGTTTCAATACATTTAATTTAAAACTTCCCATCGAAACACCAACAGTAAGACCAAGATGATTGTTCATAACTTGAGCAGCGACCATAGTCATTACTTCATATTGAGCGAGATTGACTTGACCAGGCATGATAGAACTACCTGGTTCAATTTCATATAAAATTGATTCCCCTTAAAAAAAGATATTCAATAAATTTTAAAAAAAACTAAATTAGAGAAACATATTTACCACTAGCACAACGAGGTTTGGAAATTAGTAGACAAATATCATTGACGATGTTCACTACAAAGAAATTAAAAAAAAGTTCCGAAAAAAAACATGAACTCTTCACTTACTTAAACTAACAGCTAATGTATTGAGTACACCACTTAATTCCACCATTAAATTATACGTATTTAATTCGTCAAATTTATTAGACATATCAATAAATGGAAAACCTGTCAATCGTGCTATTTCCTGAACAACATTTTTTCTAAAATCTTTCGGTATATTAATTGTCTTTCCGGCAGATGTATCATTGATATTTAATTCACATAAACGGCTTTGACATGTTGTTAAACGTTCAATATTCATTGATATTGACATTGAAGAAAAGTCTGGAACTTTGTTTTTTAAAGCTTCTTGTAGATTAATCAATGCTGGATGTAGTCCATTATGTAATTGGAAGAAAGCCGCAATATGCATAGCTGAAAAATAAACATAAAAATTTTTATCAAAGAAATTCTTTTACCTGTTGAAAACGTATAATCTGAACTTTGGTTTTTATTAACATGATTAATTGGATGAACAGGTGTTTTACTTCCTATAACACCTCCAAGAATTTCAATTGCTCGATTGGAAATGACTTCATTAAAATTCACATTTGTTTGTGTACGGGATACTGTTTGCCAAGTACTCAAGAAAAATTGATTGTTTAATTTTTGTTTAATAATATCATCACATGCTTGTATAATTGCAGTCGAAATATTTTTTTCAAGTCCAAAGTATACATTCACCATTGCAGATACTTTTTTAATTAAACCAAACGCTTCTATCATTGGTAATGGCATTTGATCTATATGGAATTTTGTAAAAGATTAATTAAAAAAAAATTTTTTTTACCAGTAGATAAACCAATATTAAAATGTTTCATTGATCGAGCTGTTTCTGCTCCATAGTAACAATGTGCAGGTACTTCAATTGGACCAAATGAATCTTCTTCTACTCTTGTTTCACAAATTGTTTTTGATGTAAATACCATTTTGTATATCTTAAAATAATTTTCTTCCTTATTAAAGATGAGTTATTGATAGATTTACCTTCACGTATTTCGATTAGAAAAAGACACAAACACTTGAAAAAAAAATATATAGATTCTTTTACTATCTAAAAAATATTTGAAATAAATATAGAAAAACTCTACATCTAAATGTACAGAAAAAATTGAAATGTTGTATAAAAGAAATTCGATCAAACAAAGGAGAAGAAGAAAAAAAAATTATTTATTTATTTCCAATAGAAGACAACTAGATTTTCTAAGAATATCTTCACAAAATCATTTATAATGACAACTATTTTCTGTTGTTAATCATCTTTAATAAATACATTAGAAATAAAATCATTTCTAAAGATTTACTTTAGATAAAAATCATTCATTAAAACCATAATAGCAACGTCTAACACTTTCAAATGTAGAAGTTTTTAATAAATCAAATAACATTTTTGCATGTGTTTTACATAGTTCAACTGATAGTAATATAAATTTACATAAACATATTGTTACATTTAATTGTTATTCTTCTTCATGATATTCATTTCGATGAAAAAGAATCTTAAAGAAAAAAAGAAAAACAAAGTTTATTATTTTCAATTAGAAATCTGANTACGTACGGTTTGAGTAAATAAAAATAACTTCGATAACAAGTGTCATCGAAGTTGTAACTTCGATAACCACTGCCATCGAAGTTGTAACTTCTATAAAAAAATTCTATCGAAGTTAAACTTCGATAAGAGGAAGCATCGAAGTTGTAACTTCGATAAAAATTTTATCGAAGTTATAACTTCGATAAACATGCTAACTTCGATACGACATATACATGTTTAGAATAATCATAATATTACAAAACCATTTTCTAGAACATGTTCGTCAATTTTGAGATCAATGAACAAGATAACATGAATCTATTGTTGTATCGTACTGCAAGTTTATGATGAATATCCAGTTAAAATGAATTTTCAATCGAAAACAAAATCTTCTGGGTTATTGAGATTCATTGAAACAAAATTTTTTTATAGTTATGTTATCTTCATTGGATAAAAAACTAAATGAAAACTCAGAACATCGTAATTTTTTGGTTCCTAGAAAAATAAAAATGCTTCGATCAGTTTTAAAACGTAATGAAATTAATAAAGCTTTTGTATTTTACGATAATTATGTTTATTGACAAAAATTCTTTTCTGAATAACGTCTAATTAATGTTCCTATCAGCTATTCAATGACTCTTTGAAATATGGTTAAAGAAAACGAAATTGATTATTTTATTGAAAGTATTTATCCACATTTAAAAGACAATTTAATATTAAAATAATAATTTCCTTATTTTCATCACAAACATCACGATCAACTATCAGATAATAAACATTTTCAACAATTATTAACATTAGAAAATAGAGAAAAACAAAGATTTTCATCTCTTAATTCTATTCAAATGAATAATACGAAGGTTGCAGTGTATTATAAAAAACACGCAATATATATATATATTGGTTACTAAATGGGTTATTGCTGATCACGTGTACGCATTGAAATATTTCGACAGATTTTTGTTACCTTAACTTTTTTTTTCACTTTACTTATTTTACCTTTTGTTTTTGTATTTCTTCGTGTTTGATATAAAAAATGATATCTATGCATCTATGTGCATAAAGTGTGACCAACAGCGAAGTATAATAACGAAAAAGATTCATTTTTCTTGAAGGTTTTTTCCTGTCTTTCACGTTTACAAAGCGGCATATATTACTGGAAGACGCATAGCAGTTTTATCATTCCTCTTCATTTTGACAGTTAGTATCATAGTTATTTAATTCACTATGTTAGAAGCAATAGGTATTGCTGTTATTTGTATTGGAGCCATAGCTGTAGCAATTAGTGGATTAGCTGCCATGGCAATTGCTTTTGCTCCAGTAGTTTCATCTCCAGAAGACAAATATGAAATTAATGAAGAAGAATACCAAGATCGTTTAAGAGCAAATTATGAGTCTGTTTATATGTACACTGAATTTGGTGGTTTTCCACGAACTAGGATTCCAAGATCTTCAGTTTACACTTGATATGTATTATTCTACTTTTCATATGTTCTTCTTCAACATATTCATTGTATTTTTCTTTTCATATTCATTATTCATTTAACTACTATGAATATATCAATTAACAAAACTCAATCGCAAACATATTTATACTCTTTCTTTTTAATTTATTCACAACTATATATTAAGTTTCGTTTAAAACTACATTTATAATTTTCTTTTGGTAGTATGTGTAAAACTACGTAAATATTTTATAAGAAATTCACAGCATATATCATGTTTTTTTTTTAGGAAGTAATCGTTTTAGTTGAACCATATATGGCAGTTTTATCTTAATAATATATATATATATATATAGTCAATTTAATTGACAAGAATCAAGTTCAACATATTAAAATCACGAAAATCATCTCATCAATAAGATAAAACTTAAAGTATTTTGTTCGCATATTAATATTAGACAAATCAATAACGTTCAAATGTATTTTACATAATTAATAATTCATATATAAATATATACATAAGCCAGTCAACTAGGAACATCAAGTATACTCTTAATAACCACAAATTTTCTGCAATTTTATTTCTTTTTCTTTCAATGCATTTTTCTAATATGAAGACTAAAAAATACTGGACACAAATTAATAATTATTAAATATTGATTCACTATTTATATCCAAAGTTTTTTTTTACACAATAAGATGCATTTGAATTATGTAGTCAATATTATTATACGCGATTTTGGGTGTGTTTTTTTAAAAATCTAAGTGTTGTCGTAAATTATCTATCGTCAAATACAATATTTGTTGTTGGTTTTTGTTTCATCATTGTTTAATCATGCGTGATTGATCTTTTTCACTCTGTACAAAATATTATCAAAAAAGAGGAAAAAAAAAAGAAAAGCACATTACACCTTGACGAGTTGAATAGAAGGGAAAAAATGCTTAAAATACACACACACACACATACATACACAGACATACACTTGTTTGAGGAAAATAACATACATGAAAAAAAAAGAAAAAAGTAATCATGACTAGTCATAGATATATATAAGGAAAGAATAAAAAGGCTAGTGGGACGGACAAATTAGCACCAAATTAATAAATATATAAATGAATTAGTTTGGTGAAGAAGATATTGTTGGTTTCCATGGTTTAACACGAACTCGATAGAATTTCGTACCTAATGGTACATTAAAACGATTATTTGTTTTTTTAGCTTGACAATATTCTTTATCGGTAACTTGACCAAGCAGTGGAGTTGTTGATGGATTAAATCCATTATTTCCAATTAATGTTGAGTTAATCATAGATGTATTTATAAGTGATGGAATACTTGTTGAAACTTTTCCATTATCAGTAGATATTGAATCAATAACATTATTTGTATTATTTATTTGTTGATTTAATATTTGTTTTTGTTGAATATTAAATAATTCATAACAATCTGAATGTATAAAGTGAAGTGTTGGTAAATAAGTAAATATCATATAATGTTGATATGTTGTATCAAAATAAATAATAACATGATCTGATCGATTTACAGTAAAAAATGCAATTGGTGTTGCTTGTGGTGAAGAATTTGTTGATAATGTTGATAGTCGTGATGTTGATGATACAATTGGTGATGAACTAACAACTGAAGATATTGGAGCAGTTGTTTGTGCTAATAATGGATTTGTTATTTGACTTGGTGGGGATGCTGCAAATGGTGTATATAATTCTACAGCATTACTTGATTCATTTGGAGAGGATTTAAAACATGTTTCCATTAAAAAATTATTAACTGTTGCTTGTGTTGGTTGTTCGCTTGAACAAAAAACAGAAAAGAAAAGAAAAGAAGAAATTAGATTTCTTTTTTTCTTCAAATCAATACATAATTAACCCCCTAGGAGTTTCTATTATGGGAGTAGCTACTAATTCGACTTTTATTTAAAAAAACATACTGAAAAAGATACTAAATTTCGATCTTTATGCCAAATCTCGATTTATATAAAATGAATCTCTTTAAATAACAAGATATTAAATTAATTAGTGTTATTTTCTTTCAATCAATAGGATATCGTAGAGTAATAATTGAAGTAAAAAGATACAGATTGAGAAATGTTTACTTTATTTCGAAAAAGGAACAATCATACAGACAAATTCTCACTACTGTATGGTATTAATTACGATTAATTTGTCTTTAATTATTAGACTACATCGTGACATATATCTATACATGTCATCATCATTGGCTTCTACTTAAGTCTATCGTCCTCTTTATTATTTGTGCCTAAAGAAAAGATTAGTGAAGTGTTCTGTTAAATACGTCGAACCTTATTACAAGAGAACACCGTCTCGTATACGTGCTCTTTTCATGTTCCAACCATATTATGACATTACGAGCAGAAGAAATATGAATTTGTTAATCTGTGATGATGTTCAAATACTTGTTCTCATACACAGTGACCATGATCTCAGGCAGACGTCAGCGAAAAATAATAATGATTTCTAGAGATTATTTTTAATCATGAGTATTTGACGTTTGAAGAAACTTTTTTTTTTAATATGGAAACGCCGCCTCACTAAGACTAATTACAGAGTAACTACAAAGTTTTGCTTGAAAAACTGGAATTGTCTGAACACAATAAAAGGCTTGGGACTTCGAACACGTCTTTTATATCAATAACTCTTGAGGAGACTTCTGATATGAGGAACCTTTTATTTCGGGAAGTAGTTTATTGTTATATACATATTCACTAATATTCGAATATTAAATTTTTTGTAAATGATATAAGTAATGAATTTTATTTTAAATAAAGAAGCTGTCAGCATAATTTCAACGGGATCAAAAGATGAAACAAGATCTAAGTGAGCTTGATATTCAAAGGGAGGTTTATCTTAATCTATCTATTTTACAATACGTTTCTAAATCATCCTTTTACTTATTGCTCCAGAACTGTAGTCAGGAAGTTGTTTATATATTATGATAAGATGTTATTGATGTATGATCTTTGATAGAGTTTCAGGCTGTCTGCTACGCTGCATGCACAGAAGGTAGAGGAGGGAACGGTTCATTTTTCTCTCTGTATTCTTCAAAAATCTTTTCATTAGTTAGACATTAATTATGCCTGAAGGAGTCATTGATGAGCCATTATTGAGGTATTCATTTTTTATTAGACATTAATTAAGCAATAGTTTGATATTAACTAGTTAATTAAATAAAATATTTGTCACGGTCTTCTACTCGATATAATTTAGCTCTCCTTTTAGATTGCGGTTCACAAAATTGATTTTGTAATATTGTAAATGTTTTTAACAGGTAGAGAGAAAAGCAAGCATAAGTTTGTTATATTTCTATATATTGGCGTGGCTAAGTGTTACGGAATTTCATTTTTGTTTCAAATAGTAGCATCTATTTCTAGTCAATGAAAATAGCAAATTCTAAAAAAATTTTATTATCAATCGAGACAATCTAGATGAACTAACAGCGAAAACTCCATTGATCTTCATTGAGTCCGTGTTGAGCTATTAAAAAAATAGTGACTATAACGAAAAATTTTTTTTTTAGTGAAGCTACGAGTTTAGCGTTTTACTAGGAAACGAAGCGATATACATACAAACTTTCTATATAAAAGTCGCTCAGTTTTTAACAAGCTTTCAACACATTAGGTCATTTCTTAACAAGCATAATTCTGTCGAATAACAAACTGAAAATTGTGTTTGCTATGGAACTTTATTCTTTTGTCGAAAAAATCACAGTTTGGATCAGAACGAAAACAAAATAAAGTTCAAAGCAATCAGATATTCGTCATCAGCATCAGATTCTGCATCAAATATGGTTTTTCGGTAGAATTCAATGAAAATGTTTGTTCAAAGTTTTCGACCCGAGAAATTTCCAAGAAAAATAAGAGTTGAATTTTTAATTAACTAAATAGTACATTTATTCAGAGTTCGATACTAATTCTAAATATGTCTATTCTCATGAACAAAACAAATGTAAAACGGTTAATGGTCTAAAAAACATCTCTAAATTCGGACACTAATGAAATTTCGTAACGCAGTATATATATCGAGAAAATGAGATGCGAATACAAAATAAACTGCGCTCAAAATGTATGTGTTTGGTTAAGCTTGTTCAATTCTATATAGATACGTCACTTTTTAAACAGTAGTTCGAATCCGATGAAGAATTTTGTCTGCTGATGGATCCTTGTTTGACAATGTATTTCACTACCATCTTTCAGACAAATTTTCAAATTGTTGACTCCGATAAAGATTTTGTGTGTCGAGAGCATTCAATACTGCTCAGGAAAAGAAACGCTTCTATTTCAAATCCTATCGATCATTTTCTTTCCAATGGTAGACTCAGCTTTCTTCAATTATAAATTCGAACTCTTTAATGGTTTCGAAAAATTAAGATAAACTCGTGGGAAGATAGGCCGATGTTTGATCTTTCATAAATGACATAAGTGTTTTTTTTCCGAAAGAGTAGAAAATGCTTTTTCTAAATATTGTGTTGTTTTTCAGTCTATATATTTAATGTTTTTGTTGTTGTTTGAAAGACCACCATGTCAAAATGCAAGTTATGAGAGAACTTCTTTGAATTAAGCTTTTTTACTATTAAATAAAAGAGTAGTTTTATAAATAGGACGTCATTTTTTTAGTTTCTCGAAATATTAAATTTTTCATTTCTTTTCTCCACTTGCAGGAACTATTTTTGTTTGTTCTTGGTTGAATATCTCTCTCGAAAATGTTACAATACAGGGCTGAAAATCTTCCCATAGCATCTTAACTAAAGTTTCAACATATCCTGAAAATCTCAAGAGATTTGAATTTATTTGACTTAAAACTTATTTTTTAGGAATGGGTAAAATCTTAAAACTAAATAAAACATGTGATAATTGATGTCTTATATTATCTAGAAATAATTTAACTTGATAGAAAAGTTTCTCTATCTTGAAATGTGATATAATTAAAAAAGAATTTAAAAAGAAAAACCTAATAATAATTACGTTTTTGGTGATGTTGCAGCATTTCCAGCAGCTAACATACTTTGAGCAATAAATGTACTTGGCATTGAAATCGGTTCACTACGTTTAATAAATGTTGCTCGATTATTTGTTTCATCAAATGTATTATTTTTTTCATCTTTATTTAATTGTTGTTCATCATCATTTGATGTTGTCATAACAGATTTAGTTATAGATGGTATAATAGATGGTGGTGTTGATGATAATGTATAAAAATTTTGTAATTTTTTAACACATTCTTTTAATTTAATAATTTTTAAACGTTTATCTTCTAATTGTTGTTCTAAAATTGCAATTTGTTTTTTTTGTCCATCTGTAGCATTTTGTACAGCACGTTGTATAGCTAAATTAAATTGTACTTGTTGATCTTTCGTTGTTAAACGACGAATAGTTTCATCAATATCATCAGTTGATGTTTGAATTGATTGATTATTAAATTCAATTTGATTTGTTTGCGTTAATTGATGTTCGGTGGTAATTATAATACTCGTTTGTTTATCAAATTTTATTTGTTCATCTGTTTGTATATCAATTGTTGTTGTTAATATTGAATTTTTTTCTTGTTCATTAGAAGATTTTTCTATTTCAAATTCAAAATCTGATTGAAGTGCTTTAACAATTTGAGATTTTTCAATTTCAGCTGTACGACGAAATTCATCAAAATTATTTTCAAGTATTTCATATTTTGATGTTAATTCTTGTCTTATTTGTTCGTTTACATCACATTGAATCTAAAACAAACAAAAAATAAAACAAATTTGAACAAAATAAAAACAAATGATCATTTTAAATACTTTTAATGTTTCATTATCTTGAATATAATTATTTACTTCTAAACGTAATTGTTCAATGTGTTCTTGATGTTCATTATTTGATTGTTGAAGACTTGTAATAACTTTTAAAATAGTTTCATGATAATTTAATAAGTAGTCATGTTGACTTTTATTTGTTTGTTCATATTGAGTTTTTAATGAAATAAAATCGTTTCGAATAGCACGTGCATATTCATTATCCGTTTGTTGTGATGCACAAGGACGATGAGGAGGAGAAACAGCCATTTCAGTTGATGTATAAACAGCTTCAAGAGTACATTTTACATAATCATCTTCTTCTTCATTATTACTTGTGGTGTTTGCTGTTGTTGTTGTTGTTGTGGTCGATATTGATGTTTCATTTAATTCATTATCTGCTGATGATTTTGTTATCGAAAGTATCTCTAGATGAAATTGATAGTTTTTAATATTAATTTATTTGTTTAGTGGAAAGAAATTAAATTATAAAAGTTGAATTTTGTGCAAAAAAAGGAAAATTCATCAAATTTTCTACAAGATTTAATTGCATTATGTGTTTATGAATAGTTTTGTGTAAATCCAAAAGTGGTCCAGCGTGGGTAATCCTCCAACTGATAAATTGTTTTTGAGTCGAGACTATGCGCATCATATAAATCCAAATAAGCTATGAATACCATGAAAAGGAATCGTAGTCTTACTTTAGTTCTGCCGAGGTACTGGGTCTTTATGGTATTCTTTAAATAAATGTTGTGGTTCCCTTCGACAACATCACAAAAACTTATTTTCAAATTTTGACTTCAAACTTTGTACAGAAACACATTTTGACGAAAATAGTTATATTGTGAAAATTTCATACCTTTTGATTTGTTTCTATTGGGAAGAAAAAAACATCAAAACTGTATGTTTATATGAGCATTATTACCATAGTGGTATTTTAGGATAGGAACAGTAACGAGATCTGAAACCATTCACAAAGAACTATTCTCGTTAAGGTCTGTGTTTATGCTAAGTTTCCAGTAGNCTTTGCAAAGTTCTAAATCGAAATTCGAAAATTAGGTTTTCTGATGTTCCTGAGGGGGACCACAGCTTTCATTTTTTAAGAATACCGTAAATATGCAATATCTCGGCACCAATAAGCTAGCGGCACGAACTTTTTTCAGGGTGTTCATAGATCACTAGGACCTACATGATGCTCATACTCTCGACTCAAAAGCGATGTGACACTTGGGAATGTTCCCTCGTGAGTAACACAAGAGGAAGAAGGATATGTATTAGACCAGATAAGAATAATCGAGTCATTATTGCTAAATTTCTTCAAACAAAAAAAAAAAGAAATAAAACAAGTAATAAATAATCTTTTGTTTTTACTTCAAAAGTTGATGTATTTGCATATAACGACGTAACGTACCATATTTGTTAAATCATATCGTTCACGTGGATAACGTGTGAAAGAATTCTTTATTTATAATACGAAAACAAAGAGAACGAGAAGGAGAAAGAGACAAGTTTGTCGATTTTATCCACATTGTTAACATCACTGACTAAAATAAATCGACAAAATTTATTTTTATCGTTATCTTCTTAAGAAAGGCAGAATAATTTTAGTCTAGTGTAGGAGTTAAAGAGCTGCGGACCCATGTGTTTTTGAACCCGGGTCTGGCAAAAACTAAATTTCTGCACTCGAACCCGATCTTTTTTTCGCCAATATCTAGCACCCTCTGTGTACATAAACAGATAATGGTACAAAGTTTTAGCCCTTTATTTGCCCCTTGAAAAAAGTCAATGAACAATTATTTCTTGTTGTTCATTTTCTCACTACTAAATGGTCGTTAAATTGAAAGTTTTCGATTATTGAAAAGTTTACTATGTTAACAAAAAAAGCTTGAACTTTTGATGGTGATCAATTTAGTGATGAGGAAATCATCGACAAAAATAGTGAGAGCATCGACGCACAAGAATAATAACGGAAGATTAATTTTTTTATATTAAAACGTACTAATATGTAAGAGCAACTAACAGATGTTATTGAAGTATTGATTATCCCCTCTACTGAAAGGAGGGTCTTACGCCGAAATGAGTTGATTACGTTCGTTCGGAAGTTTGTTGGTACGCACAGAACAAAAGAAAATGTTTTTTTTCACCTCTCTCATGGAAACGCTCTATAAAGTTTGACCGAAGGTAATAGGGGGTGGGGAATTCGAATCTGTGTTTAGTTTTCCAAAATATTTTACTCGGATTTTTCTTTTGCTAAAAAAATAATTTTTTACAGAAATAATCATTTTTTATAAAGTTTGACCAAAGGTTGTGGGAGTCGAGGAATTCGATTTCGTGTGTAGTTTTTCAAAAATTTTTAGTCAATTTTTTAATGAACAAAGACGATACACAGAGGTCTATTGCACAGAATGAAAACATGAGCTTTTTGAAAAAGTAAAACTAAGTAGCCAATAACTGACAAGTAAGACGTATTTCAAAAGTATTTAGGGATAGCATGAGGACATTATTAATGGTTATAATCCTAAACAAATAGATTAAATTGATACAACTAAGATAACGGCTGTCCCTTGATTGAATATTAAATGTTTAATGATCTGCCATAGTTCAAGTAAGTTTATAATGCATGAAGAGCCGTTTAGATCGTCACATTTTCGTGATAGAAATTCTTTGTAGTGAAGTTTTTCAAGGGTACAAGTCGATGATATTGATAGTGGTAAATGTATCATATGTTTATATGAGATCTTATTAGGAATAGGCTATAGGCATCTTCTTGTGGACTTGATTCTCAATTGGGCAACGGCTAGCCGTGAGTGGTGCCGACGAACGACTAGCCGCTCAGTTAAAAATTTGTTGTGATTAAGACTACAGGCCTTGAAGACTTATAGAATAGTTACATGTTGTCTCAATCAGAAAAGTTGAAACAATTTTCGAAAGTGGTAGAAACCTTCGAGTTCCTCCGAAGGAAGGTCGTGAAATAATTGCTCAACTCGTGTAAAATATTGGAAACTTCCATTTGTCGCGAATATCTTAATAAGTTTAGTTTTTCCTGATTGTGAGTGGGTTTGATGCAAAAGAAGTAAGTGTCAGATCTCTGTATCTTTGATCCTGCGCCCGGGAATGCATATATGCATCAGAGGCCGAAAACGTATCGAAATAAAATGAACCCAAATGAATTTTGAGCAAAAATGAGGACAAATCTAACCGAAATCGAGTTAGAAAAAGACATTTTGATTTGATCTCTGATCTACTCGTGTAGATTCATGTTAAGTATCTAGTGTATAGACTAATTTGAGTTGTAGCTTTACTAAAATGGAGTATTTCGGTCATAGTTCTTCTGAATGGGTCTTTCTCTTCACTCCGTTAGCGAGCTGATCGAAATTTTTCGAAACATAGCTTGAGCTACAGCAGATCAGACGCACTTAACTTCACTATAGCCATTTAGTTTTAGTAAATAGTACTTAAATGCAGTTTTCTTGGTGATACTTCCAAGTAGGTTTTCTATTTATACTCGGTTATCAATCGTTTTTTCCATGGCAGTCATTTCGAAGCTATAAAAATGTGAAGTCTCTCAGCAGATAGTTTTGGATTAGTACGTTCTACATGACTATATCCTTTCAGTAGAGAGTTGGCGACGCTAATGTCGCGTTACTTGTTTGTTTTTCACTGTTCATTTGTTTTTCAACTTGATTTTATTTTTGACATCTTAAATGACTTTTTTTAATTACAGAAATAAAAGAAAACAAGAAATCTTAAAAAATAAGAAAGAAATCAATATTCGTTGGCTTCAATTCTTATATATTTAGATTCGTAACTTAATGCAAACCGGGTCTGAAGTTAAACTTACATATAGGCCCGAGCCCGCGACTCTCTAGTAGGAGTGATGATTCTGAAACGTGGATTTGAGGCTATTGGCTCTCGACGTTCTTCACAATATAAATCTGAGCTATCAGTAAAACGTTTAGCAAATTCTGATAGTGTATACCTTCTTAACCACCAAACGACAACAAATTGCTGAGAACCCTCATAGGATTAATGAAAATCCTTCTTTAATAACATTTAATTTTATCTCACAGAACTAATTTACCCATATTTCGTATAGGTATAAACAATACTAAAAAAGTTGTTTATTATTGTTGAGTACCTTACCTGTTTGCACGTATCTCAAGAAATGATTTATTCGCCCAATTTTTGAGATGTAGATGTGTGACTGTGATTCTTGCCTTCACAATCAAACTCTTTGTTCTTGTTTCTGGATTGGAACCAAACAAAAGAATGCAATGAACAAATCTATGAGTGGTAGTTGTGCTTTGGTGTTTTTTAATGAAAAATTTCTTCAAAGAAACTGGTGCAGTTTGTGTATCACGGCGAAAATATTGCTCCAACACAACATTATTATACGAAATCGAAGACTCGACTAAAATTTCCTGTCTAATTCAAAATTAGGGAAGTAACTGAAAATGTCAATTTCATCAGTCAAAGAAAAGCTCAAGAGCCTATCAGGAAGAGAAAGATAATAAAAGTGATAATGCACAACGATCGAAACGTCGTTGGGGTAAATGTTTGTTGATAATGAACGACAAAGAAATCAATTGTTGACTAGCAGATACTCGTCGACAAGAGCGTGCGAAAGCTAAATCCAATGACATCATGCTTCCATGTTCTATGCGCACATTATCCAGTAAAAAATAGTAGTCGATTTAACTGTTTACATATAGATGAACAATTTACGACAGAATCATTGATTCGCAAATCAAAACTCAGAATTAAGACAATAAAAATCAAGGATAAAAGTTTTCTTGTGTATGTACTTATGAATTCGATTTGTGCACTATTCCTTAATACAATTGTTCAATTACAATTTTTTCATTGGTTATTTTTTGTTTGTAAGTTTTACATAAAAGTTGATGTATGAATCTCAAAGGGGAACAAGCGGACTTCTGTACTTCGGAAGTACAAAAGTACGGAAAAGTACAGAGAAGTACAGAGAAGCACGCGCTTTCTTCCTCTACTTTTTCCGAAAACAGAACAAAAGTGTTCTGTTTTTTGGGAACAGAGTTTTTGATTTTTGCACGAAGTACCAAGTACGAAGAAGTACCAAAAAGGACGAAGAAGTACAAAGAAGTACAAGAAGTACAGAAGTCCGCTTGTTCCCCCTTGATGAATCTACGTGTAATTTCGATGAAATGTGATCAATAAAAGTCAATAAAAAAAAAATATATATATATATATGCATTCTTCAAATTGTGTTATCCTTCTAAATTTGATGATGTATAATTTTTTCAATGAAAATAAATCTTTTCGAGTTTTGGGAAGTTTTTTCCAGATGAAAATAAAATCTTTTGCTTAGAGTTTCATGCTGTATAAACTTTATTTTTTCAAATAAAAACAAAGCTTCTAAAGTTTTTAATTTTCTGCAAATTTTACATTACATTGTGTGCATCAGAAAAATAGCTATTGAAATGTAATGCTCCCAGTGAATTACTGAAAGTCTCCATATTCATATAAAAATGACTTTCCGATCAGATATTTATGAATTGTATTTTGATTTTAAAAACAAACTAATTAATATAACAGGATTACATTGATTTATCTCAATTACTGTTTTGTTTTATTTATATATATATGAGTCACTAAAATTTCTGTGTTTTGATATAATAGATGGACACAATCATTGTGCAAAAGAGGTGAGAGCGAGAGCAAAGAAGAAAAATGTCAAATAAAAAGAAAAAAATTAGTTAAAAGTAGCACCGACAACAATGAGGAATGACAAACAAAGGAAAAAGACGAAAAAGAAGAAATACTTGTTTTTGCTTTTAATAAATGTGTTATCATTAAACAAGTGAAAGAAAATCAAGATGAAGTTCATGTGGTATATCTAATTGATCGAGTGAAACTGCTGATGGAACATAAGGATATACAAGTGGAAATGTATATGAAAGATCAAAATTTTCTTGCTGTTCATAATCAATTATTGTTTGATCTTTTGTTGAACTAAGTCTTTGTTGTTTTAATAAATCCGATACTCGTTTAATTAATGCTGGTGTTACTTGATCATCAAAATCATCCATTGATTTATACAAACTTAATAATTTTGTTACCTAAAATTATCAATTAAATTTATTTAGTATTTATTTGAATTGTGAAAATTTTGCTTTACTTGAACAATTGTAAGTTTTGTACAAACATTACTAATGCTGGCTTCATCTTTTTTACAAAGAAATAATTGAACAGCTTGCGTTAATGGTAGAAGACAATCAGCAGCACCACTTTCTTGTAAATTTTGATCACGTAACCATTCTGTTAAATGATTCAAATTATATCTAAGAAACACAAAATAAATCATTGTTTTATTTTTATTTTTTTGTCTTGTTCTTTTTTTTTAGGATAAAATTTACCGAATTTGAAGAGCTTTACTCCAATTACAACAATCACTTCGTACAAGTAAACCACGAAAAGCCTGAGCATTGATTATATAAAAAATCTTAAACAAAAACACAATAGGTCATGTCGATGTAAATAGAATCAATCATAGACAAACTTGTTTGAATAGTTGTTGAACAATAAATGGTTCAACTGAATACATTTGAACTAATTTGTGATAATCATTTAACTAAATAGAATTTAATAGAATTTTTTTTTTATTAAAAATCTTAATACTTGTTTAAGAAGATCTTGGGCTGAAAATTTTGATCGTTTATCGTTCGAAGTTGATGCAGATGTCATTGGATTTATAGACACGATACTACCTGATTCAAGATCTTCATGTTCAATTATAGCAGGAACTAAATAGAAAAATAATAATAATCAAGCATTCTATTATTAAATAGAATTAATAATCTTACTTATCATTGGTAATAATTTAGCTTTAATTCGTTTAAGAATTTCATCATATAAATGAACCACAAGATCAGCAAATATCGTTCGATAATCAGTTAAATCAAAGTTCCTTAATGCTTGTTCATTTTGTTTTGGTGTATTTGTAGTTTGATATTTCTTTTATGAAAATTTATACGTCTTGTTAATTATATTAAATAATAAAAGCATACCTCTTCACCACTATATTGTTGTAATATATGAAGGAATCGAACTGTATTTGTTATCCATAAGATTGGATAATCAATATCTTCATTTCTCTATAATAGTTCAAGTTAAGTTTGTGTTTTTGTTAACATTGAATGACAACAAAAAAATGTTTATTCTTACTCTTGGAACTTTTTTGATTTTTTTTGTTATAGCTGATAAAAATCCAGCAACATGTGCTTCATCATCAACAAAATCAATATATCGAATACACATAAAAAATATATAAGCTGGAATTCCAGGAATGTATTTGGCAGCTAAGCGAGGTTTTAGTTCTACATAAATAATATATTTATCAGATTAAAAAAAAAAAATTATCTAAGATAAGACAAACCAAGAATGACTGCATCAGTTATTCGTTCAGTTTCTTGTGGAGTGCATTTAATCATTCCACTCAAATGTCTTATACTTTGACGACGAAGATCAACATTTCCTGTTGGATTTGCAGTTACTGTTGCTGTCGTTGTTGTTGTTAATGACGTAGAATTAGGAGCATCGATTTGACTAACATAGGAAGGAATACCACTGATTGATCCATTTTGCAGTACTTGTTCCCAAGATACATTTCCTATTGTTAATACATAAAAATTATATTTTATTTTATTTAAAAAACAAGTATTGAACAATTCTGAAAGAAAGATATTGCCGGAACTGCAGGAAAAACAAGTTACCGAGATCTGGATTAAGATTACGAAAAATTAGTTGTCACAATCGGAACTAAAGATTATAGTTAAATATTCTATAATTCTGAGCGAATTATCTTACAAATCATATCAGTCAGGATATAATTCAAGAAAGATGATCTAAAAAAGTGCTAGTCAATGATTAAATTTATCAAACAATGACTATTACCGAATTGTTTTCGATTTAATACAAACAAAATTCTAAAGTAATTTTCTCGGAACCAGAACCGGGACTGAAAATAAGTTGGTTCCCGTACATTTCAACTGGCAAGTTATAGCTTTTAAATGAATTTTGATGAAATCAAGAAAAACCTTATCGACAGAATTCTCTCCTNTGAAGTATTGCAGATAAAAGACGAAATATTGACATTTAAATTTTATGTTCAATACCTATTAATCATTCATTTAAAAAAAAACGATAGAAAAAACTAATAAAACAAACTAAGTAGCGCAAGTAAAAATAAATCTAACTCTATTTACAAAATATAAGAGATTTCATATCAGATTGATTTGCTTGTGTGCATAATTGATAAAATATATGATAATTTCGTTCATCAGGTGCTTGATAAATGACTCTATAACAAAAAAAAGCAAATTTTTCAAATAGAAAAAAAAAAAATTTAACCTTGATTTTTCTAATAAATAAGTTCTCATTGATGCTCCACAAATATGATATTTTAAAAATTCAATTTCAATATATTTCCCAAAAAGTGATGAATTATCATTACGTATTGTTTTAGCATTTCCAATAGCCTTTTAAATAATTTTCGTAATTTTTCATTATTTATTAAAATAATCTTACTTACATAATAGGATTTTATGCTAAAACGTTTTTTTCAATTTGTGTTTCTTCTAATAATCCTCTAACATTTGAAAAATATCTCATAGCATATTTGGCACTAACGGTTTTTCCAGCTCCTGATTCACCTGAAACAATAATTGATTGATTTTTAGAAAAATTAATCATTGATTGATAAGCTAATTCAGCTGTTGCACACATATGTGGTTCTAATAATTGAATATCTTGATCACGATACAATTGTATTCTATTATTTTCATATAATTTTGTATATATTTGTGATTTATTAAAACGAGATTCAAGATAATAAAAAACTAAATAAATCAAATTTTATTTTAAACAAAAATCAATCGATTTTTTTTGTACCTTCTGGTTCATTTAAATAAAATAAAGCAGTAAGATATTTTTGACCAATAAGAATTTCAACATTATGTGATGGTGGTAAATCAGAATCGGATTTAATTAAGATTATTTTCTAATTAAATTCAATATGTATTGTAATCAATTATAATAAACTTACTTTTCCTCCTTCAGGTGATGTAACTTCAAGTTGTCCTTTTCCATTATAATTAGTAAGAACAGTAACAACACGCTAGACTTGTTCATGATCTGGCAACCAAACACGAGTACCCTATAAAATAATCTCTCTTTTCTATTATTTATTCAAAATAAAAATTAAAAAAAAATATACTAAACCAACATCTTATATCATGTCTTCATATTTTGAAAAATATTTATACTTGAAAATGATGCAATATAAACTAAATATAGCACAGCACACATCGGATATTGACAAATTATACAAACTTCAAAATAATTCTTCGAATCGACTAATGGAAAAAAGAAATGCAGACAATAACGAAAAAAAAAAAAAAAAAAATTCAAAACTTAATGCTTGCAGTTTTTAAAAAGCCTTAAGCATCATATTAATATTTTCATAAAATCTTAGAACTGAAATGAATAACAACATCGATTGACGAGAAAAAAAAAATTTATAATTATCATACATACCTTGGTGTATAATTCTCGAACAGATATTTTTCTTAATTATTTAATATATTTTACCAAGCCATTTATAGATGAAAAACAATATGTCGAAAAAACGACACAAAAATTAGTTATAGAAAATAGTTAACAGTTTTTTTTTCTACACTACATTAGATTTACATAGACTCTCTATCTGACGATTTTTATAGAGAAAAAAATACAGAGAAAAAGAACTATCTGAAATCTAGAGTTTATCTTTTTATTTTTCTATTAATTGCTGCATTGAGAACATTAGTAAGATCATTTGTCATTCCTTGAATATTTGGGGGTAACATTTGTTTTGTTGCATTATTAATTAATCTATCATAATCCTGAAAAGCTGCTTGACCCAATAAAAATAAAAAATTTTCTTGTCTTTCAAATTTTTCTGTTTGTTGTTTCATGCTTTCATGATGATGATGATCATTTAATAAAATTAAATGAAAAGCTAAATTCATAATAGGTCGAAATCTTTGTTGATATGTTTGTAAAAGTGTTATAGCAATTTGTCGTTTTTCATCAAAATTTAATTCTAATAAATGACGTCGTTGACGATAATAATGTGGAGATTGTTTAGCTAAAATCACAACAGATGCATCAGCAGCAAAAATTTCTCGTTGAATACGTGAATATATTAATGGTAATTCCGATAATGATGCAAATCGTGTTTTACAATTACATATTGAATTGAATAAATCATCCAATAAGGAAGTTCAAGTTTTGTATTTGCTCTTAATGATGAGAAATTTTCTTATTATTATTTATCATCATTTAATGATGATGATGATGATGATGAGTGAAGAAAACATAATTTTGGTACATCAACAAGTAATTGACAATGAATACGTTCTTGAGTTGATAATATATCTTCAATTGACAACTGATCGATGGCAATCTGACACCAACAATGAACTAATTCTGAATATTTAGATTTTTTAGAATGAAATGAGAAAGAAATAATCTAAAAACAAGAATAAATGAAATTTTTGTTGTTGAAAATTAATTTTTACCTAAGAGTATCTTTAACAAATTAATAATTTTGTGTTGATGGAAATTGGAAAATATTTTTTAATGATGCATCATCGGTATTATTGAATAATTTAACAAATAGTTCAACTAAAACTATTCGTGCTGATGGTATCAATTCAATGAAATTGAAATTCTTTTAAATAAAAGAAAAATAGGTTTTTTTCGGAATATTAAAAACCAAAAACTTACTTTGAATATATTAAGTGTTATTGATTTTCATATTAATAATTGAGAAAGTGTTCAACCAATATTTGATAATTGTTAATCATTAAGTAATGAAAGATCTTTAAATCTATCCCATGTATGATATTATAAAGATGTCTAAACATTTTATATTAAAACAATTTCAAAAAAAGAATTTATTTTTTACTTGAAACCGACGATGGTATGCACAAAATCGTTGTAAGATTAATGTATTATATGGATTATAACTTTTTTCATATAAACAACAATGAACTGTTACCTTTATTCAAATAAGAGAAGGAAAAAATTTAAAAAAAAAAGAAGAAGATAAACTTACATGAATTATTTCTCGTTCTTGTACTTTACTTAAATTAAGTTTATGAAGTTTTTCAAGAGGATCATCAGAGTGCTAGACGATTTTTTTAAGAATAATCCAAAGAAAAAAATGCTTCGATATTAAATAATCATTTAATCAAATCGAAATTTGATCTGTTCGATTGAAATACATAAAAACTTTTTTATTCTTCAATCATTTTATATCTTCACCATTCTCACTGAAGTAAAGATCACAGTCAGTTCCACATCGATGTGTAGAACGAGATGAAGGATATGTTAAGTGTAATTCATATAAATATTCATTCTCTTTCAAGGATATATAATCACTAAAAAAAACAAGAAGGTTTTGTTTTATCTATTTTTTTCAATAAGGATATTTACTTATACTTATTCTATTTTTATTTATACCTAGACGTACATTACTTTTCTACATCTATTTACTTCATTGTATTTTCTTTTTGTTATAATAATAAGTGCGTTAGTTTGTTGTGTTCGCTCTTTCGTTCTTATAACACACTTCAATACATTCTACTTTTTATCTCGATTATTTTCGGAGATAGAAAGGATAATATATTTTNAAACGAAAATCAACTGTGAATACTATTAATTTTGCAAATCGATGTAATAATGATACCCAACGCACACGATCAATTATAGAAATTGTTAAACGTACGACAGTATTATTAATAATAGAAGAATCTAAATATGTTATTTCATTAATGTCATCATAACCGTCCAATGTAAGATATTTTAATAGTGGCAATTGTGTAAGTATATATTGAAAAGATTGAGCAGTCTCCCCACGGAAAAAAATTTTCGAAAAAACTGCGGTTAACCGCGATTATTCAGTTGATACCGCGGTTAACCGCAGTTTTACGCACTGCGTTAAAGAAAACCGCGGTACAGTTATTTGTAACCGCGGTATTAAATATAAAGGTTGTAATCGGTTTCCTATACCGCGGTGTACTTAGTAATAACCGCGGTATTAAAAATAGCGGTTATCATCGGTTTCCTATACTACAGTGTACTCAATAATAACCGCGGTATTAAATATAACGGTTGTGATCGGTTCCGTATACCGCGGTGTACTTAGCAATAACCGCGGTATCAAATATAGCGGTTGTGATCGGCTTTCTATACCACAGTTTATTCAATAATAACCCAAGTATTAAATATAGCGGTTGTAATGGGTTTCGTATACCGCGGTGTATTCAGTCATAACCGCGGTATTAAATATAGCGGTTATCATCGGTTTTGTATACCACAGTGCACTCAAGAATAACCATGGTATTCGGCTTGGTCATGTTAGAGATTTATATTGCTGTGCCCTTTGGCTTATGTTTGACGAAGTGTCTATTGATTTTGAATACTGTTATGAGTTCTCATGCATTATTTAAGTCGATATTACAGATGGAGTTTGATCTAATCCAATAGCAAGATTACATAATTCGTTTGCTTGAAATCGTTGTGCAAATTAAAGAAATCGGTCAATAAAAAATGCTCTTGGTTATACTTTTTTTGAAGATATCCTTTTGTTGAAAACTAAGTGAAGTGAGATTGTGAAAGAAAATGTTGATCGTTTACAAAGTCTCATAGAAAGGACTCTTATTAATGTAGAATTTTTCATTTCGATTAATAGAAGAGAAGATTTGTTTATCTTAGTAGCAAATAAGATGGAATGAAAGAAAATAATATATATTTAAGAAGATTCATAGAAATTTGGATAGCGAGCAAAGTAACAAGTTTCATTATCACTGTAGAAGCATGTCTTCTCAATGACGTTTTCCAATGATATTAAATGAACTTCGCTTTTTGATAAAACGCCAAATACCACATGCTCATTAATAAATACTTTAGAGCCAATTTTTAACGAATCATAATTAATATTTGTTAATGGTTGTATTTTTAATAAATACCTCTCTTGTTGTTCAATAAAAAATATGTTTTGGATAATACCATAGTGGATTTTATCAAGGTATTTGTAAACCACGTATGAATCGGAAAATATTTTTGATTTCGAGCTGTTCTTTGTGGATAATGATGAATGATGAAATCGAACTAAAAGAATAACATGCCACACGAAAACAATTTTTTGAAGAGAACAGCGAAAGTCAGGCCATTTATGCGTTTCTCAAAAACCGATCAAAACTGTATTGTATAAATACCACGGTGGCACCAAAGAAAAACGCGGTTCGAGGTAACTTTTAGTAAGTTTAACCGTGGTGGTTCCTGTTGTCAACGCGGTATTTATACATCGCGGTTTTGACCGGTTTTTGAAAACTGCATAAATGGTGTGACTTTCACGGTTTTCTTGAAAAATATTTTTTTCGTGGGTTACGAATTAAAGATCTAGTTATTAGTAGTCATATTTTCTTATTTATAATTGATTATGAACTTTAGTGATTTATGCCTTACTCGATCTCATGGTTTTCACTATACTTTTCGTCGGAATCGATCTATTTAATAATTCTAAATCATCCTTTGAAATATGCTCATTGGATATTTGTTGTCGATGATAATGTTTCTTTTTAGTTTGTAAATATTCTATAAATGTTGAAAGATATGATGATGAACAATGATTTTGTGAAGCGAAATAGGCTTGCTGAAATAGCTGAAGATTCGTTAGTAATTCATTAGCTAGTCGTTTGGTGCCATGAATAGATGCTGATAAATATCCTGTGCACGAAAGAAAAACACAAAGAAGAACGATGAAAACTATAATTTATAGATAATCTTACCGATAATGTTTTCAAAATTAAATGTGCTATAATTGAATAACGGACCAAAATCTTTTACCGTCATTGCGAAATGTTTCACTGAATGTATATTTTGAACGATATATCGTTCGTGATAAGGAAAATTATCCACAAAACTGGATAATAAGAATTCCATTTCATTTATATTTTCTGATGAAATGTTACGCGATTCTCCAATATAGATGCCGAACGCTAGCATTTTTAAATGTTTATAATACACTTCTGGTAAATACTTTTTAAAGATGGGATAGCCAATCAATAATAAAACTCGACACTCATTAGCTTTTAGCTTCATGCATTTAATTACACTTCGTGGTGCTCTTGTTGTTGTACTAGGATAACGAATATTTTGAAGATCAAGATTTATGAATGGCAGAAAGCGTGCTATCGACCATGACTGATTGTTTGGTGATTTTGTCCACAATTGTAATAATTTCTTCTACTTCAGAAAATAATATATAACTACTTATTTTTAAAAATTCTTTAGCACGTACAAAGGCACCATGATAGATCGTATGCAAAGTGTCGCTCATAAAAGATGTACCACGATCAACAAATGCTAAATTCGTAAATTCAGATTCACCTTCATAACCAAACGAATGTGTTTTTTTTTCTTCAGTAAAAAAAACATGACCGTTTTGAACAGCATGACTTATTTCATGCCATCGAGCATTTGATCTCATTTGCGGTTTTTCATTAGTTGGCGTTGGAAAAATCCGAATATATGTGGTTGTTATTTTTTTTGATCTTGCTGGTATTGCGTGAATTTTTGCTGGTGTTGTATATCCTAAAAAGAAAAGAGCGGTTAACCGCGGTTTTTTTCCCAAAAATATTGCACTGTAAAAAATAAGGGTTTATGATTTTGCAACGTATAATAAACCTTTTTTTCCGTTTTTGAGACACTTAATATACCCTTTTTACATATCATAAACGAAAAAATCGTTTATTATTTTAATAAGATACCCTTAAAAAGGGTTTATTATACGTTGCAAATTAAAAAACCCTTTTTCCGTTTATTGAGGGGTCATAAACGGTTTTTCCGTTTATTAATATCCGGAAATTTTTTACAGTGTGCGGTTGAAAAAACCGCGAAGGTCAGACATTTTATGCGTTTTTCAATAACCGATCAAAACCGCGGTTTGAGATAAATTTTTGCGAGTTTAACTGCGATTTTCCCTATTGCCACCGCTGTATTTATGTACCGCGGTTTTACTCGATTTTTGAGAAACGCATAAATGGTCTGTCTTTCGCGGTGTTTTAAACCACGGTATTTTTTTTTTTAATTTTTTCGTAGTTTGTTAGACGAAAATAAAAGATAATAACCAGCAATTTCACACTTGGAACAACCGTACAATGCATTTGGTTCAGATTGATTCTGAACAAGACTATTCGCAGGTTTATCATTACAGATTCCAATAAGATAAACACGTAGTATTTCATATGAATCGATGGAGATTTGATATAAATTTGGTTTTTGTAATGCTTTTAGACGTAGAACTATTGGAGAAAGCATCTTTTGCATGATCACTCGGGATGGTTTTTTACGGCCTACACTGATTGCTAGTACTAAAGCATAGAGAAAAATTGAAAAGAATAAATTTTGACAATTTATTTTACCAATAATATTTTCAATCGAAAAACGCTTTGTTCGCTTCAGTTCATTTACACAAGCTGTGAAGGTCCACATACTTTGTTCACTACTTGTATAAATTGCTGCTCCATCAATGTTGCACGTTAAAGATATAAACTTTGATTGACGTTCATTTTCCAATGAGTGTAAGATGTTTGTATAAACATGTCCATCCTGAATATCAGTCATTGATTTTTTAGTATTTCTATATTTTTCCGCTGGTAAATTCAAATCATTTTGATTGATTGATCTTAAAACTTGTTCAATTTGTTGTTGAATATTCATTATCATACATGTGTGAGGTGGTATTAATGTATTTGTGTTGTATGAACAAAACGGATTAGTACATTTATCTGAATCACTAGATTCATTTTCACACTCTGGACAAAAATATAGTGTTAAATCAATCATTTTTTGTTTTTGTTTTGGTTTTGTATTCGACCTACTAATAACTTGTTTTAATTTGTACCAGGACGATGGGACATTTGGCACCTTCAGTAACATTAAAAGTTTTAATAAGTCGCTGAGCAGATTGTTTGTGCACTTGTGCTTCTTTTTAAGAGTTAATAGAACTACAGAAATATCCTATGCAAGAATATAATGTCAACAAAATATCAATAGTAATAGATTTAGTTTGAATGAGTAAATAATGAGAGAAAGAGATAGGTTTTTTCATAAATTTTATTACTCACTATTTCATCATAGTCACGAGTCGACATTGTCGAGCTTTCCATATTGAAAAACTCGTTACCAAATTTTATTTGTTTTTCACACAATTCTTCTTCAATCATTTCGTTTTCCTCGAAATCTTCTCCATTTTCATCTTCACTATCATGAATAACATTTTCCTCATCAATATCACCAAAATATTCATTTTCAAAATCACTATCAAATGTTGTATTATCAAATTCTTCAGCAGCTTCATTATTTGTTTTTTCATCACTTGATAAGCAAGCAAATATATCGTTTATTTTCAGATCTGTTAATTCACCATGATTGAAGTTTCGTTTTTGTAATCTTTTCACATTGACCTTTTTCTGCATTCTCTTGAGTGATATTTGACATTTATTAGCTACCCAGTGTGCATGATTTTTCCTTTTAACTGTTTCTTGCCTGTGTATAAAAGTTACTCGTGGTCTCATCTAAACATAAAACAGTAAATATAATATTAACACAACTGTAAAAAAAATATTTAGCGGTTACGACTGACGGCACCGCGGTTTGTGAAACGGCGAAGAACCGCGGTATATAATACTGCGGTTATAACTGACTTCAGTGTGGTTTATAAAACCGCGAACAACCGCGGTATTATGTACCACGGTTATGACTGAATGCACCGCGGTGTGTAAAACTGCGAATGATTGCAGTACGCAATAACGTGATCTTTGTCAGAAAGTTTCAGTATTCTTTTAATTTGTTTTTGATTTCAAGTTTATCGATCTATGTTTGCTTGCAATGACAAAGTGATTTCTTTCTATTTTGACATACATAAAGTATATCACAATTCAATTTTATTTTCGTTGCATCATCTTTACATAACAAATATATAGTTACATGTATACAATTAACACACTTTCAGAAAAGAATAAAAAAAACGAAAAAATAAACCCAATCTATAAATCAAAGCTAATCCTGGACTAAAATTATTTCAACTTTTTCATCTAAACTCCATCAGTCAGTATTAAAATCATCACAACTAGTCGTTTGATTAATATCTTCATTATTGTTGGTTTTTTCACTGTTGTTTAATGTACAGGTTTCTTGATCCGTTTTTTTCCTAATATTTCGTTGGTTTCTAAGACAATTAACAAGGCTTTGGTGAATCTTTTTTCGATCCACCTGAAGTGGACCATAGTAACGTTCCAAAAATTCTAAAATAAGCAAACACATTAGATTTTATAAGATTAAACAAGAGTTTTTTATTTGACATACTCATTAAAATTTTTTCTTTAACTAATACATAAGGATCTAAGTCGTTCCAACAATCCACTTGTAGATATTCTTTCGAAACAATCTTTTGAAAAAGAACACGAGCAATACGTGTAATTCCAGATTTTAATGCTAATATTTCATTTAATTCATAATGATTTAATCCTAATTTCTTGGCATCGTTTACTAAACTTCCTTGATATTTGTACTTAGTTGTTTGTTGTCGAATTTTGTCGCCAAGGCATAAAATATACTTTTGGGCGTCTTGATCTTTTGGAATTTCTAAAAAAAACATAAAATAATTATAAAACAAGTAATGTTATCAGTTACCAATCGTGGTTAAAATCAATCGTTGAATTTGAGCTTTCTGTTGTTTAATCATTTGTGCTTGTTGCTTCACTTTAAAAGTTAAATCTTTGATTTGTTCTAAATAAACGTTGTTATCATCATTTTCTTCCATTATCGATGATGTTTCAACTGTATCATCCAAATTTGTATTTGTTTCATTATTTTGATTTGTTTTGCCCATTGATAATAAAGAATATTCCATACTAGCACATGTAATATCATCATCATCTTCGTCATCCTTTTCATCAATATATAAATTATTTGATGATGTTGATGATGATTTTAATGTTGAATCTTTGTCAAATTCAATAATTTTGGTTTTTTCTTTTAGCTGTAAAGGCTTGTTTATCATCTTGTTTGAATTTTTATTTCCAACAATAATTTTTGGCGCACATGTAATATCATCATCATCTTCGTCATCCTTTTCATCAATATATAAATTATTTGATGATGATGGTGACGATTTTAATGTTGAATTTCTTTCATATTCAGTAATTTTGGTTTTTTGTTTTAACTGTGAAGACTTTTTCATCATTTTGTTTGCATTTTTATTTCCAACAATAATTTTTGATTCACATGTAATATCACCATCATTTTCATCATTATCTTTTTCATCATATAAATTATGTGATAATGATGTTGACAATGCTAATGTTGAATTTTTGTCATATTTAATCATTTTGTTTTTTTCTTTTAGTTGTGAAGACTTTTTTATCATTTTGTTCGAATTTTTATTTCCAACAATAATTTTTGATGCACATGTATATGAATCACTTGCATTAGATATATCTAGTGGTTTATCTCCATTCTTTGTCTTATTAAATAATTCATTTTTCATTGCTACGCAGCTTTCCCGATCATGATCTATTGTAAAAAAAATCATTTAAGTAACAAAGTCAAAAAAGACAGAATACGTACGCATATAGATGATCACTCCTTCAATATTTCGACGTTCTTCATCACGAATTGTAACTTTTTGATTAAGGATCAATTTTCCAATACGTAATGTTGGTGGTAAATTATCTTGAGAAATTATTATTAAATCATCATTGATTTTATTTTTAATCAATAGATACACATTTAAATTTCCATTGCTGTTCGTTCTTTGTAATGATGGTGGTGCAACAGCAGATGCCATAATAATAATCTGAAATGAATCAAGAAAACTAGTGATAAAGACAGTTAATGTTGAAACATTATCAGGTATTAGTGAACATGTTTAATCAGCATTTCTTGCGAAAATATTATCAATCTAAAACAAACTGCTGTTCGATAAACAAAGAAACTTTACAATAAAGATATTTTCCTCGTCAGATTGATTCAGCCGTCTGTTTTGTGTGTATGTATATGTAGTGAAGTGGAGAAGGATAGCGAATCGTCGTGATATACATGACTGATATTGGTCATTTCCTTTCAATTCAGTGATTTATGTCCCTTACTATCTTTTTCTCTAAAAGAATATAGATGGCGGCGCCTTCCTTAAATAAATATGACTATTAAACGTCACTACGCAATAATTTAATCGAATCAATTGTCACTCAACAATATATTGGAAAGAATCTGCTTCTCACATGAATAAATCAGTTTTGTCAAGACTGGCACGAAATAATCGCAATTAGAATCATGGGCATGATTGATGACATTGTTCCTTTAGAACTTTGTTTCGCTCTTTTTATGTACAATGTCATAAATAATCATGAACAATTACAAAATATCCAACTAAAATATTCTGAAGCAACAAAATGAAGATACAGTGCAACTTTCTACGTGAAAATTAGATATATTAACAGTGTCCATATACTGTGAGCGGTATAGAATTTTGCGTTTTAGAATGGTTTGGAAAATCGTGGTAAATAGGCTTGAAACTGCGATCGTGTTTGGCTAGTTCGTGAAAACGGCACTTTGTTCGAATTTTCAGCCTCTAGTCCACTGTTGTTTTAGAATTCATCGTGTATGGCACTTTTACGAGCTGCGTAAGTTCCTTAAGTTTAAAATCTACGATCAACTCTTGGCCGTGTGTTTTGCTTATGTATAGCAAGATAGCTTGGTAGAGGTATAAATGCCTAACTTAAGCTGCAGATCACTTGTTTGCTCTATCTTTTCCACTTTACGTCATCTCGATGCAATATGCTTTCTAATTATTAGTAATTAGCTGGCTAGGAAGTTGTGGACAATCTCTTTCTTTATTTTGCGTTTCCGATCCTTTGGTAAAAAATGCTCTCTAGCATGTTCTCCCGACGATGAGAAGTAAATTCATCGTTAACATCAATTGAAAATAATGTGGAAATGTTTGACTAAAAAGGTAAATTTTTCAATCTATCGTATATAAGATTTAATTTCTTTTTAATATGTTAATGTGGATATTCATTTTGACTTATTTTTGTATATTCAAGTTTGCATAATAACTTATTTATTGATGATTTTATATATTTTTATAAAACTACTCAGAGAAATATTTTATACAAAATTTATGTTAGCATAAAAACTCGTCAAATAATTTCAAGAAAGAGTTTTAGCTCTATATTAACATCCAAATAACTAGTAAGCATTTGCTTAAATAATTTTTTTCTCCATTTCAGATCAATATCCACATGGAAGTGAACAGTAAGTACCTATTCAAATAAACAATCATTTTCCTTTATTTCAGATCAATGTCAAGTTCGAAATGAACTGTATATTCCATTTTCACCGCCAACAAAAATGGAATATATCAAAATGAACAGTAAGTATTTAAATAAATAAATATCTTCTTTCTTTCTTTTAGATTAATCTCAACATCGAACTGAACAGTAAGTATTTAAATAAATAAATATTTTTTTCTTTCTTTTAGATTAATCTCAACATCGAACTGAACAGTAAGTATTTAAATAAATAAATATTTTCTTTCTTTCTTTTAGATTAATCTCAACATCGAACTGAACAGTAAGTATTTAAATAAATAAATATTTTTTTCTTTCTTTTAGATTAATCTCAACATCTANCCATCTACAGTGGCTCCAAAAATGATTCATACAGTAGTCATCTTTAACTTGCATCCAACGGTACGCAAGAAAAGATAGTTATAGAGATGTGTGGTTTTTACTGTTGCGTTCGTCATAGTATCTAGTTTATTTCAACAAAATTTGAGACCTACACCTTTCTCATAAGAAAGGTGTTGGTCTCAAGTTTTGTTGAAATAAACTAGATACTATGACGAACGCAACAGTAAAAACCACACATCTCTATAACTATCTTTTCTTGCGTACCGTTGGATGCAAGTTAAAGATGACTACTGTATGAATCATTTTTGGAGCCACTGTAGATGGTATCTAAATTGTGCATTCTTTCTATTAAAACGTAAAGGAAATTTAAGCTCTTGAAAGAAGATACTTTTCTAGAATAAATTATTTTCTACACTTTATTCTTAGTAAAGTAGATATGTATGTACAATCCATAGAATATTATACTAAAACGTAATGCAATTATCACAATAGGGAGAACATGTTTTGTCACGTTTAGTTTTGAACATGCCGTTAAACAAGAGATGCATCCAGTCGAGTTTCGTTTGTAATCTCAATCGATAGTATACATCTATTTCGAGATTAGAATTGGAATCGCTAATTAGTACTTCAAACCCAAATAATGGTAGTGAGGAAGAAGAAAAACTGGATATTGCTGTTCAAGCAAAATTGTGATACAAAAACATATAGTCGTATGTAAATCATTTCATTCCAGAAAAACTGAGCAATGCCCAATATTGTCTTTTTGATGTTCCTAAGAATAAATACTGTTCATTTCGATATCATACAAAGCTAACGATGACAAGAGCTGGATCGCTCGAGCAAGGTTTTGGTTTGGATCCTCTTTACATGCATAGTTTAATATCGAAAAGTCTAGTCGTCTGGACTACAATTACTAAAGCGCAAAATTGAAAGACAAAAAGAACGTGCACAGTCGACTATATCCCATTATAATTTATTTCATTTGAACGAAAAAAAAAAGATGTGCTGATTAATAAAATGATTAATATTTAAAAGTGATATTTTTAATGAAATATAATTTCCACCACCCGAAAAAACTAGTACATAAGTTCTCAATGTTCATTAATAATAATTGATTTCATTTGTGCGGAATTCCACCGGAACATACATTGCAGTTGCATGATTGAATACGTCGAATGTCTACTGTTCTTTGTACCGTTACATTTTGCGTACTATTAACAAGACAATCAAAAACAATTGGTTGTAAATATGTTTTTGCAACCGAGCAACAAGTACATTGATCACCACTATCAGATTCACAATATCCACTACATCGTTCTCGAGGAACTTTTTCACGTGATATGCATTGATTATCGTTCATTCGTAATGGAGCACTATCATATTGCCGTACTGAACAACTGTCACGGCATATGTTACAACTGCATGATTGAATACGTCGAATTTGTATTGTTTTCTCCTCTGTTATTGTTTTTGAGCCATTAACAAAACAATCAAAAAGAACTGATTGTAAATATGTTGTTCCAATTGAACAACATTTACATTGATCGTTACTATCCGAATCACAATAACCACCACAACGTTCTCGAGGAAAGCTTTCACGAGATATGCATTGACCATTGTTAGCTTTCAATGGAGCATATTCATATTGTTGCATTGTGCACACTGTAGTATTTGTTGTTGGTGTTGTTGTTAATATTGTTGTTGTTACACATTGATTATCAGATAATTTCAAACCATCAGCTGTACAATAAACAATGTAACAATTGTCTTGTGTGCGAATAATGGTGCCTTGATCAACAGTATCATTAATATAAACAAAATTTCGTAATTCAGTAGTATCATTTGAATATGTATAAATGTAACCAATATCTTCTACAAAGAAAAATAAATTTATATTTAGGCCAAGTTTCTTATTTTTAGACTTACTGCTATCAGATGGTTCTCTCTGAAACACACGCACATAAAATGCTTCGTCGAGTAAGCATTGACAACGACGGTCCATACAAGATTGGCGCTCAACCAATTGCTCTTCATTACAATCGTGCGTTAAATTTACATTACGAGTACGTGTTTTGTATCCAATGCCACATGTACGACTACATGGTGTCCAGTCAGACCATTCTGTTAGACTACATGGTGTACTTGGTGTATCTGTTTCAGTTACTATAGAAAATAACATCAAAAATGAGAAAAACGAACAGCAGTTTTGTTATTCATACTTAGTGGTGCACACGCAAAAATTTCAAGATGAAGATTTTCAACGTCACCATTTGGAGTTAAACGAATCTTCGTAGCATTCAGTGTTCTTGGAAATATAATCTCATTGTTTGTCAAAACAATTGACTATCAGAAATATACAAAATAGATTGGCTCTCATATTATTCTGTGTAGTACATACATTATTGTAGGCTATCCAATGTGGAAATACTTCCGTTGCTGATTGATAGTATAAACGCCATTCTTTAAGATTATCAGCCGTTATGCGAATTCGACCAATCTATAAATAAATATTTGTGTACTCTACTCGACTGGTTGGTTATTTTGTATATTCACATACTTCAACAGAATAACGGAAATCGATATTGAGCGATGAAAACGCCGACGACGGAGTCCATCCGGTGCTATTTGATCGTATAATGTATCCAACGACCTTTGTCTCTGCTTTTGTTGTCTCGGTAATTGATTCAGCTTTGACAAGACCTAATTCTTCACTCAGTGTATTTTCTGTTTGACATCGCCCTGGCACACTCGAGGTTGTCGTTGCTTCATCAACAGCTTTCTCAGTTGTTGCTAGAAATTATTACTGGTTAACAGGTTCCTCGGAACTCTAAATCGACTTACCGGTGGATGAATCAGTAGCGCTAGAAGGAGTTGCATTGCTCACTAAATTATACAAAAATTATAAACCACGTAACACAATTGCATGAACTTCCGAGAATTTAATTAAATATTCCTCTAGTGCATCTTTCACGGTATGCTAACGGCTAAAAATGGTACTTGTTTATTTCAAACAGTTCAATTGTGCTACTCAGTTAAATCTCCCTCTATTTAGCCATACAGCTGCAACTAATCACATAGGCAGAGGATGAGCAATAACTAGATCTCCGGAACACTTCTCAGACCGTCTGCCAAAAGCCGTTAAAATAAACTACCATCTGCGATCATTATTTCTCCAGCATTCTTTGTTTCGAAAAAGAAAAAAAACGAGAAACTCATCGTAAATCAAACAACAGGTTTAAAAAGAAACAAAACAGTCTGCATCTGAGAAAACAAATCAAAGTAGGAATTTATCTGATATCTAACTCTAGAATTCTTCAATTGAAACTAAGCGACTCCCCTAACACATGTGAAAGACTACCTTGGACACTATAAATGCCAAAAATTAAAGACTGTTAACACAACAGAAGCATAGAGTAAAACACTAAAAATCTTCCATATGTGCTACCTCCCCTAAAACAAAATACTACGCGGCATCCCAATTACCTAGCACAGACAGAACTAAGCATAACCCAATCATTAAATGAACATCTGCACTAACAACGACTCATGGCCGCAAGACACTCATCATGAAAACATGAACTGCAGATATATAAGAAAACTAAAAATTCATGATAACCAGAAGAATCATATACAATTCACAGAAAATGGAGCGACAACAATTCTCCAACTCAATACAATACCCTCAAATACCAAAGCGCTGCTGAAATTTCACCCAACCGAATCCAATAGTCACAACGCCCTCCAAATATATAAATATCTTTCAAAACCAACTAAAAAAAAAATCAATCCTCCATATCAATCATCAACATTTCATATCAAACAAAACAATCCTTAACATGAGGGTACGCATAATTAGAGCGACCGAAACTCGAACATACTACAAGGCGACACATCGTTTTCGCAACTACATCTAACTATCAACACTATCATCAATATATAACATCCAAACAGGACCTAAAAACAAACCTGTTGTGACTTCCGCACAAGCTTTAATATCCAAAACAACACCTTTCGGTGATTCATCATCAGTAGTGTGAATAATGGTGATTTCTATACGTGATACAGGTGTATTTGATGGTATTTGTGTTGAATTGAGTTCAGCTGGCTTCGACTTATCTTCTTTTGGACTTGAATTACTTAATATTGGTATGTCGTTGATTTTGTTTCCGTCAGGTGAATAGAATGTGACTTCAAATTGTTCAACATTTCCATTGGGTGTTTTATCACGTGGAAGAGTGACTGACTGAACTGGAGCAGGTTTGTCAAAATGAACAGTAATTATTGGTTTAAGATCATTCTTGTCGAAAGAAACACCTTGTTGAGATGTTGGTTGAAATTTGATGTTTTCACCTCTAGGCAATTCATTCGGTTTCACAGTTATCTTCTTGCTAACAGCTTCATCTACAGCTTGCATTTCTTCACATATCTTCGTAGTTGTTCCTGACACTGCTTCAGTAGTTGAACCAATTAGTGTTGTTAGAACAGTATAACTAGGTGTGCTACCTTCTACAGTACTAACTGATGTAAGACCTGAACTGGTTTCTTCAGTTCGACTTGATTCAGTTCCAGTGAAGCCTGTAGTAAGTGTTGTTTCTCCTGTTTCTCTTGTTCCTCTTGTTTCTGATGGAATTGTTGATAGTGGTGTGACAGCCGTTGTTTCTAAAACATTGTGAAAAACAAGCATGAAGGACGGACGTAAAATTGATAAATAATATAGATATACTAACCTGTTGTGCCTTCCGTACAAGCTTTAATATCCAAAACAACACCTTTCGGTGATTCATCATCAGTAGTGTGAATAATGGTGATTTCTATACGTGATACAGGTGTATTTGATGGTATTTGTGTTGAATTGAGTTCAGCTGGCTTCGACTTATCTTCTTTTGGACTTGAATTACTTAATATTGGTATGTCGTTGATTTTGTTTCCGTCAGGTGAATAGAATGTGACTTCAAATTGTTCAACATTTCCATTGGGTGTTTTATCACGTGGAAGAGTGACTGACTGAACTGGAGCAGGTTTGTCAAAATGAACAGTAATTATTGGTTTAANAAACGTTTACGTAAAGCTAAAAAGGAAACACCTGAATTAGAAAAACCACAAGCTATTAAAACACATTTACGTGATATGATTATTGTACCTGAAATGGTCGGTTGTGTTGTTGGTGTTCATCAAGGAAAAACATTTAATTCAATTGAAATAAAACCTGAAATGATTGGATATTATTTAGGAGAATTTTCAATAACATATAAACCAGTTAAACATGGTCGACCGGGTATTGGTGCAACACATTCGTCTCGTTTTATTCCACTCAAATAAAGAGTTTTAATACAAAAAACAAGAAAAAAATCAAATATATTGTTCGTTTTAATATCATGTAACAATATTTGATTTAAGACGCATAAAACAACAAGAAAATAATCGTTGATTTATAACATCTTTATTGTTTTATTAATAAAAATAAAAATAAAACGAAAGATAAATGACAAATAAAATATTTTCACTTAAATATGATCATCAATAATTCACTATTCTATGTCAAACAATTGATGTTGTTTTTCCGTTAAGTTGAATATTAAACTTTAAAATGCAGAAATAATAATAATAATCATTTCTATTTGATTTCAAGACTTCATATTTAAAAAAATTTCGAGAAATGCTAGTGTATTAGAAAAAAAATTATTTTCGTTTATAAAAAAAAAAAAAAATTTTTTTTTTAGCAAAACAAACAAATGAATAATAATTTTATTGATATTAAAAAATCCCTTTGAATCTTGTTCATTGAAGACATGAAATTCTGTTAGAACAAATATTGTAAGATAATTGTTTTATTTTTTATTTAATAATAAGTGTTAATTGTTTCCAAGAAAGCTAAGAAATATTATTTATATGATTACTAATCAATTGTTTTTTGGACTATGATAATAAATTGTAAATATTATTTCATTTCAATTTATGTCAAATGTATTTTTATTGTTTTAACACAATAAATTGAGTGAAGAATAAATTAGAAAAACTTATTCTATCACATATAAAATCTCTGATTTGTGATAATGCATTTGTGTCAATATTAAACACGTAGTGGTTATGATCATTATCATGGTCTTTTTTTATTTTGTTACGTATTCATCAAATTTCAAAAAAAATCAGAAATAATTTTCTTTTTTAAGAAAGTTGATAAAGTATAAAAGTTTAGTCTCGTGACATGAGTAAAAAACAATGTTTTTTAGTAAACAAATTGTTCATAGAGTAAAAAAAAAGATATGAGTGGAAAATTCTATTAAATATACAATGTTCTTTCATTTATCGTTGTTATTTATTCAAAAAGGAAAAAGGTTTTTAGTGAAGAAAAAAACAAACTTGAATGCCTATGGTCTATAATAAGCATAATCTTAAAATTTATTTAAAATCCATGAACATTCATATTCATATTTATATTTATATGTGTATTATTATGTTGTAATGGTTTTGATTGAAGTAGAGTTTGCTCAGTATTCTGTCGTCTATTTGATACAGATTTATTTCTTGTTAAAGTAAATAATTGAATTAATTCTTTTCGAAAAACTCCACCTGTTAATGTATAAATATAAAAATGTATTGCATGATTTAATTGTCCCATAGCAATAAATATAGCTGTCAATAAAGCCATGGCACCTTTTGTTTGTGACGCATTTGGTGGACGGAATGCACGTACCGTATCATTTATTTCTGTTGGCAATGTAAATACTAAAAAAGCTAAAAAAGAAAAAAAATTTCGTCATTTATTGTTTTTTTTTCTATTGATTTTATTAATAAAACTAACCAGCTGCACTACCAAGTAACATCACAGTTAATTGCTTTTCTTTTTCATGTCTTTTACGAACTTTTTTTGATTGAATAGTTGTTGTTATTATTGTTGTTATGGATCGTCGTGATGTTATAACACGAATTAATATTATTATATTACATACTAGCATAACAATAAATGGAATAACAACAGCAAATAACATATCTAATGAATCAAATATTGCATAAAAACGATCATAAGTTAATGAATTATGTGCATCCTTAAAAGCCATTGATTTTTTTGATGGCATACATGCTTGTATTGAGTGAGATAGTTCATCAATTTCAAAACCCCAAAATATATGTCCATTTATTAATAGAAATATTATTGACATAGCTATTATTATATATATAGCAATACGTGCACGACAAAATTTTGTTGAAGTATGAGGACATTGAATTGATACAGCTCGATCAATTGATGCAACAGCTAATAAAAAATTTGAAAGATCTGTTGTAAAATAAACCATTAATGGATTTAATTTACATATAAATAACGATTTTGTCGTTAATGTTACATTATTATATGATGGAAGGACGGTATCAATAAATGAAGCACATAAAGATGCTATATCAGTAATTGCTAGAGCAAGAAAATAAACAGCACAGGAACGATGTCTTAATGATGGTCGACTAAAGACAAGAACACTGAGTAAATTTCCAATTACACCAATAACAAATATGGTTAAACATATATATTTATAAACAATTGTTTCAGTTATATGTTGATATGTATCATAGGATGATACTGAATCCATTTGTGTTGTTGATAAATTAAAATTTTTTTGAAATGATAATGATGATGATGATGATGATGATGATGATAAGGAGTAGGAGGAAGAGGAGGATGAAGGAGATGAGGATAAATTAAATAATATTGCATTTGAATGTGATAAACTAAGAATATTTTCACCAGGAATAACACGTTCTAATTCTAATGAATTTGATTTCATTATCCAAACTAAACGTAAAATAATTTTTTCATATTATTTATTACATTAGATTAAAGAAAAATTGATTATCTTCATTCAAGAATAATGAGTAATCATCTAGTTGTTTTCAAAGAAAAAACAAATCAACTTGAACACAACTTAACAAACAATAGAGAGAAAAAAAAACGAGATGTTTTTTAATATTATTTCCTGTCAAACTATATTTTATTCACAAAATTTTTATGAATATTTTCCAACTTTCATTCATATAACTAATTGTTTTTCTTAAACTTTTCAATAACTCAAAGTACAGGTGTTTCTTTTATCTGCTAACTATTTTATACAAAAAAAAAACAAAAAAATTCGAATAAAATCAATAATTTGATCATCAACATCGAGAAGAAAAGTATAAAAATCTGCATATTGTATATTTAATGTAAAACAGTATGTGTCTTTTATCTTTAAAAAAATTGGTACTAAACAGACTGACAATTGATGATTATAGTTCTGTACTATTTTTTCTTCAATAACATCTGTCGAAACAAACACAATATAAATTAAAGCTCAAATTACTTTATAATTGAAATACGTAAAAATAGAAATTTTATTAGAAATCGTAAGTTCAATGTATGTTATGCTTATCAGGAAATAACGAGCATTAATCGAACATGTTGTTTCTCAATGCATTTCTGTGCGATCTCTTATGCTCGAGAAGAGAGGCAAATATTAGCGTTTTTTTCTTTTACTTCCAGTCGACACTCTCTATTATTATTGAATTGATAAGCACTTTTTTTTTTTTTTTTTTTTTTTTTTTTTTCGTTCACCGATTGTCACCGACGTTCACAATAGTAGTCGGTGGTCGAGATCATTGTAAACAACTGTCGTTGATGCTATCGTTCTTGTTACATTTATTCTGGAAATGAAAAAAAATAATAGACAAGAAAACGAAAAGAAAAGAGAAGAAGAAATAAAATAGTCACCTGCAATTTAGGATCAAAGTAAACCCTTACTTATGTATGCCCGTTCTCAGTTATAAGTTATAAAAAAAAAAAAAAGAAGTAAATTATCGGAAAATATAATAGAAAAGCCGATTTTTCCAACAGATGATTTTTCTCATTAATAATAGATCAGCATCTTTTTTCCTAATCAAGATCAATTCTTAGCTATTTGCGAGTTTCTACGTTGTTTTAATCTATCAATGCGTTAGATAAGAAAAAGAAAAGGAAATTCATTGGGGGATCTATATATTAAAGCATGTGTATAATCGATGAGGATAATTCGTAATATGAATTTTGTTTTTTAAATAGAGATAGAAATGCAAAACACTTATAGTCTATTAACAAAAGAAAAAATGCTAAGAAATGAGATTGAGGGCATAACGCCATTTTATTCATCTTTGAACGAATAGACACAATGAACGGCATAGTAATAACTTGGATACTATATAATGGAATTAGGAGAACGTGTCAATGATGGTAATAGTGACGTTGAAACTAAAAGAAAAAGAAGAAAAAGAGAAAAACAGACTATTCTAATTGTTATGCCAGAATTTGACATCATCGCTTTGCCACATATGATGCTCTCACAATTTTATTGGGCCTGACAGTTTAACACACACTTATCATGCCGTCTTTCCATCGATTGTGTATTTCATAATTGAGCACTTGAGAAGAATGACGAAAAGAAACTAAATTAGTGATATTGAATAACGAACAACTTTATACTATTTTTGACTATAGTAGTTCTGAATGAAGATTTGCTTTAATTAAATATGATTGTTATAATTATTTCATGTTAAGTTTAATAAATTTTAATTTATAATACAAAAGCCAAATATTCTCAAACTATTGTCACGTATTCAATCTAATTTGTAGATATGAAATTATTTATTTAATGTAATTTTCTAGATGATTTCATTTATTGTTCTACTGAATGATCTTTTTTATTTCTATCCGGGACATAATAAAGACAATGATTTTATTTTTCATTATATTTAAAGACGTACCTTACGTATTGTTGATAAATATCTGTTATTCTTACTAATCGTTTGAGCTCGTTTTTATCACTATTATTTTGTTAATAATGCAATAAGAAGAAAGTTAAATAGAATAATATAATACGAAAAGTAGTACACTTTTACTTGAAGTCAATTAATATTAATGGTAATCTAAGCACAATTTTGGATCGTGGAATGATGGTTAGCAGATATCTTTCATTTATATATAATAATTTCTATGAAGAATTAATCAGCAAATATTTCTTCTTTGTGCTTGTTTTTTTCTTCGCTTTTTCTGATGGCAGTAGTGATGACGATGATGATGATGATGATAACGAAAATGATAATGATAATGATAATTATTATTTTTATTTTTATTCGGAAAAGAATATTGTTTCAACAGTTATATAAACAAACTGGAAAATACACAACTATGAAAATAATAATGTAGATAAAAACAAAGAAAAGAAAGATTTCACATCTTACTATTAAGTTAATATGTCAATCAAATTGTCATATTAATCTTAAAAGCTAAGTTTTTATTTTATAGTATATAAATTGAGACTTACTTCGATTGAAAAAGGAAAAGATGAATTTCCTTCATATAGTGTTTGTTTATTATATTAAAAGAAAATATTACAGTTTTTTAGTATTGCCTATGTTTTGTCAATAGATTGAAGAACAAGTGATGAATAGCGTGGTTGAGAAGCCTTTCGGAAAGGAACAAGAAAGGCAAAAAAAGATTTTTACATCATGATTATCATTGTGTCTATTCATTGGTCTCGTTTCTCTTCATTCTATAATGCAGTTTGTTCGATAAGAGGCAAAGAATGAAGAGTAGTAGACGAGAAGAAAACAGAACAGAGCAAAATTTACTCTTATTTTGTCTCTTTTCAGATAGTTAGAACCTGTATTGTTAATAAAATTAATCATAAATATGAAAATTTCATCCCATGACATTCACTCACGTTTTACGCTTAATGAACTGCAAACAACGGAAGAAAAACTATATCAAAAACAAAAAGATGGATAATACTACCTTAATAATGAATAAAAATAAAAGCAACTCAGCCCACTTGCTTATTTAAGTGTATATACGCACACACACACAAGAGATTTGATTGCTAGCATATTGTGTTTGTCTCTCTCGTGTAATTACTCTGAAGCGTTAGTCGTTGTCTCAGTATTCTCGAAGGTATCATTTTACCAACAAATAGAAATTCTTTGATACATCTATATGACCCCAAGATAGACATCATTACCAAACAAACAAACTATCTTAGTTCAAAACAATAAAGTTTTCTTTTTACTCTCATCAACAAAAATTTGTATTACATTTTATATAAATAAAAAAGTAGAAAAATCTGATTAGATTTTGACGTGAGAAATCTATCGTAGATATATATAGTTCTTTTTCATGCATTTTATTCAAGCAATAGATCAAATGGTTATCATAGAACTTAATCAATCACTGAATCATTTATTATTATGTTTTGTTTATATGAAAACAGTCAACAACAGATGTAATACATTATCTCATAATGCAAAAAACATTTCACTCGATTTTATCAAATATTTTCAATAGAAATAATTTCTTTTTACTTATCAAGAAGAAATATCGTATTATAAGACAAATATGTTGATCCATGCACAATGATAAAATATATAGATATACGTGCGCTTAGTACAAGGTCAAATAGATAAACATAGTATCTTGTTATGACTAGCGTGTTCTGCTATTCCAAAATTCATCAATATATTTTATTATTTATATGTCAAATGATTTATTTTGTTAATTTTACATGGAAATTGTTCACACTGATTCACCATTCTTCTTTCAATTCATATTATTACCCATAAGTGTATGACATTGAAACTAAGACATTTGTACAATAAATTAAACTCGTATGATACTCTTCGTGATGTATGATTATTCTTACTGAATTTTTATGTCTTTAGTCAGTTTCTTTAGAAAAAATTCCACTGAAGTATTATAATCTGAAACTTGGTCAACACATAAATTTGACTGAACTAATAATGTTCTCAAAGTTTGAAAAAAAAAATAAATAATTTTATTATGAGATAACAAGCTTATCAAACAAAAAATTAGTTATTTAACAAAATAAAAATAAAATGTTCGATGAAATTATATGCGATATATATCGAAGCAGATATATTTATTTGTGTTAAAAATTTTCAGAAATTATAGTTTTAGTTAGATTTACCTATAGACAATATTTCAGATAAAAAACCTTTTAATTCAAATTTTCAAAATAAACTGACTAAGAAAAGAAGAAAAAACACAATAGAATGACTATAACTCAGGTACAATGTGTCATGAGTCCGGACTTATCGAACAAAGATTCTATTTAGGATGTTTTACACTTAAAGGAAGAATATCTCCTTGAAAAAAAGGGTGAATCAGTTTAACTGATTATTTCTTTAGTCAATAAGTATATTATTGGTTTATTGTAACATAAAATAATACTATAATATGATTTATAGTTGCATACAATTGAGTATAATCATTATTTTCTGTAATGTTGAAAGTAAGATGTTCAATAAAATGTACTTTTAACATAATTCTAAGAATTGACAAATTTATTTTGTTATATTTGAATTGATGATAAATTTTGTGATATCAAAATAGTTTTAATCCTATAGAACTAAACTGTTCTACTAGGACAACATAATAAATTCTATTTATTAAAAATATTCACACATGTTGCATGTCTTCTCTGATTTTTCTCCACTAGAATTATCAAGTCTTACTGCTCATTGTATAATAATAATACTTAATACATTTCACTCTGGTCTCTAGAGACAATATTCCCAATTGATACATTTTGTCTAACGCATTTTTTTATTCATGTACTGTGTGAAAAGGTTAATCTTGTTAGCATATATCAGTTGATTTCTACGTAACGAATATTCTATTTCATTATTATACAAAGGTTATCTTCGAGATTAAAATCATCGAATAGAAACTTCTTGTTCGATCATGTGTTAATAAATAAATATTTAGTAAGTTAATTGTTCTCTAAAAAAAAACCAAGAGATATTGAAACTACAAATATTATAAGAAATCTGAATGCAATCATTTACAACAATAGTTATTTATTTTATTTTCTCATAAACAATAATTATTTGTCAGTCTTTATCTTAAAAAAAAAAGAAAAAAGAAGGCTACTAATTAATAAACCAAAGACGCATTAGAATGTTGAGAATTGTATCGAGTGTCCTTTGAGAAGTCTTGAAATACTTGAAATTAATTAATGAATAAAAGTATTCTCTAATTGGGACGAAATAATATTTAACAAATGTTATAATAAGAAAATAAGATGAAGTAGGTATGACAAAAAAGATGAAAGAACAATACCATATGTGTTGATTGGAAAAATATGAAGAGACTTTTATTCTACGACCTACGCAGATTTTCTCATAAAAGAAATGTTTCAGTATTGCGAACATCTTTTATGTCAAGATAACTTTATAATTAAATAAACAAATATTATTTAACTTACAATAAATACATACATATATATATATAGTTAGAAAAGTTCACTTAACATTATGTTTTTTTTTATTTTTGACATGTGAATATAAATAGATAATTTGAATTCTAAAAATTTAATTGCCTAGAAATAATAAGTCACATGCCTCGAATATTCTTCGTTATAATAATGAATTAATATTGCGTTTCAATTTTTCTATACTTATTATACTTTGCAATAGAAAAGTCATTTTGCTAGAAAACACAATAGAATTATTTAATTAATTTGCCATATACCCTTGAGTGTGTACATAAAAATGCGCATCAGTTTTTTCAACTCAAAATCGTTGAATCGTAAATTAACGATATAAATACTTAAAAACTACTAACAAAGAGACATTATATGAAAATTAATCATTCTAGATAGAACAAAAGGACTCGCGTTTTTCTTTTAAATTGAACGTTACACATATTTTTTTTTTTAATTTTCAAGCATTTCAAATGTGTAAACATTGAATTTCGTTTTGTCCTTAAATACTGTTTGACCAATCAAACAAATAATTATATGTGTTCGAATAAATATATCATAGATTCAACAATGTTAACATAGACCACGATCTATGTGTCACTATTGTCAACAGAATTTATATCGACAAGATCTTAAAGAGCGTGATGACGTGTCTCATTCTTGACTATATCCTTTAGATGACGATGAAATGAATGCATGTGCTGATAGACTTCAACAAAAATGTACTGATATAAAACAAAATCTTAATGTAAAATACCAAGAACAAAAAAGATTATGGGAGTGAAAGAATTACAAGATTGGATTGAAGAACATCTTCGAAATCAAGATGCATCTAATGACATTAGACACTTACTATATGTAGCTGTCAAACAAATAATTCTCTATATTTGGATGACTAAAAAAATGAAGTTAGTATCAAAAATTTCGAGAATAAAACAAAGACTCCTAATAGACATTAAAAAACAATGAGAGCATCAAATATCAACACAAACATTTCTAAATGAATATGTACATTTATGTACGAATCATTTTATTTCCGCACAATGAATCATATTTACGCATTAGATAATCTGAAATGTTGCCCTTTTTTTTCGATATTTCTGTTCTTCAACAATCATAACAGATGACTGAATTACAAGAAATCTTTGCATTCACAACTCGTGTTCAGCATAGACTAATTCCTGATTCTAATAATCTCTTTATCTTTGCATGTCTGATTAACAGCTAAATTTAAATAAAAAAAGGGTTATTTTCTTTAAATTATAATTAAATAAAACTTAAATAAATGAATTACTCGTTGAGGTAATTATAGATCTGCTTCGCTCTGTAATAACTAAAAACATTTAATATGTTTTCTGAAAAATGTAGGAGAGCTTTTTCATCATTTTAATACTCTTTTTAATTCTTCCTGTTTAACTTTACCGATTAATCTAGCCATGAGAATACAATATATTACGTCAAGTTTCAGATCACACTTTGGTAGGAGTCTATAAAGTCTACATCGTCAGAAAAGAATTCTTTAGTTTTTTAATACTATTAGGATAAAAAAATTTGTTTTCGAATATAACATTAAATTAATTAGATATATCAAAAGGATGAAATCATTGTTCACTTGATTATTATGGTGATAAAATTCAAACTATTCAATATTATAATAAATATTTAGCGTTAATTGTATGACAAACATATTGATAGAAACCGATCATTATTCTTTGAGCTTTATAAAATACATCCAAATATGATCAGTTATGAATACTGAACATGAAAAAAAATTATATTTAGAAATATTTTGCTTCTCATTTCGGATAAATGAATCAATGATTGTTGACGAATTTTTAGTTTATTAAAATAACATACATTCCAGTTGATATACAAATAAGAAGTTCAGTTGCTGGTCGATTTTACGATCCGAACAAGATTTTACCAATTGATTTATTTGTCTTTATAACTTTAAACGAATTTACTCTACATTTATACACAAAATGTCTTAATTAATCATACAGAATCTATAATTACCATCCTTTTGCACATAATTTGCAAGAAATTTGAACAATTCTATCTAATAATATTATGCGTTAAGAATTTCGTGATGTTTGTAGGATACATTAAAACTATTGGCATTTAATTATTAATTATCCTTTACTTTGTCGTGTTTTATTCAGATTTTCTCTTTCGACGAGATGGTTTTAAACTGAATGACAGTAAATATCTATTTTTGGAAGCACAGATATATCGTACATGATATAATAACCACAAACTCCAGGAGGGCTAAATCAATGTTCATAGGGCGTAGCTCTCTCGACTTCCATACTAGATAAAATAATGATCGTTTGAAATAGATAAACTTATGTTAATCAAGATATTAAATGATACGAAACTTTTTTCTCTGAATATTCCTAAGATGTTACTTAATTTAAAATAGAAGAAAAAAAAACACAACACAAATAAATTTTTTTGAAAAGTTTTTAAACTGTTTATTTTACTATTCTTGATGGAATATTTTAACAATATTATATAAAAATTAAAAGCTTTAAAATAATTATTATTTCTTAGGACATTCTAAGTTAACATATTCAATTAACATTAAAAAAATAATGTTCTTACTTGATTTTTTTTTTCTAATGTATTTGAATACAAAAAAAGAATAAAGAAAAGATGGAAAAGTTAAAAATGCTCCTATGAGAATGTTTACTAACATAAGAAACTTTAAAGAAAAAAAAATACTTTTAGTGATGAGCATTCTTTTTAGCTGACGATGATGATGGATGCACTGTTGGAATCGAAGCTGGATGAGATTGAGAAGCGAAGTTTTTAGCTTTACGTGACTGAGACCATTTTGTCATAGTATAACCAAAAATTATCCAACCACCAATAACACCCATTACTGAATTAGCTCGATCACGCGTTGTATAGGAATTAAAATAACGAATATACCTATTCGTAGTCATCTTTTCTCGAATATGTGCTGGAACATCAGCATCACCACCAAAACGAATAAGACTTAATTTCATTTTTATATATCAATGGTAAGAATTATCGAATGCTAATATTAATCAAACCAAAATATAAACTTTTTATAGCAAAAAGCAACATCTCAATCTAGTGATTTTATAGAGAACCAATCAGTTTAGAACGCAATACGTCATCTATCAAAATTAATTTTTGTTTTGTTTTTATCAGTATTATTCGATTCTTTTTCTATATATATATTCAAATCGAAATGTTCACATAATATATTTGAAATTATGTTTGTAATCGTGAATGAGTCATCTATGATGGTTGTTATGGAAAAAGTATCGTTCAATGGATGATATTGATATTCTTCATTACAGGCAACAGTAAGAATGGAGCAACAAGAACCTGAAAGGCGTCCAAGTAAAAAATCTATAAGTGATGATAAACCATTTGTTGGAAAGAAAAAAACCAAAGCCGAATTAGAGCAAGAAGCCTATATGGCTCAACAGTATGCTATTGTTATCGGTGAACTGAAAGCTGCCGAAGCAAGAAATCGGTAAGATTCATTTGTTCATCAATTTTCATTAGTTCATTTTTTTTCTTCTAATAAAAGAATTCGAGCAACTCGTCTTCGTTTTGCTAAATCCCATCGTGATGAAGTTGATCAAATAATCGCCTTTCAGCCAAATGCATTAAGTGCACTTCGTTTTGAAGCATTTATGTCAAATACATCATCATTACAAAAAGAAAAAGTATCTTCATCATTGCATTCATCACCACGTACAGCAAGTGCTTTAGCAAGTGGACAAACAAAAGAAACTTTAACACAAATTGAACGACGTAGAGTTCAAAATCTACTACTTGATGATAAAAATTTATTGGTTGATAGAACCGGTTAAAAACAATTTTTATAATAAATATTCAATTATTTGAATGTACGTAAAAGATGAGATAATATTGCTTTCTAAAACATTCAATAAATAATAAAGATTATTTCAAAAAAAAAATTTAACTTACAGGCATTGACCAAAGAAATAAAAGTAAGAATATAATAAAACATATTAAGAAAAATATAATAACAAGATACCATTTCGATTTTTTCCATATTATATTTTTAAATGTAAGATATGGAGATGTAAACCAAAGAAATGATGTTTCAGGACGTCTGAAATTATATTTATTTTATTTTTTTTTTTAAATGTAAAGCAAAATATTTACTGTGGTAGTTCTAATTTTGGATGTTGATTTGGTTGTTCACGACCACGTCCTGCTGGTCTTTCAATTGCTTCTTTTTCTGTTAAAATTTCCAATTCAAGTTCAATTTTACCCTAAATTGTTTCTCTTTTTAGAAAATTTTCTTCAAATTAAAAAGAAAATAACCTTACAGTAAGTTGTGGCTTTCCACTTTGAAGATCAATGCAAGGCCACCAACCTTTTAGACGTTTTATTTCAAAAATTGAAACATAATTCGATAATTGATCATTCACAATGTCCAATGTACAAACATCAGAATCTTTAGCTGGTTTATATAAACGATTTAAATCAAGTGTTAATGCACCTATTCTCATTAAAGTGATTTAAACAAAAAGAATAATGAAGACAAAACAAAAAGGAAAATTACCAAGAAAATCATCTCGACTAAATTTATCATTATCCCATATTTGAAGATTTAATACAGGTGGAACTTTAAATTCTGTAGCATCATAACTCCAAAAATATTCTTTTTTATTAATTGATATACATCGTTCAGCAGGAAAAAAAGAAAAATCATAAACAAAACGCCAATTAAAGTTTCCTTCACCATCCATTGATCTAATTTAAAATTAAATGTTCTTTTTCTTTTTGAATAAAAAACAAACAAAAGCAAAGAAAATTCAAATAACAAACCGATAATGTACATCTGTTTTTTGTAAATCATCTTCTATTCCAGTCAACCATCCTTTTACATAAATATCAGACATTTTTTCTCCTGTTATTGATGTTTCTTGTAAAATTACATCACTTGTATTCCAAATTATACAACGAAGAACATAACTAAAAAGAATTTTACGAGTCGTACATGTTTTAAAATCATGAATACACTAAAAGAGTAGAGAATAAATCGAAAAAACAAACAATTATTTGTATCACTCAATCTTACGAGAGAAAAAGAGCTCGAAGTCTTAACTTATTACTATAGAGATATTGTATTTTTACTGTATTGTTTAAATCATTGGTGTGGTATTTCTCAGGAACTCTTGAAAAGTTGATTTTTGAATTTCGACTTGAAATTTTGCACTAAGACGGATCTTAATGAGAATATTTTATTGTGAGAGTTTCAAATCTCTTCGCTATTTCTATCGTAAGAGGTTGTCATGATAAAAATTTATCTTTTATATCACACGTATCTACACTGACAGATTTGATAATCTTATTTCAGGATAGGAGCTAATCAAAAGACTTGAAACTTCCATTATTAATCATTCTCAGTGAAGGTTGTATCTGTGCAATGTTTCAAGTCAAAATTCGAAAATCAGTTTTTTCGGTATGCCTGGAGAAGACTGTGCTCATTGTCTTGAAAAATATCGTCAAAATGCAGTATTTCTACAGCATTAAGTTAAGGCTCCGAACTCTGTTCAGATATTCAATGCTTATTAGGATATACATGGTGGACATAATTCCAACTCAAAAGCAATTGATCAATTTAGAACCTTCTCTCGTTTGATAGACTATCAAAGTTAATATTCAACAGCTAACGAAGTTTTAATATGAGAACAAATATTCATGAATACATTTTAGATTAATGTATACATACAAGTTTAATTAGCTAAAAAGAAATAAGTGTTTGGTTTAATATGACAATAACTAATGACTCTCTCATCTATTTTTTATAACTTTAGAAAACATTCAATGAAGTTTTAATGGAAAATTTCTTTTAAAAAGAATATAATCTTGCAAAATAGATCATAACTTCACACAAAGTTATCTGCAAGTATCGGTAGTCAATTACGTCCAAATACCTAAAATCGTATTAATATAGAACATGAGAGCACATACATAGCACACGACATAAATAATCTTACTACTTCCTAACTACTTCTTTTTCACTATTATAGACTTATATCAGTCCATATAGCACTTCTCTTCAATTGAAAGTGATATTTATTCGGAATTTTTATATATTATTTTAATGTATATAGATCATGGGTACCCAAATTATTCAACAATGTTTTTTCTGCCGGCGTAAGTGTCAGAAAGAATCCAAATAACGATTTGAATAGAAAGAATTTTTTTCCATTAAAAATATAAAGAAATAAAAATGATTATCAGATTCCCAACGATCACAACTTCAGAAAACTCAAACCCTATTTTTTCAGCACCTAAAGTGCTTTAATATAATTGTTTTTAATGCTACAAAGAACGACAAAGCAAATAATTCTTGATAAAGTGAGACACTGTTGAGTTCTTGGCGACGTTTTTTTCATTGAGATACAGTAATATGATTGAAGGTCAAAAAAAAACTGGCTGTTCTATAAGAAGTAATAAAAGAAAAAAACAAATTTTAGGGGCTTCCATAAGATAGCTATATCTCAGTCAAAAAATGTGACAGAGAACTCTGAGACATTTCATTTTCTAGACAATAAGTATTTTTGATGAGATTTAATATTATATAAATAAAAAGTGAATTGTTTATCATTAACCTACGGTTTCGATTTTCTTGGTGTGATAATAAAAGGGGGTCCAGGTGGACCTTGAGATTTTGGAAAAATATCAACAAATAATTCTAAACGACCTTGTTCAATAAATGGTTGAAATGAATTAAAAAGTGGTCGCGTTTCAATATGTTCAGGACAAAGACGAAGTTTATGTAAAATATACAATGCTAAACGTTCTTCTTCTTCACCCACATGAATTGTTAGATTTTTTTCTTGTTCTAAATAAAATAAAATTAAGAAAAACCAAAGAAAAGAAGACGTATATTTTTGAACAAACCGAAATCTTCCAAACGAAAAGTTGTATTACCAATTTTAATTGAATGATCATCAAGTAATTCTGGTAAAGGTAAATTATTTCGTTTACAAACATCATAAAGAATTTTTCTCGGTAGAATATTATCACGCCATTGATTAGATCCAGTTCTAAATAAATTAATCTTAATTATAATTTTATTATTTTCATCTAAAATACTTACAAATTATAGTGTAATGGAAGTCCACATGTTGCTCTATATTTACTTAAAAGTCTATTCTCTAAATCAATTGTTGTTTGTCCAATAATATCATCTGATGTTATTAAATCCCAATCTTTAATACGAATTATTAAATCTTTAGCTAATGGAATTATTGTTTTGATTTCAAACATTCTAAATAAAGAAAAATAAAGTTGATAAAAAAAAGCAAAAGAAAATAGATAGATAAACTAACTTTCCAAAGACAGGATTTATTGTATTTGATATTTTTTCATCTCGATTATCAATTTTTATTTTTCCTAATTGAATTTCAATATATGGATCTGATTTTCCACTTGAATCTTTTGCTTGTAAATCAATACCACGAATTATATAAACACGAACTAAACATTCTTCTAAATTATTTGATGGAAAATTTTCCATAATTCGACGTGGTAATGATTCATTTGAATTTTCAGGTAATGGATAAACTTTAAAAAAGCCTTTAAATTCTCCGAGTATTTCATTTTCTTCTTCAAATTTTGTTTTTCCACGAGATAATTCAAATGTTCGACAAAAATCATTAAAACCTTCATAAAATTCGTATAATTCAAGTGGATGAGAATAAATCTTAAATTGAAAAAAAAAAATACAAAATAGAACCAACGAAAAAAGAAACGTAATAAGAAAATATTTACTGTTAAAGTTTCATATCCTTTTTGTATATAAGTACCACATTTATTGAATTCACCTTTCGATGCATAATATTTTGACCACCAATCAATATCTTCTTCGACAATTGTCTAATTTATATATAAAATCATCGAACAATAAGCAAAGCAAAAGTTCTCGACATATTTTAATTCAATCAGAAAAATCTTTTTCGATTAAATTACAAAAACTGTTACTTCATTTTGTACTCTAACGAGGGAATGTTTATAAGTGTAAAATTACTATTCAGTTAGGATTGTATGCATTATATAACTTCTAATCAGCTATGAATACACTGAAAAAAGCTCGGACTAATAGTTTATTACTGCCGAGATATCGTATCTTTTAATGAAACATTGTAATCTCCCTTATAAACACTTAGAGACAGATCTTATCTGGCATAGCTTATTGTAAAATTTTCAAATTTTTTTATTGAGCCTACTTTGAAATAAGAACAACGACATTCTGCTAAAAAATACTATACAAATACGGCACCTTGACAGTAATAAGCTATTATTCAGAATTCTTTTCAATGTATTCATAACACATTAGAGCCTACATAATGCACATAGACCTGACTCAAAAGCGATTTACAATTTAGAAATGTTATCTCATAAGATTCTTTTATTAATTGTGCAAGAACAAATCATTAAAATAGAATAGATATTACTATTGAAAATATGTAATCTTTAATCTCAATTTAAAAATCATGTTCTAACTCTAAATAGATTTTGGTCAGATTAGACGAATTTTAAATGAAAAGATAATCATAGATCTTTCTTTACAAGTTCTTATGCTTTTAATATGAGCGTCACAATATTCCCTTAGATCTTAAAAGAAAATATCGAGTAAGATGAATGAAATAGAAACCAAGGACTTAGAGAATATCCTTGGCGATTAGTTTAATACAGAAACAAATCTTTATTTTCAAAATTTTTTTAAATCAGTTTTGTTCGAAATACTTAATCTAATGACGAGATGATAGTTTCTAATTTCTACTGTCAGATTTGAATTTCTATGGATGATTTATAAGTTAAAAAAAAAGAAAAGTAAATAAATGTTATAAACATTTTTTTGTTTTAGAAATAAATGAAACAAAATATAACGAACCACTTGGTTGACGAGTACACTTTGATAATGTTGTTGATGATCTTTCAAAATAGCTTTTTGAATTTTCTCTAATTTCGATTCTGGTTTTATTACAGGAGATTTACATTTCTTCAAAAACTGTTTCACTCGTTTTCTCATTGTTTTTTTATCAACGATTTTCGTTTCGATTTCATTGTTTGTAAAATCAGATGTTTCGTTAGTTAATACAATCTTAACTTTAGATGAATGAGAATGCTATTACGAAGAAAATTATTTTTATTAAAATAATAAAATCAAATGTTTTTACTTCATTTCGATGTTTTTTCTTCTTTTTTTTACTCATTGGAATAACAAAATTATTTGTTGATGTTATAGTATGTGATTGTATACATTCTAGAAAAAATAATTATTTTCAAAATAAATGATTAATAAAAGAATATACTAGCTGCTTGTATAAGTGTTAATGAAGGTGCAGTTGGATCACATCGAAATAATTCCAATGATTTAATAATATGAAAACCAACAATAGGTTTTCGTCCAAATGATCGATGATCTTTTACTTTAATATTCATTGCTGGTGCATATAAATCATCTTTTGGTAACATCTAATTATATTATTGATAGATAAAAAAACAAAATTAGTTTAGATAAAAAGAAAGAAAAACATACAACATCAAGAAATAATAATGGTTTATCAAAATTTGGTGTTTTCTTTGCATTTTTAATAATTGTTGATTCAACTTGTTGACCACCAACTTCAAACGTTACTTGTGGACAATCAATATCCGATAACATAAATGATTTCATATTTCTTACACCCCAACAAAGAATCTAATAGAAAGAAAAACAAAACGAGTTTGTTTTTCTCATTATTATTGATTAAATAAATAAAGAAAAAAAACCTCAATTCCAGTTCGAACAAGTTCTGGTCGAATTAAGTCCGGTACAATAAACAAAGAACTACGTTTTGATGGATATGGAGGCATTTTCTTCTCGTTATCAATTTCTGGTAACTAATAAAAATAAATTTTAATATAAAATAAATATTCTATTAAATAATTTACTAAGAAAAGTTCAAATGCTGCTAATAATTCTCCTGCATTATCTTTTCCTCTTTTAACTTGAAACCATTTTAATTTACTAATTGGATTTATTTCATCAGGTATTAAACGAACAATAGGTGAACATTGAACACGACCAAGAAAATCTGGAAGTCCCTATTAATTTTATCAAGAAAATTCTTTTTCTAAATTTTGTCTTTTTCAATTTTTAAAAATCTACATATTCATCTTTATCAAATAATTCAATTAGAACATATGGAGGATCATGATAAATTTCATTTGGTTCACCATAAAGTTCAACATTTGAAAATATCAATGTCTAAAAATAAAAGTTTCGATTAAAAAAAAATCTGAAGAAATTTAATTTACTTGATCCCACGTTGGACATAAAGTTTTTTGAATAACTTCCGTACGTTGACTTTGATTAATAAAACCAATTTGTGCATATGGATCTTAAACAAGAATTTTTGTTTAATTGATAAGTATTTTATAATACATGCTCAGTAAAAAACACACACACACTTTTAGCATAGTAAATTGTTTGAAAAGCTCAGTAACTAAGTTAAAACAAATCAATATTTAACGGTGTCGGTATCGACTTTTCTGATAGTAGTATCCACACTCAATGTCACACCGGAGATCAGATTAGTGTGAAACACCATGAACCTAACCCAGCACATCTCTGCCGCATAACTAGCTAACTAATTTAGTCAGTAAACATAGGATTTATCGAACACAAAATTTAATTCTGATAATTTGTGTATTATACTGAGCGTTGACAAAAAAAGAAATACAAATCATTTAATTTTCTCTCTTAAAAAATTGATATTATTTACAATATAAGGAAAATTTCTTACCTGAAAAACTATCATAATCCATGGAAAGAAGATTTCGTGCTTGATATATATATGATCGAAGTTCATAGTAATACGGTCCTATATTTAATGATAAAAAAGTTTATTGAAATAAGTCTATACTGAAAAAAATTTTTACTTTTAAAAGTAAGAAACATTCTTGGTGCACTTAATTCAATTTTAATATTTTTATTTGTTGCTGATTTAAAATCGGGTGATCGTTGATCACCTTTTGAAGATGAATCTGTAACTAAAGAAACTCGTGATTGCATTCGAAAAATAATGTCTGTATTAATAAAAGTTCCTCCATTAGAATTAGAATTAATATTTTCATTATTTAATAATTGATCGGAAATCATTTTTCTATGCCATCGTCTTCGACGTGTCATATCCATACTTCGTTCATCAGCATGAAATCTCATATTAAACATCGGAGCATATTCCCATCCTTCATTTTTAAAATCAATTTTTATTTCTTTTTTCTATAAAATATAAAATTATATTTAATCAAATAAAATATTTCAATACTTTTTTCTCTTCTATATTTAAATCTATTTTAATAACTCGTGTTCTATACCAACGTCGTCGACGATTTAAATGAAATAATTTTTCAACTGGACACCAACCACTAACTGTTTGATTAACACAATATTCAAAACCTAAACAAAATGAAAACAGGTAATTACTATTATGAATTTCTAATCTTAAAACCTTCTTCATCTACAGCTCGATTAGTATCTATAGTCCATTCATCTTCCCATTCCCATCCAGGTGGAGATTCAGTTCGTTCATTTTTACTTAGTACTTTATCACCAACCTAAAAAAGATCGATTTTAAAATGAAAATGCTTATTTTTCTATAATTAAATATCGAACTAAATTAGTCCATTGAATTGCTTTTGGTTGCCATTGTGCTCCAGCAATTAATCGATACTGATGTTCATAAACTTCTTCAGTAAATTTTCTATGACCAGCATCATCTGCATATCGAGCACTAATATTTAAAACAAAATTTAATCTTTATGTAATAATAATTCATTCAGTATTTTATCCAGATTTTCTCTTTCGAAGGGGCTATTTAAACGTTCGAGAAGGTGACCTAAGGCAATGATTATAGTCGGTCATACAGTTTACGGTCATAAATAGACATTTATTAGACGCAGTATTACGATAGTATTTTTGTTGTGCTATACACAATTGATAATCGTTATTAAACGATTAAAAAATTAAGCTTACAANAAAACCTTCTTCATCTACAGCTCGATTAGTATCTATAGTCCATTCATCTTCCCATTCCCATCCAGGTGGAGATTCAGTTCGTTCATTTTTACTTAGTACTTTATCACCAACCTAAAAAAGATCGATTTTAAAATGAAAATGCTTATTTTTCTATAATTAAATATCGAACTAAATTAGTCCATTGAATTGCTTTTGGTTGCCATTGTGCTCCAGCAATTAAACGATACTGATGTTCATAAACTTCTTCAGTAAATTTTCTATGACCAGCATCATCTGCATATCGAGCACTAATATTTAAAATAAAATTTAATCTTTATACAATAATAATTCATTCAGTATTTTATCCAGATTTTCTCTTTCGAAGGGGCTATTTAAACGTTCGAGAAGGTGACCTAAGGCAATGATTATAGTCGTTCATACAGTTTACGGTCATAAATAGACATTTATTAGACGCAGTATTACGACAGTATTTTTATTGTGCCATACACAATTGATAATCGTTATTAAACGATTAAAAAATTAAGCTTACAAGCGTTTGCAATAATCTTGCATCTACCAAGCAGCGAGAAAACTATTGAAAATGGTTATTTATGACCGCGATTATTTGACCTGAGGAAAATCTATTGTTGAAAATACCGACTTCCACACTGGATAAAATACTAAATCCATTTACCTTATTTCTGGACTAATATACCAATCCCCACCCCATCGCCAACCAGGAGGTACTTGAAAATTTTGTTTCAGTAAATTCATCTAAAAATTTCCATATATAGAAATAAAAGTTATGATTGTTTTTGTGTTTCTTTATATTCTCTTACATTTCCTGTAACATCTGACCATGCTGGTCTGGTCATTAATGGTCCAGTTGTTGACCATTGTCCAAGTACATTTGTTTGATTTTCATATGTTTCTGCATAAATAGTTAAATCAGCTCCGTTTTGTTGTGATAACCAATCTTGTTCATGTATGGCTAAACCAAACCAAATTTTGACTCGAATTTCTGCTGGAATGAAAAATCTTTTATCTTTGTCAATATCTATTTCTTTTCCAGGCCATTTTAATGTTATTGTTTGAAGTTTTCCACAAAGATGACCACGATAATCAACATTGGTTGAATATAATACTTCATTAGCTGGTAAACGATAATAAGCATAACGTTTACCATTTGATAATAACCATATAATTACATCAGGAATACTATTTTGTGGCTAAAATAAAAATTAAATTATTATTTAAAATAAATATATTATATATATACTAAAGATATTTTTACTTCAAATTGAAGAAATTCAAGATTTCTTTGAATATCTTCTAATGTATCAAAAATATCTTGTGATGTTTTAGAATGTAATTTTAATTGTTCTAATTTATAAATAATATCGAAAAGATCTTTTTCACGCATTTGGCGTCTTAATCGATCAAGTTCATTTAAATGATAACGACATAAGTCAAAATCAGGTAATGACTTTCTATTTAGAAAAATTAAATATATTAAATGAATATTTTCAAGAATAATCGAAACTTTTCGACCATTGTTTTATTTAATTTTACTTTAAATATGAAATAATTGTATCGATTGATTGTTTATAATGTCGAATAAGAATTTCATCAGATGATTTTTTTATTTTTAATAAATTTAATGTTGATATGAGATCAATCTTAATAAAAAGAAGAATATATTTTATCTTTTTTTTATTTCGATAAAAATTAAAAAATATTTTTTAAACTTACAATAAATAATTTCATATTTGATAAATGATTAAGAGCTTCTAATCTAAAAGTAATATCTTCCCATTCACTGGTAACTTGTACACACGGTTTTGTATGTCCCCATGGTAAAAAATAATATGATGTTCCATCAAAAACAGGATTTGTTGGTGGTGTTGTTGAACAATTTGCATATCCAATAAGATTATCAAATTTATTTCCATAATTTCCTATACTTATTTCAAATTCAATTGTTGATTCATGTTCAAATAATATAGAAGCATCAAGAAATGCAGCATGTAGTTTATATTTTTTTCTTGATTGATATGGTAATGTACGAATTAAATCTGAATTTGATATTTCACCAAGAGGTTCACTTGGAATTTCACCAAGAATTGTTTGTAATTCAAAAAATATTCGACCACGATATGCAACACCTTCACTCTATATTAAAAAAAAATAATTTGTTTTTCTTTTTCTAGAAAAAAAAATTTTCTTTTATGTATAATTTACTTTGCCACTATTTAATTCATCTAATGCAGTTGGAAGTTCTGAATATTCTCGTGGTGCACCATATAAATTAACCCAACATGGACCAAATGTTGGAAGAAAACCTTATAAAAATTATTTTTATTTTATGTTCAAATTAGTTAAGTAGTCAAAACAAATAATAACTCATTGATACTCAATTTCATATTGTTATTCATTATGGATAATGAATCGAAATTTTGATACTTTCTATAATCGCTCGTTAGTGGTTTTCAAAGGATAATCGATGGTAAAGAAAAAACAATCTCTATTATTTCTGTATTTCAAACAGAACCGTTTTTACTGGTACTTAATTCTTTGTTTATTTTATTGTTATTCTTTCGTTGGTTTTCATTGTCCTACTTCGTTTTTCTTAATTTAATATTATTATTATTATATTAATCATTGGTTTTAACCGGCAAATAAGCCTGTTCAACATATGCATAATATCTACAGCAAGTCTAACCGGTCTATCATACATTTCGAATATCTCACAAACATTGTTACTGATTATTTTCCAAAGTTTTAACTTGATAATTTCACTCTTTTTATGTTGATTATATGATGACTATGAAAAATTAATTCATAACTACTCATCATTCTTGACACCTTGAATAGAAATTTTGATCTAAGAGAAAATCAAAAACTGCACTACTTAGAATATTAACAAACGTGTTCCGGCCATTCAAAATGTGAAAAGGCTTCTAATATTTTTCTTTGAAAAATATAATGTAAATTCCTCAGAAGAGAAGTAGTTATATTCTATATACTCAACTGATTAATTAATATGTAGAATTAAAAAGACATACCATTTTCTCGATCATCGCATATCGAATTAATATCTAATAAAGCTGATCCAGTTATATCATCAAATTGTAAACGATCCCTGAATAGATTTTTTTTCAATAAAAAAATATCTTTAAAAAAAAAATAAAATCTTACTAACCAATCCATAACAGTAAGTGTAATTTTATCACACATTGATGGAAACTATGTGAAATTAAAAATAACAAACAAAAAATAAATAAATGTGAAAATAAAATTTACTTTAAGACCAAGTCGAAGTTCTTGATTAAATTCTGGATGTGAACAAGTATAAATAATTTTTGACGAAACCTAAAATAGAAAAACTAAGATTTATTTTTATTTTTTGTTGAACATACTTGTTGTCCAGCAAATGAAAATGTAACATAAGGATCAATTAAGTCTTTAATATCTTCAGTTCCATGAAAGATTTTTTTAACACCATGAAAAAACGAACTATCCACTAAAAATTATTTATTTATTTTTTTACAATAAAATGTTCAAACACAAACTTTGTGGTAAATCTTCTGCTTTATAAACTTTTAGAATAAATGTTACTGGACGAAGCATAAGACCAACTGGTTTTAATAAATTACTTTCAATATCATCAAGATCATCTGCATTTTCTTGTGACTATAGAAAAAAAAAAAACAAAGTTTCAATTGAAGATAATAATTGAATTCTTACTGGTGCTTCATCTCCTGGTCCTAATATATTAACAGATACTTTAAGATAACCTTTGGCACCAGTCATTCGATCATTATCATTACTTAATAATAACCATTTTCGATTAATTGAATGTTTTGTTTGGGAATAAATAAAAGCAATATCAGTTTTAAATGTTCCGATTTTCATATCCGATCGAAGTATTCTCGAATTACAAACTTCAAATTCAATAAATTCATCACATAAATTAGCTTGAGACATATTTACATTGAAAAAGAAAACTTCATTAAAATATGGATTATTTGTTCCTTTTTGAATTTTAGTTTGTTTTATTGAATTAATTACTCTAATACGACATACTGGATGAATATTACTTCCATGTAATTGACGAGCTTGAAAAATTTTTACTCGTATCTATAGAAAATAATTTTGACAAATTTCGAAAAAAAAAAAATAAATCTAACTTGAAAATCTTGTGGTTTAGTCGATCGTGGTTTATTTTTTAATAAAAGTGTTTTGTCAATACCTAATTCGGCTTTCCATGGCATATCACCACCATTTTGTAAATATATGTCATCAACTTGATTTAAACCTATAACGTTCACTGTATAAGAAAATTTTCAAGAAAAATTATTTTACCGTTTCTCGAATTTAATTTTTCATTGTTAACACTATTCGGTGGACTATATTCAATTGTAAGATATAATTTAGTCTATATTTTAAGTGAAAATAAAAGAAAATTGTATTACAAAGTTTTTTTTTTCGAACTTACAGCTTCAAGTCGAACACCTTGCGGATTTGTTAACTGAACAGTGCGTCGTTTGATGATACCAGTTCGAATAACATCATTCAATGATATTGTACCTTGACCAATAAGTCTAGATAAAAAACAAGTAATAATAAAAAAAAAATACATAATAATTAATTTACTTGTTGGTTCCAATTTTTTCGTAATCTTTAAGATGAATTTCTAATACATCTGTACTTTTTATTGGAATACCGTTAAGAGGAAAATCAAGTGTCTAATGTTAATATAATCATCTTAATAATAAAAAGATAGAAGAAAAAATATGATCATGTCTACCTCATCCCATTTTGGATCACATGTTGATCGTTGCCAATTTGTTTGTTTCGTAATACCTATAGAAATTACATTATCATCATACAAAATTTAAACATAAAAAATTGATTAAATTTTGAAATAACTTAATTATAAATATGTTAAACTTATATTTAATTTGTTGATTAACTCCTCTCTAAGCAATATGATTCATATATACCTTGAAAAATAACTGCAACCATTGGATCAACAGTTGAAAAACGTTCCAAATTAGGAACACGTTCGGCATTATGAACAATCACTTTAAGCATTGTTAAATTATGAAGCAAATAGAGAATAAAAAAAATGCTTTTATCAAAAGAAAATATTATATTTCCATATTGTTTTAATAAGTCGTAGGTGGAATGACATTCTGAAAAAGAGCAGAGACAAAGACAATGAATGCTAGTTGAATAAAACTAGGTTACTGTTTTCACTTTTTCATCTTTGTCTTAGTGTGGGTATCAGATGGCAAAACTATGAATATATTATGCATATGAAAATCGTAAATAATTGAAATATCGTTGATCATATTGCATTGAATAAGTCAAAGTACTAGCATCAATCTTATTATATGAACAGAATATGATCGATACTAGACAAGTTTTTCTCTTCTACGTTTTATTATGATGATAGATGACACTTTTAAGCTAATTTTTGCTTAAAACTATATTTTTCACCTTGCATATGCTGCATAAAAATTGATTATGTCTTTTAATTATGTATCATTCATAGATTCGGGATTGGCTCGAAGCAATCAACTTAAACAGATGTCTCAATTTTTCATAAGATATTCAAATATTTTCAGTTCTATAGGATAAGAGACATTTTCCATGATTGAGAGGGGAATAATACACTCTCAATAAGTGTCCCTTACATTATCCAGATAATTAATATATATACGTATATTTTATTATTAAGAAAAGGAATGCATTAAAATCTTTTCTACAAAGAGTGAGCATTGCAATGAGAGAAAACGTATACTTCATCCTTCTTAAATACGAATTAAAACAAGAATAACTATCATCCAATTCTTTTATATACTTATGGTCAGCAAACAAGAAAATTGTTGAAATGTAATCGTCTTTTTGCAATCGATCACAATCGTATACCCGTGTTAAAAACAGATGAAATAATGAAAACAAACTAAGGATGAAATGTAGAATCTAAGATACTGAATTATTCAAATTATAGTTCCAACAATGAACAAAAGAAAACTGGAAATCGGCCATATTACATTGATAATCGATCTATTGATCACCACGTAGGAAGTCGACTTACTACGTAAGGTTGAAAAAATTACGAATAAAACAACGAACGTTTATGCTGTATTTATGCATTTAATGGAAAACTTATTTCTCCTTGTTATAAAAATGATAATCAATTCTTCAATGGATACTGTAATATAATAAACATAGGTAGATAACTAATTACAATAATTGCCATATCATAAATTTAAGTAAATCAAACGTTTAAAATGCAGAAACAATTAAAGATTTACGCATGACGTGAAGAAAAAAAATAATAATACAAGATCCAACAAATGGCTCTCCTTACCCACTTTTTTTTTGTTTTATTAATGAAAAACCAATAACTACATATAAAATGCTTCTAATCATTTGATAGATGTGAGAAAACACGAGAAGAATTAATCAATATTTTAATCACTAAAATTCGCTTTCATCATAGATAATATTCTTTAAATTCTGCAACGTATAAGATTAGTGTCAACTGATAATTAGTTTTATGGAAATAATTTAGTTTAGAAAAAATGTATGAAAATGAAATTTTTTCATTTTAGATTCTCTATTTTTAACGTTCCTTTTCGATTTTTAATACCTCAGGACTTTGAAAGATTTCATAAATTAATCAAGAGACAATCATTTTAAATTAGACAATTTTAAGATATAAGGCAAAACGGTAAGCTACAATTGTTTTCGATTTAAAAAATTTGAGAGACAAAAGCTTTTGCACAAATTGACAATAATCATTTATTTTTATTTCATTATATTTTCAAACTAAAAATTTACTAAATATGTATGAATATTTTGATGAAAACAAAACCAAGGAACAATATTACATAAACATCCGACTATTGACTATAAGGGAAGAGTTATGATTAAAAATATTGTTAGGTATAAAATTTTCTAAACAAAATTATCTTCTTTAATAAAACAATTTACACAATTGAAAACTCGTACTAACTATATATAATCCGCCAGTGTAATAATCATTTCATTCAAGAATATTAAACCCGTCTTCCGAAATCAAAACCTATGGTTTTTTATTGCGGGCTAGGTGTTTTCTAGCATATATTTATCTCCAGGGGATATAGCAGTAGGAAATAGATAAGAAAAGAAAGAGATAACTGCGCTTAAATAACATTTTATTAAATATTTATTTCAAACAGAAATAAAAAGCGGGGAGATTCGAGCTTTCGTGTCCTTATCTGGAACACATCGTCAGGAATGATATTGTCAGAGATGTTGATGTTGAATAATGCTGTTGAAGTAAATTACTGATGTTTCGTGACGCGATGGTAAAGTTGAAATATGATGATTTGTATGTAAATTATATATTGTCGTTGTTGTTAGATTAAACTCAAAAAAGATAAATTGAAAAAGAAGAAAACAAAGAAGACGAATATTAAACAAATAAATAAATAAGGACAAATATAAATGTATAAGTATATACGTATAAAGACGAGAACTTATAGTGACTTTTCTGATTAATGCGAAGGGTGTTGCCCTCGGTTCTAAGGCGCAACATCTCTCACAATATTAACCAGAATAAGTCTAGAGTATTTTAACCTCAGAAGTTGCAGAAGAAAGATAAATGCAGTGCGAGGAGTGTCGACCTTGATTTAAGGCAGAACATCTCTCACAACATCGATAATAGTAATTTTAGAAATGTGACATAGGCAATATAGATAGAAGTGGACGTTAATGTTATTTAATAGATTAATGATAAATTTTGTTATAAAACATTATATAAGTCGAGAGGTTTCTTATAGAAAAGACAGTGATTGATAGGGTGGGTGTGAGTGTGGGTCTGGGTAAAGATTTAGAGAAGACACGCATCCCCTCGCCCACACTCAGACCCACACCCCACACGCACCTACACCAACACCCACACCCCACCCATACCCTGATTATCGAAAGTATCCTCCAAATGGGAAAGGAGCCATCACGAGAAGGTATTCGCACTCTTGCCGCATTCTTTCGTGCCTGTTTCCGCGGTAATGATATTCAGACGAAGACAGTTAATGATTTCGAACAAGAATATAGTAAGAAAAATCATTTACGACATATTATTTTGCTATCAATCAATTTTCATGCATCTAGGCGCTGAATTCGCTCTCTGGTGGTATAGCAAAGAAAATTTCTTTTTTTCGTCAGTCAACAAGGCACTACGGACGTTTGATAGAGATACTATTATTACCTTCCGTGTATTCAGTCGCGATATTGGTGAATTGTTGCATCAAGACTTTCTTCTTCAACGAGATCAAGGAAAATTGTGGGAAAATGGTGAAGATATCTTTGTTTATCGAGGACAAACCATTTCTCCTGATGTTCTCAATTGGATTAGTGGCAATGAAGACGAACTAGTATCATTCACGAATTTCGTATCGACAAGTCGAAAACGTGAAGTAGGCACGTTTTTCGCGGAAAGTACACAAGCGATTAGTCAAGGTCTTGAGCCTGCTCTCTTTGAAATGCGTCTTTCGACAAGACAGCCGATAAAACCATTTGCCGATGTGTCCATGTATAGTCAATTCTCTAATGAAGACGAGATTCTTTTCATGATCGGAATTATCTTTCGAATCGATAAAGTAATCAAAAGAGAAAAACCTGAAATGCCATATACCCTCGTTCGTTTGTCACTTATCGGAAACGCTGATTATGACATGCGCGAAGTTGTTGATCATTTAAAAGCGACCCGAATTAATGCTACTTACAACAATCAGTTAGCAAATTTTGCCTCAATTCTTGAAGAAATGAGCGAATATGGTAAAGCGGAATGCTACTATCCAAAATTAATGAATCAAATATCGAATGATAAATCTGTTCATGCTGCATGTCTTGACGGACACGGAACAATCGCCTTACGTAACGGAAAATATGCTGACGCTATAATGTATGAAACAGAAGCAGTTGAGATTTATGAGAATCATGAACCAAGAGATTTACTTCATCTTGCTAAAAAATACAATAATCTTGGAATGGCATACGGGGCGAGCGGTAATCCAAGTACGGCACGTTTCCATTTTCAACGTTCAAACGAACTCAAATATAGTCTATTTCACAATGATCGACATATAGATATGGCTGATACATTCGACAATTTTGGTAATTGTTATGAAATAGAAAATGATTTCGATCAAGCAGAAGAAAATTTCCATCGAGCATTGGCTATTCGAATCGGTAATAATATGCCTCGTCGTCATCCAGATTTTGTTAAGAATTACATGAGTTTAGGAAATGTATACGGAAACAAGAAGATGTTTGAGCAGGTCGTTCTCTATCATCAAAAAGCGCTCGATTTAGCCCGTGATGTTTTACCATTTGATCATCCGCTGCTAGGGGTTTGCTACAACAATTTACGCGAAAATTATGCATCTATGTGCAATGACGATAAAGCCAAAGACTATTTTGATAAGGCCTTAAAGGTGTACCGATGTACCTACGATACTGATCATCCAGAAATCAAATGCACACAGGATAATATTACTAAAATAGTCAATGCATTATCCGACTATTATTGTTCACCAAGTGCAATATCAGTAATCATTAGTATAATCATCAGTGTGATACTACCACTGTATACATATATGCTGTGTGAGTAGCGTCGCTCTATTTTGGAAATAATCGTATTCTGCTTACTTTGAACATAACAAAAAACCGCTGACAGAAATTTATTAAACGAGATGATGTTTGTAGTCATGTAAACAAGAGAAAAGACATAGTTAAAATACATAATTATTTTTCACTGTGTTTTGATGATACAAAACAAGGTTATCTGCCCTGAAAAAACGATACATTGATGATGATGATAGTTTTTATTGTCGTCATTCCTAAGTGTAATAGCATCAAAAAAAAGAAATCAGAAATAATCTTGTTAAAGTTCTTTTATGTTTTGTATGTAACAACACCAGAGATGTGCAGTACCAAGATTTTTACTCCTGGTCCCAGTCTTTGTCAGCGTAGGGACGATTGATTGAGATATTATTCGAATTGAATATTTTTCAAATCATCTTGCCTGCATTGATTCGGTCTATAGAGTTAATTTTTTTGGACATCTCCCTTGAATTTTCCTTTGATTCATGTGATTTATAGTAATTATATGTTTGCTTAAAAAAAACCACAGATGATTTCACTGTGATTCTGACAATGGAGCCGTTTGTATTGGTACGCGAAAGATTGATCATGTTCGGGTCAAAGTATCATTCTCACTGCCAAATTAACAAATTTAAAATATTACTTCCCCATATCGATCGTTGACCGAGATATTCACTGCTTTGGTATGGGAGCATCATTATATGAAAACTATTCATATTCAATTTTTTATACAAGCATTGGGTTTTTGAAAGGGAGAGTTTTTTAATCGCGTTGAAATTTGTCAACCACATTATAATCACACTAGATACAGCTTCTTCTGAAAGTTTACTAACACCATAGTAAGGAAAAATGCGCACATTTTGTTTGAGAAATGACTTGTACATTGGATATGTAAAGAGAGTGTGGGTATCGATGTGGGAGTGTGGATGAGGGTGTGGAGTGGCGGTGTGCATGTGGGTGGTGTGGGTGCGGATGTGGGAGGTATGGGTATGGTTGCGGGTGTGATTGCGAAGAAGTGACGAGGCTTACACCTACACCCACACCGTTTTGATCATCCAAAAAAATCACTCGACATTTAGTTCACTTGACATTGCACACAACATAGTCAATTATGCTGAATACATTGCTTCTTTGAAATGGCACAACGGGTCAGATAGCTATGCTTATTAATCAATACAGAAGGTGAACGTGTGAATAACATCCAAGAAAATGAAGCAAATAAAAAAAATAATCATAGCTGAATGTCCTTTTACATATAGATAAAGGGCTAAATTTTTATATTTCAGTTAGAAGTAAAAGTTTCGAAGGATGCTTTTGAAGTTTATTCGTATAAATAAAAACTCGGTACATTCATCTATGATTTAAAAAGAACAGTTAATAGAATTAAATCGAATAGTAAAGATATACGAAAAAACTTTTAGGAAAGGATTTTTGGGACACTCTGTATATATGATCGCTTTTATGTTGCGCAATGACATGCCTATTTAACGTTAGATTTTATAGTTTATTTTTTTCAACACTTAAAACTAAGTCAAAATAAAAATTTGATGTAATATAGTACTTTTTGTTTTGATTATTTTTTCAATTCATATGAAACATTTTTTTATATACAGTGTGCGTCATAAGTCTCGCCCCACTTTTGTATTTTGAGTCGTCCATTTGAACTAAACAACGTTGATTTAATTTGATTATATATTCTTGTAGCGGAGATCGAGCACTATCTGTATACACCTGTTCCATACGGAAAACTCTCGGAATATAAAATAAAATAGGCAAAGCAATCTTCAGTCCTACGAAAAAAATGACACAAAAAAAGACAAAGTGATATTGTTGTCACATGCACAGTCAACTACAAAATAAACGAAGTATTGAGAAAAGTTCTTCATTTATCATACTTTGTAGAGCTTTTTGTGCTGATTATTTTCATAAAAAAATATTTTAAATTTCATGCAGAAGTGACAGTTTTATAATCAAAATATTAAACACTATGGTCCGAAACGTTAGTAGCATAAGTTGTTTTGCATATATCCCTGCACAAACAAATAATAAAGCTTTGGTTTTTTTATCAAAAGATGCGTCGTGACAAGTACTATAAAAATTGTAGAAACCAATTTCCATTCATTCGTACTGATAATTTCTTTCGCATTCGAAATGAAAAAAGTACATAAGAGTGCTACTTTTCACCTAATAAAAATGGTTGAAAGACTTTCATATATTTTGCATATATCTCGATTCGAGATAACGATAGCACCTTGATTTTTCCTTCAGAAGATGCAGCGTCAAAAGCTCGACAAAAACAGCGTAAACAAATTTCTATTGCATAGAAAAGTCTTCTAAACATTTTTTATTATTACTTTGTCTTTTTTTGTATGATTTTTTTCGTAGGACTGAAGATTGCTTTGCCTATTTTATTTTATATTCCGAGAGTTTTCCGTATGGAACAGGTGTATACAGATAGTGCTCGATCTCCGCTACAAGAATATATAATCAAATTAAATCAACGTTGTTTAGTTCAAATGGACAACTCAAAATACAAAAGTGGGGCGAGACTTATGATGCCCACTGTATAGTTGTCTAATGTCTGTGTGTTTGTGCGAATGAATAACATTGGTTGAAAATGTGACCATTCAAAAGTGACAAACCACCTGTATATCTTTCTCTGTTGTTCTGTTTTTCTTTGTGTGTTAGTTGATATATTTGTTTTGTTGTGCAATGGATAAAACATTGAAATTTATTGCTTTTATTTTGTGGATAATTCGTAGTTTTTTATCAATATGGATTCGTCTTGGTTTTCGTTTAATATATGGAAATCAAAAATTTAAATTACCACCTATAACAAATCAAATATTACTTCAACCAGCAACTGTTATTGCTAAGCGTATTCGACAGCGACAAGTAATTGAATAAAAAACAAATAAATAAAAATAAAATTAATTTCATTTATTAGGTAACAGTTTATGAAGTTGTTCGAGCTTATGTTGATCGAATAAAAGTTATACAACCTTATTTAAATGTTTATGTTGATGAAAGATTTGAACAAGCATTAAATGAAGCACGAGAAATAGATGAAATATTAGACAATGGAAAGCCATTATCTGATCAATGGAGCGAAGAACAAGCTCCATTTCTTGGTGTTCCATTTGCTATTAAAGAATCAATGCAATTTCCTGGTTTTCATAATTCAACTGGAATTGTTGCAAGAAAAAATTTTATATCAACTGAAACAGCAAAATCAGTAGAAAATATGTTAAAATCAGGCGCTATTCTTTTGTGTAATACCAATGTTAGTGAAGGTTGTATGTGGTTTGAATCGTAAGTTTATTTACAAAAACACTCAAAAGAAACTCAATTTTTCAAAATTGTTCTAGACGAAATTCTCTTTATGGTACAACAAATAATCCATATGATTTAACAAGAATTGTTGGAGGTAGTTCAGGTGGTGCTGGTTGTATTGTTTCGGCAGCTGGTGTACCATTTGCTGTTGGTGCAGATGTTGGTGGAAGTATTCGATTACCGTCATTTATGAATGGAATATTTGGACATAAAACATCACCTGGTATAGAAAAACAACATTATTATTTTAATTAAAAAATAATAATAATTTCATTTTTTTTTTGAATAGATATTGTTCCTAATGATGGTCAATATCCTCCACATAAAGATCATCATCAAAAATATCTATTGGCAACAGGACCAATGTGTCGTTATACATGTGATTTACAACCAATGCTTAGAGTATTGGCAGGTTCAGAAAATATCCACAAATTAATTGATATTGATACTCCGGTAAGATCGAGCAACCAACATATCAAAATCACCACTATGCACACTGTGCAATGTAGTGACTACTATTATATTGATTTGCCACCATCAATATGACTATTTTAGAGTTTGAGATAGCGAATAATGTGTAGTAAGATCTATTATACTATTAAAATGAATGTACTAAACCTAAATAGGATATTTGAGTTTCATTAAGGAGTAGATCGATAATTTTTTTCCTTCTGTTTTTCTATTAAAGGTTGATTTAAGTAAATTACGTTATTTTTATATTGATGAAATGGATGCTTATTTTGTTAATAAAATTGATGAAGAACAAAAATTAGCCCATCGTCAAGTAAGTTATATAAAAATAAAAATAAATATAATTATAATTATAATGAATAGGTAGTCGAACATTTTGAAAACAAATATAAAATTCATATACCACGTTTACGATTAAATCGTCTTCGTTATGCTGTATCACTTTGGTCAGCAATGATGGTTGATGGTGAATTATCATCACGTGATTTTTCATTAACACTTTGTAATAATACAGCATATATAAATGGTTATCATGAATTATTAAAAAAAATTTTATTTCGTTCAACACATACATTACCAGCTATAGGTCTTCTTATATTAGAAGCATTACCAAATAAATATAATAGACGTTTTCATAGTTTAGCACATAAATTTTTTGATGAAATTCAAGTATTATTAGGTGATGATGGAGTTTTATTATTTCCAACATTCCCTCAATCAGCACCAGTTCATGGTTGGCCTTTAATTATGAATACATTCGATTATATTTATTGTGGTATTATTAATGCATTAGGTTTACCATCGACACAATGTCCATTAGGATTAGATAGTCAACATTTACCATTAGGTATACAATGTATTGCTGGTCGAGGTCATGATAAATTAACTTTAGCTGTTGCACAAGAAATTGAACAAGCTATGGGAGGATGGGTACAACCGAGCCGAATGAAATGTGATTAAATTAGTATGATATTTCATTGTGATATTTATTTCTTTATATTCTACAATTAATTTTTTTTTATTCATTCTCTGATCTTATGATGAGCAATGATGCATAAAATAATTTTATTTTTGTGATTTTGAAATACACTTTTTTTTCTTTCTTTAAATGTATTTCAGCATGACGGTGATTTATCATAGAATGAAAAATAAATTTTTATTCAAAAATTTTATTAAGAAAAAAGGAAGAATTTTTTTAATAAATTTGAGAAAATACATTGTTTTATCGTTGCCATTCGTGATAGAATTTGTTTGATACGAAAATATGCTTGCGAATATGTCGAATACTGTTGTTCAGTCGTTCTAGACTATAATATTGATAGTTATTGTGTTCGAATCCAGACTAAAGAACACCGAAACTGATGACAATATTTAGACCGTGTTTATGAACCGTACATGCGTCATGATTCTTTTCCTAATTCTATCTGATTCGGTGAAATTTAAATTTTAATAATTTATCGGCAGTGATGAAAAATATTTAACCTTGGAGATATGATTATCTTATGATTCTACACCCGTGTTTCTGAGCCGATATATTTATCGCTTCTCCTTCTTCTTATATTTCATTTATCGGACGAACACAAAAAAAGTGACAAATCACTACAATGTTATTTTTCGAAATAATATAAATGATATAAAATTATAACATTCTGTTATACAGTTTTAAGAGATGCTCCCTCCTCCCACCGATATCCCGATCGAAAATTTTTAGGTTTTTCATTTGTTTTTTCATACTCTATATTCGCGTTAAATTATACTTTATCTACCGAACATATTTCAAAAATCAATGAATAACTATAAAAGCTGAAAATAGATAGAAGATTTTTGCAGAAAAAACATCAAAATTTACACATAATTTCACTATGTTCTGAAAAATGACTTTTTTAACAAAAACAAATTTGACAGTGACATCTGTTTCTCAAGCACAATACATTTGACCCAGCTAAAACTATTTTCTAATTATAGGAGACAATGTTTAGAGTGTCTGACTTCTTCATTTCTTTCACAATATATTGTACTACTGATTTTTGTCAGGGTTTAAAGGGAAAAAAGAACGTCAGTTAAAAAATCACAAGAAAAGATGTACTTTTTAGAATACTCTGAAAATATTTGTATTTTTATTCGAATGCAAAGAGATAGCAATAAGGGAGAATGTGGTATTTTTAGTCGATACAACTTCAATATCTCCTGTAAGAAAACATCCAAGAATTTTGAGTCTATAAAAACTTTTGCTAGACTCATTGAGGTCTATCTGTTCGGTAACTTTCAATATATTCCAATGAGCTGTTCTCAGCAGTTTTCGAAATTTATTTCTTCTGGAACTATTGTTATTTTACTGCCAATCCTATTCTATATGTCGTCATGAAACGAAAGACATTATGTTGAAAGCAGGTACCTAGCACATGAGAATGTTAAAATAAATCTTTCGCAATCAGTGAACAAGATATTTTGGCATTAAAAATGAAAACACTCTTATATTAATCTGATTGGAGAAAAATCTCGTTTATCTATCACGTTCTTGTTGTTCACTACATTTTATTAGTTTTTCAAGTCTCTTAGAAATTTTATCGATCATTTTTTGACAATCATTAAAAGTTATTTTTTCATGTTTTTTTTAATTTTCCTTTTATTTCTTTAAAGCTCGCAAATTCAGTTTTGCCTTCTTCATGTAAAATTCGACTATTAAAATCATTCATCGATAGTTCAAAATATAATCTTTCTTCTTTCTATTTTGTTCTGTGCATAATGTTGTCATATATAGGGTATCTCAAAATTATAAGACACCATTGAGTTTTGAGAACAATAAAGGTTTCTTTAACTAAATAAGGTTTCATTCCCAATCTAGTCTCATATTGACTTGAATTGCATCTATTACCATTAACGAATAAATTCAAAAACTTTTCCGTCTCTCCTGTCTCATAATTATAAGACAGCCCCCCCTGCCCCGCCCCTCCCGCTTTCTAAATATAAAAATATTGAATGAATGTTAACTTTACCAACTCAAATGATTCTTGTGATGATCGATTCGAAAGAGGAGATACTCAGCTATATGCTGAAAAAGAAATAGATTGGTGAAGACTAATTTAATTTTCCTACTGTTTAAAAAATTAAATGATAGAAAAGTTAAATCTCGAAACTATAACTATGTCGTTCGAGAAAAATAAATTTTCGCTTCTTCGATGTAACAAAGTTAAATTAAAAGTATACTATTGGATAGAGAATTAAAAGTTGAATAGACACTACATATGCTTTGACAAAAGACTTTCAAGTTCTTAGTAATTGTGAAAACATATTCAAAATATCTTTTTTTCTAGAGATTATGTGAAAAAAAGTCTGTTTTCGTGAGAAAAGCCTCTGATTTCATATTAAAAATGGGCATAATTCTTTTGTCAAGGACAGCAATAAAAAGAGGGTCAGATTCTGCATAAGATACGCTATTTTTGCGTTTTCGTAAATTAGTTCAAAAAAATTTGAAAACGCCATCTCACGAAGTAGACAAAGCGATGCCTCATTCTGTTGGGGAAAAAGATATGTTGACGACATTCAAAAAGACATCTTTTCAAGTCTTTTGAAATTAACTTCTGACAAGGCAAAAAATAGCGTATCTTATGCAGAATTTGACGCTCTTTCTATTGATGTCCTTGACAAAAGAATTATACCCATTTTTAATATGAAATTAGAGNACGCTCTTGAATAAACGTTTTTGAGCGTATTGGGAGCGATCTTGATCAATTTAGACCGGATCTACCACAAAATACCGGTAAGGACCGGTTGACTACAAAAACTCGTCGATGAAAAACTCAGACTAACAGCGGGGGCCGGGTTACCAGTAGAACCAGTCGGGTCCAAAATTTTCAAAGCGGAACCAGACCCGGACCCGATTGATTAAATTTTTTCGAAGCCGGGCAGGGACATAGCTGATGAAAAATTTTTGGAGTCGTTTCTAGTTTATACTGATGAAACTTTTTCAACGCCGGAATCAAACTGCATTCCCAACATTTCCAATGAAAAATGAATGAGAACCAAAAATATCCAAAACATTTTATTCTTTCTATAAAATTACTTTTTTGAACCCTACCCGAAGCCGATCGGGTCCGGGTTCGGGTCCGGATTCGGGTCCTAGCCGATGGGCTCTGATCGCCGATAGCCATTCAAACTATACTCGCTATAGTACAAGTTGAGGTGCCTGACGTACCCCCATATAGTAGGATTTGAGATACCTGAGGTATCCCCTTATACTAGGACTAGAGGTACCTGAGGTATTCCCCCAAAGTAGCACCTGATTGTTCTTATGGTACGTCGTTGGCAAACATATGAACAAACCGGCACATATACTGAAACATGGAATAATTCGACATGGCNGCTGCTTTTAAGCTTGTTCCAATCGTATGTGATGCGTTGACATTTGTTGTTTTTGGGTGCCCGTAAGCTGATGCAGATTTTTACACTTACTATTCGGTGATCGGAGTTTAATTCGACATGGCGCTTCGAATACTCTTCAGCAACATCAACAGGACAAGGTGGCGTCGGATTACTCATGAATCCTCAATTCTCTGCACTACATGATTCGACGGAAAAAATATCAGACCGCGTCTTAATGGTACATTTCAAAATCAATCCTGCAATAACAATCATCGTCGCATACGCACCCACAGAGGACAAATGCGACACTGACAAAAAAATATTTTACGATGAACTACAAAAATGTACGCTAGATGTCCCACCACACAACGTTCTAAGTCTCGCCGGTGGCCTAAACGCAAGACTTGGATCGGATAGCCACTCTACCAATCCACGAGCGATCGGCAAATACACTTACCATGCCACAACTGATGATAATGGTAATCGACTGGTCAACTACTGTGAAACCTGCAACATGAGATCAACTCAAACGCGGTTACCTCAACCGAAGTCACGATCATGGACCTGGCTACATTCAAATTGTCAATCGAAAGCTCAACTGGACCACATCCTTATTAATGGAAAATGGCTAAACTCAATTCGTAATGTTCGTGTACACAACACGGTCGAATTAAACTCCGATCACCGAATAGTAAGTGTAAAAATCTGCATCAGCTTACGGGCACCCAAAAACAACAAATGTCAACGCATCACATACGATTGGAACAAGCTTAAAAGCAGCTACAGCCTACAATTACAATTCAACATAGAAGTTCAAAATCGCTACGACATTCTCAGTGCAAACAACCCCGACAACAACATACAAACAAAATACGACAACATCATAGAAAGCATACAACACACAACAGAAAACCTAATCGGACAAACCAAATGAACAAGCAAAAATAACTGGGTTTCAGACGAAACCATTAAACTTTTAAAACAAATAAATGAAGCCAAAAACATATTTAAACAAAAACTAAACGCGCATAACAAAGACCACTGGTACCAACTCAACAAACACCTCAATATTTCTTACCAAAACGACAACATCAAATTTCTGGAAGATAAACTTGAACAATTGAACCAAGCAGCAATCTCAAACCAATCAAGAACCACATGAACTCTAATAGATCAAATCAGTGGCAAACGTAGGTACAACAGCACAACTAAGATCAGAAGCACAAATGGCACTAAAATCAAGTCAACAACAGAACTCATGAACGAATGGAAACGACACTTCGAAGACTTACTCAACGTCAAACCAAACGCATCTCAAACCGCTCATATAATACCACCAGCTGACCAAGATCTACCAATTAACATAGGTTCAATTACAATCAACGTAGTGCAACAAGCAATTAAACAATTAAAAAATGGAAAATCTTCTTGACTCGATCATATAATAACACCGATAGTACTCAAGCATGGCAGCAATTGGATCACCAATAAGCTATGTAACATATGCAACGAAATATTCGAAAATCAAGCAACACCAACATCATCATCCCCATGCCGAAAAAAGGGGATAAAACCCTCATGACGAACTACAGAGGCATAAGCCTCATGTCAGTTGCAGCCAAAGCATACAGCAGAATTCTGTTAAACAGAATCCGGGAACCACTTGATTCAATTCTTCGAATAAATCAAGCTGGATTCCGAAAAGGAAGAAGCTGTGCTGATCAAATACACATAATACGGAGATTATTGGAAGGTGCAACCGACAAACAACTACCAATCTACATTACTTTCATCGACTTTAGAAAAGCTTTTGACTACATTGACAGAAAAACAATGTTCGATATTCTCAGACACTATGGAATACGAACAAAAATGGTCAACGCAATACAAATTATATACAATAACTCTCGAAGTGCAATGCTGGTGGATGGCCAAATCTCACAAGAATTCGACGTTACAACTGGTGGTTTACAAGGTGATACATTAGCACCTTTTCTCTTCATAATTGTAATAGATTGCGTCATGAAAAATGCAGAATCAGATCACACAAATGAACAAGGTGAACATGGATTTATAACAAATTTACGACAGTCACAAAGACGACCAACAACTACAATCCATGATCTAGACTTCGCCGACGACATAGCTCTACTCGAAAGCAACTTTGATAGAGCACAAATGCAATTGATCACAACGGTGAAATGGGCTGATAAAGTAGGCCTACAGGTAAACATCAAAAAGACACAAATACTGACAAACCAAAATACAACGAACAAATCGATACAATTAAATGGGGAAGACATCCAATGGGTCAACAACTTCAAGTACCTCGGCTCAATGATGCTATCAGGCACCACGGATATCAAGGTAAGAAAAGGACTCGCTTGGAAAATTTCTGGAAAATGAAAAATATCTGGAAATCGACAATAATACCTACGAAGCTCAAAATCAACATTTTTAAAGCCTCATGTATTTCGATCTTACTATATGGCTCTGAAAGTTGAACCATTACAAAAGCCCTCGAAAAATCCTTAAATAGCTTTGCCACCAGCTGCTATCGAATAATACTCAACATCAAACGCTTGGACAAAATATCAAACAACACAATCTATAAAAAGGTGAATCAAGAACCTCTGGTACAAACTATACAACGTCGACACCTGCGCTTCATTGGACATTGCCTCCGCCGAAATCCAACCGAATTTACCAACATGTATACTCTGTACACTCCGAAACCTGGCCATGGAAAACGTAAGCGTGGTCGACTCGCTTAAACTACGTTGATTACGTTGCAAGACTGATCAACAACGATGAACCACCAACAGTCGACGAGATCAGAAAGGCTGCTGCAGATAGGAAACGCTGGTACGATATTGTTATCGCCTGTAAACCGCGCCTGTTTGCAGCCGAATGATGATGATGATGATGATGTTCTTATGGTTTATATTAGGAGGTACGAGTCTGGTGGTTCATGAACTGAGTTGAGGCGTTGAACAGTTCAGTTCTGTTCACGAGACTAAACTGAACTGCTGGGATAGTTGGGGTGAACGAAACTGAACTATTCGAACAGTTAAGTTCAGCTCAAAAGAACTGTTCCAGCAGTTATTTTGATACGAGCTGATCGATTCCAATCACTAAATAAATCATTTGAATCTGTTCGTGAGCTGGAACTATCGTAGGTCTACTGGTTACTTGTAAATATGAGCACATAAGTATTATATCATTAACCCTCTCTCTTGATTTCTTAAAGTCAATATTAAGTTTGGTCCAATTAATCAATGTTGCTTTCGGAGGGTTTCTGATAGTATTTATTCTTGATCCTGGTCGATTCAGGTGAATTCCGGCGGCTCCTGGTAGATTCTGTCGTCTCCCAGCAGCTTCTACCTGCTCCTGGCAGATTCTGCCGGCTTCTATGGATTCTAGGATCCATAAGGAGCCGCTTTTCCCCCCTTGTATCATGCACTTCCAAAATTACCATTTTATTAAGACACACTATAGAATGACTCCATAAAAAAAGAATAAATTTTCTGGAAAATCGTTTCTTTCTTCTCTTATGTCGGTAATCAAAGGGTTAAGTCTATGCTCGATTTTTTCTGTTTTATCTCATTTAAGCATCATCGTTCTTATAATGGCTATCGATCAATTAAATATATTACCTAGCTATAAAAGTTGAACTTGAGTGTAATATTACTGGTTTCTCTTTTTTTTTGTTTCATTGATTATACTTGCAACTATTTCGGATCAATCTGAACGATTGAACAACAATAAAACTATGAAATTGATCGATGAAAATGCCCTGCGATTCAAATATTCGTCACATCATTTATTCAATAGACATAAGCGAAAGATTAATTTCAATTCTCCTAGTTATATATTGTCACATAAACGTGAAGTTGAATGTGTGACATCACAACTTTCTTGAAAATCATAAATTTTTTAAAGATATCAATATAAAATAAAACAATGATCTGTACATTCTTTGTTTTTTATTAACTATTATAAGAATAAATTCTTTCTATAGAGAAGCAAACTACATATGAATGTAAAGAATACCTATCGGATAATAGTTATAGACAATTACATCATCATTTTAATGATTATGGGCAAAATCATGAGGCAATGTGACGACCATTTTCTTTAAAAAAAAAGCATAATTGTGAAATGTAATCTCATGCACTGAAAACATCTCGTGTTTCTTTAGAAAATAAGAAGATAATTATTTCTTCACAAACAATGCATTACTGTTTGAATAGAAAGATAAAGTACGAGTAGTGCTTAAGTTTGGTTTTCTTATTTTGTATTGCTGTGCTCGAAGGTTTCTTTTTTTTTTCTTTTTAAAATAAAAAGCTTTGAAAAAAATATTCATCAGTACTAATAGTAATATTAAAAGATGGTCGATAGAATCATTCGTTCCTTGTTCAATTAATCAGTCAACATTTATTTATATAACTAATGTAAATAATTTCGAGACTAAAGTCGTTTGATACCGTTCAATTCAATACTTTTGAGCATACTTGATTATTTTGAAATCAATTAATTGAATTTAAAATTGGATTGTACTAACAATAAGAGGAAAATAGACTTATTGTCATAGTCATGTAGATATGCTTGGTATTTTTTGATTGAATTCAAATTTCATCTACTTATAGTTGAAATTTTTATGCAAATGAATTCATGCATATATATATATACATACATTTTCAGTACCGCTCTAATGTCCTCATTGAAATATACCAAGCATGTTTTTTGAAATATACTTCTTTTTTATGTACCGTCTTTGATCTCATTTGACTACCTGTTATAAAAACAATGTCTATCATTAATGTTTACATGGTTGAAAATTGTATATTAGATTTTAATAAGAACTTACCATCTAAAAATAATAGGAAATATCGTATTATTTGACTTCAATTGACTTGCCATTTGTATAGCTTGTGACTTGCTTATGATCAATGTTGGACTTTATGTATATACATAAGTAGGTGCAAATCTATACACTATAATAATAACAATGCGAATATGTGTTTATTGGTAGAAGAACTATAAATTTTTTTCTCATGCACTTATTCGCTACAAATGAGGATTATGTTCAGTATGTTGAACAATGTTTAATCTGTTCGTAACCTTGAATGTGTTGTGAATAAGAATGAGAACTGAATTGAACACATTGATAGAATAGTTCGATTGTGTCTCTATTTTGTTCAGTCTCAATAAAATTCTTCTACAAAATATCGGACTAAATTTTATAGAAATCTCTTTTTTTATCTAGTCTATTGCGTAGAAAATCAAGCAAATATTTACAGTGAATGAAAATATTAATGCTTTATATTATGAAAAAAAAACTTTCAATCAATATTCAAAAACGACTTTTCAGGTTGAATTGAAAAAAACGTTTTTTACAAACATCAAAGTTCTATACCGACGAATACAAACAACAGAGAAAAAAAATATCAATAGATAAATATTTTTATTGATTAATGTTCTTTGCCATTAAACATCAATATCATTAATTTGATGATGATTTTTAGTAATTATTGATCGAAATGAACTCCATGTTTTAGTATTTATATCATTTGAAATAATTTGATAATTTTTTTCATGATAACCTTTATCTAATAAAATAGGTGGCTCAGTTATATAACGTTGCAGCATATGGAGTATAATCATTTCCGTATAAATAAATGATTTTAAAAATACTGATACAGCAATTAACGTAATATTTATCGATAAAAAATAACTATTCGATGATGAAGATGTTGAACATGGAGATCCGATTTGTCCAATAAGTGCAAGAAAACTAATAATAATAACCGTACTTGCAAATAAAGTTGAACAAATATGAATGATAAATGCTATAAAACAATAAATAGAATTCTGTTTCCAAATAAGTAACCAAATACTAATTGGTGCAGCTAATAAAAATGGTACTGACCAAAAACCAACACCAATACGAAATGCACATGTTTCAGTAACTGTTAATGTTATCTGTAAGCCTAATATGGCAAATACACAAGCCAATTGAATAAGTGAACATGAAAAATGAATAAGTATATAAAAAATCGATCGAAATCGATTCCTGATCGATATGTTATCCATTTATCAATGAAATTTATTATAAAAAAAATTGTTCAACTTATCATCGTAAGTCGCCCATTATTGAAAGGTCATCATCACGACAACGGCAACAAAATAGTTTTCACTTTTTTTTTTCTTTTTCTCTTTTTTCTTTACTTTTTTTTGGCTCATATAGAGCACGGCATGAGACATAAAGAGAACAGAACTTACTAAGAATTTGGCGCTACTATCATGACAAAAAAAAAACATATAGAACGAGTAAGAAAAGAAAGAAAAGTAAACCACTTCAGTTTTATGCTCACAGCACTGTTCATGCAATAGATTGTTTAAAAAAAAAGAAATGTAAAATTTCATTGAATTATAATCAATGACGATGACTTGTTCTCTATAACACTTCAATTATTTTGCATATCGAATCAATTTTCTGTATCACATTGATACAATAAGATGTTCAAATATTTGTTTTGTTTTTTCTATTCATACTTTTATTAGTTACACATGTAAAATAGGCTATAGAAAAAAAACATCGAAATATAATAAAACAAAAAAAAAAAAACTGATATAATCGACGTGATTTTTATCTATGTTGACAAATCATTATAATCTTCAATTAAATAATCATCTGTTGGAAGACATTTCCCCATTTTAATTGAATCTAAAGAAAATATAAACAAGAAAATTATTTAATGAAGAAAAAAACTGAATAAACCTATGACCCATTGTTCATTAACTTGTGGATGAATAATTATCTGAAGTATTTTTGATGATTGTCCAACAATCATTTTTGCACGATCACGACTAATTGTAATCTTTAGAAAAAAGAAAAGAAAAATTGAAATTTTTTTTGGAAAAATAATTCTTAAAGATTTACATTTCCACCTAACAATGTAATTAATTTAAGTAATAAATGTCGTTGTTGAACAAGAGATGTTAAATAAATTAAACCACATTGACTAAATAATTCAATTGATTTTCTTTGTTGACGAGATTTACGATAAATATTTAATGATGGATTTGAATTGAAGAATTTTTTTGGTTCAAATTTATTGAAATATAACCATTCACCAATATGTGATGAAGATTTTAGCCATTCGAATGTTACTATACGACTACAAATTAAATTATTTAGATTATCTACAATTTTTATTATATTGTTTCAATTCAAAATAATAGATAACACTTTCAAGATTAAACGTACTACTCGGAATAAGCAGATGCTTACAAAAATTTGACAAGGCTCTTATATCGTAGTGGAATGAATAGCTTTCTTTCTTCAGTTTCCATGTCTACTATGTCATATAGATCGACTCAAATGAAATAATTTAATTAAGAATAAAATCAATCTCGTCATATATGAATATTTATGTATGTGTTAATGTCCAATCTAGAACTGGTCTGAACGAATCTCGAATCCGAGATTGAAGGCGTCTAATACTCTATTGAAAAGTAAATTTGAGTTAAAGCTCGAACTAGTCTATAGGTCAATGTTGGGTTTCGAGTCTTATCAATGAAATGAAAGGGTGGAACTGCATTTCAATTAATACGATCATCAATGAACGAATTAAGTAAAGATTCTAGCGATTATAGATCTGTTTCTATTGAAGCAGTTTTTGTGAATGAAGTCATCCACAGTTTCACGGGTTCGCGTAATTAATCAACTGTTGATTGTAAGCATTGAAAGATCATTATTTCTTTTCAGTTCATCAGTAAGAATCCAAATCTGACACCAATCTGCAAACTAGTTTGAGTTTTAACATCAGTTTATCCCTCAATCTAATATTGAACGCATTCAATCTTACATCTGAGATTCATCTAGGCCAATCTAAAATTGGAACCGATCGAGAATATTTGAACTGGTTCGGCTTGACCAGCTCAAAAAATCTCTTCGATCGGTAAAAACTGGCTGGTTTGTTGAAGTATCTATTAATCAATTAATAGGAATAGCATCAAAAAACATTTATTTTTCTTTTTGCACTGAGGTTTTTACAAATCTCCAAAGAGAAATATCATGTTATTATCGTTTATATCTGTTAGGTTTCTCGAAAATGAATATGTCATAGTTCTCTATGCAGCGCAAAAAAAACAACGTAATTTACCCATCAACTGATAGCTAAACTCCGAATGTTGAATTTTTTCGTTCAGTCATTTCAGATAAACTTAACATTTGTTCTCGAACGACGATTCAAACCTAAATTTGATCTTTGCCAAAACTTTTATGATATAGATTTAGCTCAAGTAAAAAGTTCTAATTGTTTCTTTTTAACCAATGAAATATGCTTCGATTAAAGAAATAAAATAGTCTGGACAAACAGATGAAAATAAAATTAGTACTTCTTAAAACAACGCTGTTTGATTACGTTGATAAGAACAAGCAAACTTCCTCTCAACAAGTTTTATCAGAGAAAAATAACATATCTATAAAATATTTTACAACCGATAAAGACCATTCGGTTTGGTACCGGTTACAACTTTCGACCAATCTGAGATAGGACGTTATTTTAGTTTGTATTCTAACCTTGAAGTATCATTTCTACGATAAAATTCATAAGTTTTCCGAAAATCTTAATCGCGAACATATTCTATTTATATTGAATCAAATTAAAGACTTTTTGATAATGATAACTAACCATCCATATATAAGTGCAAGAATAAGATCAAGTGTTATTGTCATATGAGGATCATCATTAGGTAAAATAACATGTGTTGTTGTTAAATCAATTACTTCAGATGTAAAACAATCACCCATACGACGAGTTAATCGTTTAGCTTCCTCGAGTTGTCTGCAAAATAAAACACAAGAACTATTCTTTAAATTATTGTTTTCTTTTTGAAATACAAACGTTAATGTAAAACCATAGAAAACAAATGAATAATTTGCTGGTGAATTTGGTAAATCTTTAATTGATGAAAATCGATTATTTAATTTAGTATCAGTTAATTGTTCAGGATGTTTAGCTTGAATAGTTTGAGAAAGTACCATAAGAGGTGGTGGTCGAAGAAGATATCGATCTTCATTATTATTATTATTATCATCATCATCATCATCATCATCATCATTTAGTTCAAATAGAATTTGAGATCTTATGTTATTATTTATATCATTTAAAGGTGTTACATTGGTTAATGATGAATAATTGAGTGTTGTTATCCGTTGTTTTTTATTATTTTTTGTAACTGTTGTCGAATTTTCATTTGTTTGTTGATTATCAAAAATATTTGAAGGTAATCGTGAAAGTAATACAGGAGATGATATTGGTGTTGATTGAGGACGATGGATTAATGCTGAAAATTGTTGTTGACTATCGTAATCAATTGATGTAGAAGGTGAAACAATGATTCGATTCGATGGACTTGAACCATGACGAACAATCTACATAAGATAATATTAAAATTTTCTTTTTTTTGAAAATTTATTTTAGATTTACATGAGTAAAATGTATAACTGGTGATGATTGAGATTGTGATGGAATACTCATTCTTATTTCTAATTTTTGTTTTTTTTTATATTAATTTACAGTTCATCTGAAATGTTACAAAAAATCAATTATATTTAATTTATTATTAAATTGAATAAATTTATTTTCTAAGGAAATTTAACTTGTAGATTTTTTGATGAGCAACAAAAACGTGGCCGAATCGTTATTCAGTCATAAATAGTTATATTATATCAACATGTATATTCATATACTTAATTATCTATCTAATTGATCACTTGTACTTCTTGAGAATTCTGTTTTAGTCATCAGAAATACTTATAATGCGCTTCGTCATATATTGAAAATTTTCTAGTTATTTATACAACAATTGAAACGATATATGAAAATTGTTTCTATCGATTCAGGCGAAGAAGATGAATATCGAAATAATACAATATAGGAAATATGAATGAGATACTTTTATTTGTAACAGACAAATGTTTCTGTCATGTTCAATTTTGCTCACTTCCTACAATTCTATTTTTTTTTCAGAACCAGTAATAATTTTAAAAATTCTAGGAAAATATAAACTTAACATAGTATTATCTGTTAGATAGAAAAAAGTTTGTATATTATTTTCAGATCAAAGTGAAGTCGGGAAACAAAAATTACAGAAGTCTCAATAATATATTTATATGATTTTTTGTGACATTCAAAACATATTTTGTGATAAATAGAAGATTTGGTTTTATTCAGATTGATTTGCTATCAATCATGGTTTTAAAACACTGAAATGTAGTTGCTCTCAATCATATAATATATTCAAACAATTATATATGGGCGTGAGCAACCGACTTGGTACCCCATTTTGATACAGTCCTATTGTAAGGATAAAACATACTATTGTTCGGGTCATATAAGAGAGAATCCTAGATAACCCTGGATTGGCCCGNTTTCCGAATTTTCATCTCAAATTCGGAAGCAGCATCGAATTTCGCATCTAATGATGCTAGATTTATTAAAATTTGAGACAAAAAAAATTTCGATGGTCCTGAGGTCTCGTAACACGTGTTCAATGGACCGTGAAAAATAAAAGTCGTTTCTGCACGAAAAAAAAACACACTGTTTTACTCAGAATTTGATGCTGATTCAGAATATGTAACTCTTCTTGAAAATATCGTGGGCAAAAAAATGGCTTTATCGATACTTGTCCTTTTAAAGAAAAAGTTTTACCCTTTGAAATTTGTTTTGAACTTCTCATTCAGTTAAAAGAGTATTTTTTTCATTTCTATATTTGTACTCTGTCAGATCACTAACGAATAATTTTGCCTATATATATATTGACAGAGAAGACTTGTTATTTGCAAGTTTTGTCTTTATGATCAAGATCAGTGAAGAAACCTGATCGATGCCGTCTGAATATTTTATATATTACTTATGTAATTAATGAAACTTGTGACCAAATATTATTTTACGGAAATAATTTATTTAACTATCTGATGCAAAATGATATTTTTGAAATATTAAATTCTTGTACATGTATTTAGATAGTTATATTTTAATATTTCTCTATCCAAGTTTTATTTTGTGTTTTCTTCTTATCTAAATCATAGTATTTACTGAAGGTTCACGGTACCATCTGTCGACTAGAACAATAAGCATCTCTTGATGATGAAAACGTCTCAAATGTCATACAGAAGACTTTGTCAATTTCAAATTTTTTTTCTTCATATCACCGTATCAAGTTATGTGTACATGTGTATAAAATTCTTCTTGGCTTTTTTCCTCTGCAAGACTTATGCACGATAGAAGAATAGTGTAAGTCAATAATACAACCGATTGGGACATGTTGCATTTTTGCTGATTCCGTTCTCTTTCTTCGTTGCTATTTTTTTATATGAAAACAATAAAGAAAAAGAAATAAATCGGTTTTTTTTGTCAACTAGTTAAAAATATGACTAAATTTGTTAGTATAATTGAATGCACCGCAGCGTCGTCAGGATTTCAGCGAAAAAGTCGCTCAAACAAGGACGTCCCCCAGCAACAATTTGTCAGGACACTGCGATGCATACAATTCTATTCGATCGTTAAGTGTCTTTTGAATATTCAGCTTCTAATTATTGTTTGATTTTCTTGTTTTTTTGATGTCGTTTGACAAAGTGAAATATCGATAGGTATATAAAAATATTATTAAGTCGAACAATATAACATGTAATATTCTTTTGTGATATAAATGTTATCTATTATTTCTAATGTGATTTTATTTTTAAGTCGATATTGATTTTCTAACATATGCCAGAGTATTTTAATGAAATGAATTCAATTCGAATTTCATTTTTTTTTCATGTTGACAGTAAGTCGTTTTGGAATGATCTTTATTTGCAGAAAAAACTCGATTGTTTTTGTAAACTTATCGCCTTCAAATATTTATTTTGAGAAAATAACCGAAGAAATTTGAACTAGATCAGGCATGGTTAAATAACATCGAGACAGAATACATATACATACCAAAAGCGACTATTAAGATCAATATGATAGTCTCTTTTATTCATCAATATAGAATTTAGTGACAAAATTTTAAAAAGAGGAAATTGTATCAGAATAATACGATGAACAAAAGAATGTTCGTCTTATCAAGTTTCAATGAATGATGAAAACGAAAAAAAAAGGATTCTGTTTTCTTATAAGTATCAACATCGAATTTCTGTTTTTCTTTCACAGAACTAAAATACATTGTTAACTCGAAGAAAAATCTTCTTTTTTTTTCTTTTTAAATGCCGACATTCATTTTTGAGTGACAAAGAAATAATTTCAACTCTTTTCTTTTCGTTTAGTAAAGACAATGTCAATAATTAAGTAATGAAAAATATAAACTGAAGTCAGCGAAGTAGATGAATATGATTTAGTAGAGAATAAAAATAGTTTAGTCATTATTGATTTCATGCTGTTTAATATAGTTGAGTGAAGAAAGAACATCATGCAAATTGTTTTAAGTAAATAATCATTATGTCTATGTACCTTCAATCCATTCATTTTTATTTGTTGTCGTCTTATTTCTTTTTTGTTTCGTTTTCAAAGTATAATTTTCATTTTTTTTTCTCATCGAACAACTTTATTATATTATATTAATAAGATTACTATGATCATCTTACTATAACACTATTTTTTTTTAGGATCGATGGTGTTTGTGGTGTATGACCGTTCGAAATACTCTTTGTAAACGTACAATAATTGCTTATTGTATATTTTTCTTCACTGTTTTACTTATTTGGAAATATCATGAAAAATCAATTAAAATAGAAGAAGAAGAAGATACATTAAAGCAAATTATTTCATTATCTTCACTAACTACAACACATCGTACAACAACAAGAATTCATGAGAATCAAAAACAAACAAATCCAATAACATTTATCGAACCAAATCGTCTTGATTATTGGTTGAAAAATAATTCTAAAACACTTGGAATAAATTTAACAGCTATTCTTACACCAAAACGACGTGGAAAATATCTTGTTTATGTTTGTCATGAAAATTGTGGAGGTAATTACTTATAGACATAAAATTTTAAAATAACATTTCTTTTTTTAATGTTTTAATTAAGGTTGGGGAGATCGTCTCCGTGGTATAATGAGTTTATTTATGTTGTCGTTAATGCTTGATCGTAATTTTCGTATTGAAATAACTCATCCGTGTAATTTAACTCATATTCTTCGTCTAAATTTATATAATTGGGAACAACCGATTGATGGATTAGTAGTTGTTGATCCCATAACACATCGTCGTCGTTTTAATTTAACACGTAAAATGTTGATAACTGCACCAAATGGTCGAAAAGAAGTTCTTACAAATGTTTCACAAATATTACATAATAATCGTTCAATTGATTCAATTTGGTCTGAAGATGTTTTATATTGGGCAACAAATAAAGATTATTTTTATCAATTATCAAATAATATTTTTTATAGAAAAAAATTTAAATCTTATGGAATTATGACAAAATATAATATTAAATTAGAAATACTTTTTCCATTATTTTATGAAATACTTTTTCGTCCAGTTGACAAAATTCAACAACATGTTTTAGAATATAAATTAAAATACAAAAATAATCATATTATTTGTACACAAATACGAACAGGTATTTATTTTTCGAATAAATGAGATATTGCATTATTTTATCAATTCTTTTTTATATAAAGAAAAAAACTTATTTTCACAAAATTTCATTTTTTGTTCTTTTATTAAAAAAAATCGAATCCTTAGAAATTTGATGTCTATTTACTTTGTTTTTTTTTTTCTTTTTTTAGAAAAAATTTATCTGTCATAGATGAAACTGATGTGAGAGGAAATTTAAAATAGATTTTCATGATTTCTTCAAATGTAATTTAATTGATCAATATCATTGTTTAATAAGAATAGAGATTTAAAATTCTTTACAAAATTTTTAGAAAAACATTGAAGGTTTTTGCCTTTACTCATAGATCATCATATTGATTTTATAATTTTTTTCGAGTTTAAACAATACAATGAGAGTTTAGAAGAAATTATCATAATTAATTGTGATAGAATTAACATGAAACTCGCGATATGAGATCAATTAGTTCTATTTTTAAACTGTCAAATCAAATTTTGATAGTTTAGAAATTCTTGAATACAATTTCTAGAATCCAATAATAATATTAATAAGTCAATTTAAAATTTTATTCGTGCTGTAACCAGATAGGACTGAGTCCTTCCTATCAACGATTGAGTTTCGCTTAAAGAGGAACTTAAGCCTTCTCTCAAAAGCATTAGCAGAGAGCCTCGATCTCCTCTGCAGATATGAGTAGAAATTTTTCAATGTTAAATCAGTTCTTAGCCGAGACTATCTGCATCACGTCGGCTCTAATGAGCTATGTATACTCTGAAAAGATTTCAGTCTAATAGTTTAATACTGTCGATATACTATTTTTTAGCAGAATGCCGTGATCTCTCTCAAGAACACCAGAACAACGGAGTTTAGAATTTCGACTTGAAACTTTGCATAGAGATAGACTTTAATGAGGATAGTTTACTGTCGAAGTTTCAGATCTTTTGATTGCTTCTATCTTAAGATACAGCTATGGTCAAAGCATATTTTTTACACTACTCATATACAATGGTAAAGTTTGATATGTGAATTTCAGAATAAACGTAATTGACAAATCTGAAGCTTTCACAATAAACTATTCTCGTTAAAGTCTATCTTTGTGAAAAGTCTCAAGTCGAAATTCGAAAATCAGTTTCATGGTGTTTCTCAGAAGGATCGTGATACTCTGCGAAACAATACAGTATTTCGGCAGTAATAAGCTATTACATCTAACTTTTTTCACGGTATTCATAGACCATTAGAACTTACACGATACACATTGTCCCGATTCAAGTGTGACTTGACACTTAGAAATGCTTCCTTATTAGTCCCGTCCTTTCCTACAACATTTTTTTTTGTTTGTTTTAGTCATATAGTTAAGTCTTGTATCAAGTCTGTCTAGTTCAATAATAGATCAAAAAATATCTTGTGTATTTTATGTTTTATTTTATCAATCTGATATTTACAAAGATTTGTGTTGAACAATAAAAATCTATCAAATAGGTTATTATAGAATTTTTTTCAAAACTAAATTTTTTTATGAAAAATGTCTGGACAAATTTTACACGTTGAATATTAATTTAAAAATTAATTCTGAAATTTAAAATAAAATTTTATCTGACAAAGTAAAATATTAATTAAATAAAAATATTTAATCAAATTTAATATTCAATTTTTGAGAAATAAATTTTGACAATCATTTTTCTTTTAGAAATTTTAATTTAATTTTCTTTTATTTAGGAAAAAATCCAACAATTCCAGATGATAAAGTACTTCCAGGTCGTCGAAATATAAGTGAATCGATATTTTCATTTATTGATTCAAATACTTCTAATATAAATTCACAAATCTTTTTAACAACTGATAACGAACAAGTTTATCATGAAGCGCAAAAACGTTATGGTTCTCGTCTTTTATATGTATCTGGTGAAATAACACATCTTGATCGTTCATTAAATATTGATCAAAAAGTTTGTCGTGAACAAGATAAACTTTTAACAGATTTTCATTTATTAGGAGAATTATGTGATATATCAATTATATCAAATTCAGGTTTTGGTTTTTGGGGAAATTTAAGAAGATTTAAACCATTTCAACAATTATTCGTTTTTTGTGCTGGAAGAATTTATAAAATAGAATCAATGTGGCATTTATATAAAATGAGAGAACAAAATCATAATGGTGAATTATGTTGATTTGTTTTTGTTTCGAAGTGTTTCGATTATTTTATTTGTTACCTTTGTTATCGTGTATTTTTTTTTGTTTATTTATTTTGAAGAAAATTTCATATTTATGTATGTACTACTCTGAAGAAGATCTCGAATAAAAATAAAAGAAGATATAAACACATCGAAAGTTAATTCTATAATATACATATGATTGAAGTCAGAAACAAAAAGAAATTTAATTACATGATGAAATTGTTTTAAATATAAAATTCGTTATCATATAATAAATAAAAGAAACTTATATACACTTAATCATAAACGTATTGAATTCAAATGATGAATGGTTTAAATATTCTTGAGAAATTATTGATATTTACTACAGATGGATCAACAGTTTCTAGACAAAATAATTGACGATTTATTGTTGAATATTTAAATACATTGGAAACAAAGCAGATTAGCATTAGAATTTTGTGCTCTTTCAGAATCTAAGCTCAGCATTTTTCTGTAGCTTTTAACTATTGAGTTATAAGTAAGTCTTGACTGAATTCTAAAAACAAAACTTTCTGAAAAGACAAAAATTTTATTTCTCTCAAGAGAAATCTACATCAAATTAGTTCTGTCAATAAATAGTACTTGGTGGTGATCTTTAATCTAAAAAAATGACACAGGAAGATGGTGGAGTTGTGACGAAGAGTCGTTTTGTGGTTTAAGGACGAAAATTGAAAAAATAGTCATTTTTCTTGCGATAGACTTTATGAAAATTTTTACTACAGCTCAGTAGTTTGCAAAAACATTTATTCAAATATATCACTTTATAGAGAGTTTTATATATTCGATATAGTTTTGTAGTATGTTTCGAACAAGTTTCACCTGAGGTTTTTTCTCCAAAAAACAAAAACATTCTTGAGTTTTTTGCAAGATTTACTTATATTGCAATAGCCAAAAGTCACAAAAAATAACTTAGTATATATTCTAAAAGAGCATCAAATTCAACTTCTAATTTTCTCTTTCCCAATGTCTTTAAATATGTGAAACATAGTCAAATACTTTGTCTAGAAATTTTCCGTCCATCGCATAGATTAAAGGTTACAAGCCTATTCTGATTGTTAACTAAAAGAAAACCAATGAAATGTGTTTTAGATCAAGTAATTTAATAAAAAAAAACTCATTGGTTCTTCAATATAAAAAAAAAGCTTTTTTTTATATAATGCGACTATAAAATTTTCATTCGAATTTAAAGATCGAATCAACAAAAGAAAGGCATGAGATCTGTTAGAGTAATATTAGACAATGAAGAGAAAGTTGTTTAATCAAGTTAATCCTATAAAATGTATGTACTTATAAATTTTTTCATACATTGATATAATCTTTCCAAAAAGTAATAAAGAATTAATCTATGACAAAAGTACAACAGCTAATTTTTTATGCGAACATGAATGAATAATAACGATGATCATTGCATACTGAAAAAAACACTGTTTGTATGTCGATACTACCTTACTATGGACTAACCTTGTACAGATTATTTATGGTTAGGCTATTAGTTTTTCCATCTGCTGGCATACTTATTACATTGTAACATTCACGTACTTCTGTAATATATTCTTGTGATATATGTTCTCGAGACTGTCAATATATTCATTGTACGTATGCATGAAGAGCTTAATAAGTAAGACAAATTTATATCAGAACGAGTTTCTACTTAGATTTAGATTTAATTGACTATTAAACACAGATGAATGATGACTCCCGAAGATTATGAACTATAGGAAAAATAATGAGCTTATTGAAACTATCATAATAACATCCACATCGATAAGCATAGCCGAGAGATAAAGTATCATCATTGCCTTCTTTACTGGACTTTTTTTTTCCAAAAAACTATCTTACCATTTTTCCATATATTTAGAATAAAATCTCTCATAAACTTGATCGAATACAGCACGATGCTCATAGTTGCACTACTAGTTTTACAATAGCATGAAAAACTTGAAATTCTCTATCGTTTATAAGATCTCACGTCACAAATAGAATTATTCATCTGAAGTTAAACGAATAATTAATATATATATATATATATATATTTCATAAATAAATATATGAAAACAAAAAATAATATTGTAACTAATTTGATGGCGCTATAAACAAAGACTAAGTTGTGTCGAATAGTTCATATTGTGTATCAGATCAGTGTGTATCTTAAATTAATATTAATTTAAGTTTATGTAAAAACAAAATTCTTCATCATTGAATATGTTATCTAAACAATGATTAATTAATAAATTTCATGACTACAACTTCTTCATCACGTCCAAATACTTCCGACACAAATTCTCCAGTACTAAGTTTAATTAGTAATCATTATAATTCAATGTTTTTAAATACAAATGATGAAATTGAATTAGCTCGTTATGGTTTAAGAGTTGGTTCAACACTTGGTACAGGTACATATGCAAAAGTCAAATCAGCTTATAGTGAACAATTATCACATAAAGTTGCTATTAAAATAATTAATCGACGTAAAGCTCCAACAGATTTTCAACGACATTTTTTACCACGTGAATTATCAATATTACAACAAATAAATCATTCTCATATTATTCAAGTTTATGATATATTTTCATATGGAAGTAAATTATGTATTGTTATGGAATTAGCTAAAACTGATTTACTTGATTATATTAAATTAATTGGAAGATTAAATGAAGATAAAGCAAGAAAAATGTTTACACAATTAATATCAGCTATAGATTATTTACATCAAATGAATATTGTTCATCGTAAATTGAATTTTCTTTCATGTTTTTATTCTTACCAATACCATCTTTTCTTTTGTTTCTTTTTTTAAAACAAAAAAAAGGTGATTTAAAATGTGAAAATGTTTTATTAGATAAAAATTTTGATGTTAAATTATCGGATTTTGGTTTTGCACGAGTCATACAAACTAATGAATTATCTCATACATATTGTGGTTCAGCTGCTTATGCGTCTTGTGAAATTCTTCAAGGTATTCAATGAAAAAAAAACTTCATTTTTTTATATTTATTTCGAGTCAAACTTTGTTTTACATGTGCTTGATATGTATAAAGCATACTTCAAGATATGTCCATATCACATAACTTTCTTTCCAAAGGCACACTTAAAAACGATCAATTAAAATAATTTAACCACGTATTTTCTGTTCAAGATGAAATAATGATCCTTGTATTTAAGGAGATTTCTTCTTTCCCTTTCCAACGTTTTCAAGGAACGGTTCATTAAAAATATTTGAAATTTTCAGGGTAGATAGATCTTTATGAGTAGAGCAAAAGTTATTATAGATTCTAAATTGTCAAATACTTCCATCTAGAATATATTTGGACGACAAAGGTTAAAAATCTCTCTGCTTTCTCAGTCTCAATACGTCCGATAGAGCTGAAAATATTTTTTTTACAGATACTAGACACTGTTTGAGAGGCGATTCTGCACATCTATTTTGTGTAGAAATTGATTTCGCGCAACAAACAAATTTTTCTGTATTTATCAAAACTGTTTTCTCCAACTAAAATGATTGAAAACTGGTGGCGTTAGGAATTCATGTCTCATGCTTTTAGTATCTTTGAGATGAGAAATCATCATTATCATTAGATGAATTTTCTATATAAAAAAAAACAAGTAATCGTAACGAGAGTTTTTCTGCGAGGGATTTCGAAAGTTGAGTCTAATGAGAGTACTAACGAACAACGAAAAGCCCTCATTCATATGGCATTGACTTAGTAATAAAAGATTCAAAATCGAAAAAATTTTGATTTTAGCGTTCGGAAAGAGAGAACGAGAATATTGCCTTTTTTGTTCTGCTTGCCATAGTCTTTGCTATTTAAAATATGAGTTTCTATTAAGATCCGAATTAATTTAAATGTAAAACTGAAAAAAGCTGAAAATTTGCACAAGTCATAAGAAATTCCGAGTAACAAATCCCAACTTCAACCACCACGAAACGTTAAATTTTTCTTTATTTTTTTCAGAGTAGTTACCTTTTGTGTATTGTCTAATATACTGAATCAATTGTCTCTCATAGTGGTCTAGTCTTCACGACGAAATTTAATACCAAATTAAAAAACACTTTTGGTCAAAAAGTTAATTCAGAATTAATTCAACTCCTAGAAATGACTTGAATTCACCAAACGTACACTATCTCAATTTAATCTATGATAGATACCATAGCAATACCCAAAGACTATAGATTATTATGAGAGATGTTCACATCATTCTTGGTTCTCTTTTCAGAAACCTACAGACTGTCAGAATTGACAATTATTCTAAAAAAAACGAATCATAGTATCCATCTTTGTATTGGTGTTTGCTTATGCACTATGAACGCTAAATAGTTGACACCTACTGATATTTACATCGAGAGAACGATTATAATATTAGGAAAAAAAAAACTTCTCGAATATTCAAGTACAATATATGCACTTGAATAGAATCCAAGTGCTTGAGATGAATAAAAGATCTCAAGTCTTATTTCAATATGTGTCTATATCACAGATGATTTTCTTGTCCAAACTACTCAAGTTTTTCATGCACATGAAAAAAAGTTTGACTCGGATTATTTTTAAATTTAAGGTATACCATATAATGCTGTTCCAGCTGATATATGGTCATGTGGAGTTATTTTATACATAATGGTCTATGGGTTAGATTCTTTTTATTCTTATTTTTCTTTTGTTATTTATTTTTGACAATCAATCATAGTTCAATGCCATTTGATGATTCAAATATACGAAAACTTGTACGATGTCAACTTGAAAAAAAAATTCATTTTAGTCGTTATAAACCTTTATCAATTGAATGTAAGCAATTAATATTATCTTTACTTGAACCTGATATTAAAATTCGTGCTACAATAATTCAAATTAAAAATAATGATTGGATAAAAGGACGTATTTCATCAACAACAATTAATAATGATTCACCAACAAATATTTCTCTATCTGGAATAGGAAGATCTATACCAACAATACCTAAATTATTTAGTCCTATTATAAATAATATACAAGAATCAACAATAAAAATGATGAAAACAACAATAAATGATAATTATCAATTATCAACATTAAATCGAAAAAATAGTTTTGAACAAATTATTAATAAATCATTAACAGCAACAAATTCTCTTGCAAAAGATTAAAACAAAACTAAAAACTTTATTTTATTGTATATATAGACAGTTAAACTTTAATCTTTCTATTCTAAATACGAAAGCATTTTTTTTCAATAGTTTCTCTTGTTATTACTAATTTCATTAATGTAGAAACACTTTCTATTCTTTTTTTTATTCTCCAAACTAACTACAAAAAAAAATGGACTAAAATTAGCTTATTAATAATAATTAATGGTGTCTCCTTAGAACTCTAACTTCGACAAGGGTACCTAAGATAGTGATGAAACTTTGCATAGATGTTCGGCTCATAAAAATGCATTGAGAAAAAAATTTCACACTTCGATACTTAACTCTTCAAGAGATTAAGCTGCAAAATAGGACTTTTAAATGAACAATTTTTTTTAGTGTTGGATTTTTCGGGTCATTGAAACTTCAACAGTTTGGAAATGCTAGGCATGGTTTTCTGAGAAAATCAAAGTTTATGTAGCATTGATGATTTATTAGAAAATTCATTTTCCTCATTTGAAAGACTATGCATATATCTATTGAGAAAAAAAATCAATTTTGAGAAAAATGCGAAAGAATTTTTTTCTTTTATATAGTCTTTCTCTTATTACTTAAAATAAAGTAGGTTTTATGGTATTAATTTAACAAAATTATTTTCTTTTCTTATTAAATTTAGAATTTCTTCGTGTAACAAGATTTTTTCAGTCATTTCAAATATCTTAGATACAAAAAGATATTCAAAATTTTTTTCAATTTTATTTTTTTATATCTAATATTTAACATATCAAATTATTCGTTTACAATACTCTCAAATGAGATATTATTTGTGATAGTATACTAATCCTAAATAATATAACATCTTGGAGCATGTAAGCTATTGTTAACCGACAAGATTTAAAATTTTCGAAGTTTCTCAAATTTAGAGTGAAAATAATTTGATTCTCCAAGTCTCTATATGAGATATATCACATTAGATGATACTATCCTACCATTACCTTTATATTTGTTATAATATTCAACAACGTAATAAAGACAGAAAGATAATAAATTCATTTTTTGAGTAACTTGTTTTCTTATGGCTTTTTCGAAGACTGATAATGATGGATAGTTTTTAATAATAACTCATAAGAAATATGCTATTTTATTTTATATAAAAAAATTCTACTTTGAAATTGCGAGTGAGAAGAAGATCCACAACTATACCTTTAAGTCATTGTAAATGTCAAAAGTTTATCTCTAAGATGCACAAGATATGATTACATCTGAAAAATATTTGTTTATTTTGTTGATCTGACTCTACAAAAGAAATTTTACTGATTTCTCTAGACATCATTATTTGTTCAGATAGTTTCAAATTTTCATACATATAAAACTCTCACAAAAATTTCAAAAATTCAAATTCTTTTTTTTTTTTGAATTCATACACTGAAAAACTCAGGCGATATATTCATATGTTTATCTCAAAAATCATTTTTTTTTTATGAACATCGAGTTTTCTCAGGAGAAGAGAGGTTAAGGAAGAAAAGTTTTCATTTGAGAATTGCTTTGTTTTGTTATTCTATAATAAAATGTTTTCTCGTATTGAAAAGATCAATGTTGAAAATCGTTCGATTATTCCCACATAGATTGTTATCTATTTATTTATCTTAAGTACGAAATATGCCAAGTACATTCGATTGTGATCAATGATGAATGTTATTTTGACGTGTTTTTTTTTTCTTTTCAAAGATTTGATAAATGATGCAATTAATTCATATAAAACAATATAATAAATCATTTTCTTTGATGTTATTTTAATATTTTCTAGTTGATTATCTTATTTGTAATACTAAATGTATTTAATTCTATTTAAGTATCTCTTCAATATTATAGATTGACATAGATTGAAACGCTATGTATCTATATGTGTATCATTAATCTTGGATAGCACAAACTTGATCTCTTTGATCTGTTTAAATAATGTTCTTCCTCACACGTTCAAATCATTTATTTTCTTGTATATATGCCGACATAAATAGATGAGAAAAACTTGTGAATACAACATGTTCGTGTAAGTAACAATGAATTAGTCGGCTATATTTGTGTCATATAATAACAAGTGTGAGAATTCTCTCTCTATATATGTTAAATGATCAATGTCTGACAAACGAAAAGTACTTAATATGAGATTTATGATTTTTTCATATTCTTCAATAGATTTAAAGAAAAAACAAAAAGATCAAAGAGAAATAATGTTATTATATCAGACTGTTCATTTATAATCATAGCTGCTGATAGAATCATCAAATACAAAAAAATAAATATATATCAATAAATTCTACATTGGATAAAAAAGAAAAATTGTTTTATGTCGTTGTTAACCAATCGTTTGTTCTCTTTTTTGCCTCAATCAGAGTGATTTATGATCGATCAAACTCACACGCTTATGTATGTCCTTCTCTCTTTCTCTCTCTCTTTTTTTTCTCCACCTTCAATCACTCATCATTTACTCTCTTACTCATATACATATCTTATTCAATGACGACATCAACTAAAACACAGCAATTCTATGGTGAATATATTAACCCAACGGTAAATCTATTCTGTTTTTCTTTTTGAAATCTAAAGGAAAAATTTTTTTTTTTTTTTTCTTTAAATTAAATAGATTGATCAATATTCACCACAAAAAGAAAATCCATTAGTATTAATGGCTCAAGCATGTAATAATATTGGTAAAGAATTATCAATAACATTAAAACAATCATCATCTCCTCCACTTTTATCTAAAATTCGAAAATCTAATTCACCACAAGAAGTAAAAAAATCTTTAAAACGAATGGCATCAACAACATGTTCATCATCACCACCACCATCTAAAAAAATTCTCCTTCCTCAAATAGCTAGTTATCCACCATCATCATTTATGTTCGATTCATTGTTTTATTATCATTTAAATAAAACATTTGCATTACCAACATTTGATTTATCATTATTATCAAGATCGCCGTTAAATTATTCAGCTTTTTCTTCACAACCTCAACAATCTCCGTATTTAATGGATTCTATATTATCATCACCATTTGTTTGTAATTGGATGGATTCATCTATTCCCGATAAATTTTGTGGAAAACGTTTTACAAATAATATTCATTTACTTGAACATCTTTGTACAGAACATACATCAATATCACCGATTAAATCTTTATATCCATCTTATTATCCATCAACATCAGTAGAAAAACTATAAAAACTAAAATACAGTGAAATGGCGAGGCGTTTTCTTTGTATAGGGTTTCTTTTTTGCTTTTGTCTTCCCTGTATTTTCTTTTGGTTTTGATATTACAAACCGAGATATTAGATTAATTTGAATTTATCCTTTTTTTTAAATAACGAATATAGTCATTGATTCATTTTTGTTACAAGAAAAAAAAATGGGAGGAGAGAAATTGAGAATAAAAGACAATGAAGTATAGATGAATCATGAAAAAGTCATTTGCATGTATATACAAAAAAAAGAAAGCAATCATTTGAATAAGATGTATTGCTAGTCTTTTGATCTATCCGATGACAAATATTCTTCAGTTCACGTAGTCGATTTAATCGAGGGAATAAACATCATAGTGTCAATTACATATTTATAACACCTTTTAGAGAAATCAAACATAACTAAACAATGACTAGAGTCATTGAAATAATCGATTAGATATTATCATGAAATGTGAACAAGTTCGAAGAGAAGATTTTTTGTTTAACTAATCGAAAAAAACAAACAAATATTTTGGTATCAATGATACAATAAAGTCGATAATGATGATGTATTGTTTTATATATGCATTGATAAGAAAAATACAGTTGTTATTTGATTGTCTTTATTCAGATTAACGACGCTTTTAACGACAGAGGATCTTACTTGCTTTGATCGGTGTGTCACAGCATGCTCGATTAATCGACTCTCATTTTGTTCTTCTCTTCATCCATTATATCGAAGATAGATAGATCGATAGATAGATAGACGACACGCTTGTCCACCTGTTGCATGGTTAATCTAACTGCCACCACCTGTTTTCTATGTTCCTCAAAAACAAAAAAAAATATGATCAAAAGGCTAATCAATCGACCACCTACATGTCAATGTTATTTTTTTCTAATTGACCTCCCATCAAACTCCCTCCTCTTCTTTCTCATTGATGTGTTTTTTTTGTCTATGCTTCTGAGAATACTATTCTAATCGATCGATGTCTTGTTACTAGTGCATTTCTTTTTGATTAAATCCGATCAATGTTATTCTTAAACAGTATTGTAGAATGAAGTGTAAAAGAAAGTATCGCATATTATAAAGTATTGTTTAGATATGAGATTTATTTTAATTGTGTTGAGTATTGACAAATGGGTAATCGAATTCATTCACTTGAAAATGAGTCAATTAAAACATATCGATCAATAATAACTTGAGCAATGATCAGAGAATAAAATGAGTTACATTCTTGAGATAGACTATATGCATGTAAGAGTCAAATATTTCATTTAATCAAGATCTTATCTAGATAGATTTGTTTTGCAGTGTCATGTATGTTTGACATTTATATGACTATAGTGTATTTATAAAATGATCGGTTTTTTCGATTTATCTTTTTTTTTTCTTTTATCAATTCAATCGTTGATATTCAAGGGAAGGTCGATCACGGGATAGAGCGTGTCGGCTTCAAAATTTTCAGATCTGCATTCAACAAAGCCCGCCCAACAGACTTTATCCTGAAATGATATACATTTAACTTCTATATCGAAATTCTTCTAGTCTAATTTGTGTTTGTTTAATGATAATAAAATGATTTGTTTAGGATTCTTTGTGTAATCTCTCATAAAGTTTATTTATACTAATTTTGGAAGGACTTTTTTATTCTAATGGATTTTCATATGTCAGTAGTTTTTTGAGATCTCAATTATAGATACAACAGTGATCGTCGATTTTGAGAAAATTTCTAGGGTTTATATAGTTTTTAGTTCTATGAGTTTTGATAGAGATGTCTTTTTGAAAAAGCTTTTATTTTGATGAAGACATACTCAAAATATTCGAAGCAGTAAAAATCGAAAGTTCACAAAAAAACATCAATCTTAAACATGGTTGAACTGATACTATTTTCAATTTAATGAGATGTTCCCGAACTCAAACCATTCAACCATTCTTGATATAATGTCGGAATACTAAACGTACCAATGTTTAGTAACTAAAAAGAGTCACAAAATAAACCCATTGTACTTGTTTCTGCTCGCGTTTTTATAGGTAAAGCTCAATGGTCTAAATTTTTGGGATTTGATTTTGATTTGACTGAATCTTTCATTTGAAACAATTGAACCGAAAATAAAAAACTTTGCTCCGACGGTCATGCGGTAAATCTTTTTATAACGGCATTGGTGAGAATACTACGTAATAGAGTTGAGTAAATATTGTTTTCCTATGAAAAACGCTACAAATATTGTACTGTCAAGGTTGTTGAACAAGTGATGCTCTATCGATTATACTATGCCATCATATCAAGTGATTCGATTTTTTGGCATCATCATAGATGCAAGATAGCACTACATTTTGTGTAGTCAGTGACTAGTCACAGTATATTTGATACTTGTTCTGTTTTTCTAACTCAAGCAAAATGTAGTATGGTCAAATGCTCTACGTCATGAGAAACCAAAATATGAACTTGAAATTTATTTTTGACCATGTTTTAATGTACAAGACTACCAAAAATGATCGAAGAAAATTGGGTGGAAAAGAATTGTTGTCTTTTTTTGCAGATTATTTAGTTTTACTTATTGTTGATATATTTCTAACACAATAAAAGCTTTTCAAAACGCTTTTTTTTTTCTATTGAAATATTTAGAATTAAAAGTTCTAAAAACTCTGAAAATTTCATCGAAATTGGAAATCAGTTTGGTACAACTTATTATCCATTTCAAAATAGAAAAAGGGTGATTGTTTTTTGAATAACTTTTTAATGGAAATAGCTATCGGTCTGTGGTTTTCATCATTCGATAGAGGCGAGTATTCTGCATCTTTCTATAGATGGTTAAAAAAGTCACCTTATGATTCTGATGAGCAGTCAATAAAATTCGAAGAAGTATTTAAAGTGCTATAAAAGTTGTATGGAATTTCAATTGTAATTAGTGCATTCGATTCGCCAGCTGAAGATCTACAATTTTACACAAACCCGAAATTTTTATTAATAAAAACTTCGGATTTGTGTAAAATTGTAGATCTTGAG